AATACTTCCAGATGTCTGCCCTATCATTTTCATCTGCATCAAGTTTCTTTGCTTTTTCTTTTCACCGTTTGGAATTTTCATCTTACTCTTACAAAGAAGAATAGTCGCCAAACAAGTGGATTACAGAGACGTTTTTAGATTAAGGATCGGCACAGCTGGCAGCGGTAAAAGGGATATAATTTTGTGGCCGAAAAGATACGAAAATTGCGACGTTTTCTCAGACGTTTCGTTTTTTGAGCGTTCAAGTTTAGGGTTTAGGGTCAGAGGGGACTTTGTACGAGATTTTCAAGATCAAAGGGACTTCGTTTTGAAGTTTCCCTGGTGCCAGCTCGTGCCGAGCCCTGTTTCATATTCTTCCGATTTGTTTTCAGAGTTTTATGAAGTATTAGGTTGTCCCAAAGGTTTTGTCCGTTTTTTCAAACCACAATAGAACCACACGCAATAAGCAAATGAATGAGTTTTAATATGCATTCGATGCAGCTTTTCCTTCTCTTTCTTAAGGATACATTTTCGAACCACGGTCATTTATGCTTTTTTTTTTTGATAATTGCCAAAATTCTCAACCCGTCAATTTTATCTGCTGCTCAAAGTTAGGCTAATTTTTGAAATTTTCATTCCAAAGTTTTGGAAAGGTTAAAATGGATCAAATAGAGCAATTCTCGGACTATAAGGCAATATTTTAGATTCTCCTGATCTGCTGTTTTTAGCTCCAAAAAATATTTCTTCGAAAATCTCGATTTTTGGCAAACTCATGAAATACGCAACTGCAGCAAATACACGAAATCGTTTGAATTTTCTGCGAATTGAAACATGATTCCTACTGAACATTATTTATGCAACATAACCAAGTTTGGTTTGCGGTACTTTTACGTGGTAAACGTTATTAAAAAGCCGCAGTTTTTATAGAATAAATTATTATTACGGACTTGACAAACGTGGCCCATGTAATCTAAAATGAGCACAATGTAGCCAAAGGTTTGCCCTACATAACGGTTATCAGCGCTCTTTGAAAACATCAGAATAAAAATTTTTGAAACTCAGAAAAAATTTGGCGTTATTGCTAAACTGCTCAAAAAGCCATGGCGATAACATTGCAAAGACAGGGTAGATCAGTGAGCAAATTTAGGTATAAAAAGGAGGATAAAAATCAGAATCAAATGGTACCTAATGTCCATGGAGCAGTGCTCTGCGAGTATTACTGGGCGACGAATTAAACCGACAAAACTTTCGGGACAACCTAATATTTTAACTATATCGATGGGAATTACGAAGCATATGGCTGTAATGAGAAAATGAAGACGTTCGAAGTTTTGGCGAATCAAACCTCGCTTGTCGCACATTATTTGCGCACATAATAAAGTTTGATTTCCAAAATTCAGATCTTGAAAAGCAGCGCCGCCAGGCTACATTTATAAAAACAATCAAATATGCGTAACATCGAAGGTTTGCAGGAATTTTTTCAGGCCAGAACCCCGATTTTTTGACCTTCCACTTGCTTGGGGTTGCCTATCGCATCAGCTACTCATTCAATCGAATAATTATTGGAATTCATAAGTACTTGATCTAGGTAGTCTAGAATCTAGGATGTACAAGAAAGGTATATTCTACTTGACACTTACCAGCACTCTTTCTTATACCAGGATGCAATACTTAAGATATCAGGAAAACTTTGGCATTACTGGAAGACAACTTGATGAGTTATGCAAATAGCATCGCAAAGACCGTATAGATTAGAGAGAATACACCTACTAGAAGGTGGAAAAAACTCTGGATCGACTGATGCCTAGGTTGCTTCGGTCATTGATTTTCAGGTTCGAGCGACAGATCAAGAAAAAGCACCAAACTTTTGGGACATCCATGCTCTGCTCAGGGTTTGCTGGCTTCACGGCTGAAACCGTTTCAAAAAGGTTGCAATAAAGCGGAATTTGTGGGGTCTGCCTTGCAATGAAGACGTGTTAGATTATAGAGTGCAAATCTTTTTATAGGATGCTAACAAATTCTTCACAGTAATGTGCAGGTCATATTTTGATAATCACCTAGTGGAAGACTTAGTCTCTAACACTCCATGCTCGGGTTGAAACGAAAGAAAATCAAACGTTAAACCTGCAAACGAGACATTTATTGCCTTCTCTGAGCTAGGAGCTTCTTTCACCTCTCATTCTGATCCAAGTTTCCTTTTCTTCAATGACTGTTGTTTTTTCTATTCTCTAAAACTTTCACAATTTTTGCCGTGAAAATGAATTATTGTACATTCTAGAATAAGCGGAGAAAAATGTACAGTGTCACATGTGTCCGTATAAAAAGTATAGAACGTAAGTGCACATGAGATCTTACCACAAGTTTTTCTCGTCTTCAGTCATGCACTTTTCCACTCACGGCCAAAAACATTGCATTTACTTGATCAAATCAATGTAAATGTCATTTACAATGCATGTTGTCGCCGATATATTTTACAAAAAGATGATACCAGGCTGATTTCGTTGAATCTCAGTCCTGTTTCCAAGGACGTTCAAACATCTAGTATTTTGCTATGGTTACCGCGTATTCATTATTAAGTAGGAAAGGTCAATTAGTCCCAACCATATCCTGGCTTGACTCTGAGGTCATTGAAATACAGATTTTAAGAATGGAGCGATGTTCCTGCATACGAGGAGTAATTGCATACTTAAAAAAGGCTGTGAAGGATAAGATTTCTCAAATTCGCCAGCAATTGTTCGCACAAAAATCTGAATATTCCAGAAAAACATGCTCAGCAGGAACAGATCTTCATTCTCATGCTTTTGCCCTTCCAAGTCATTCGGATATAAACACCAGTTCTCATAAGTGTGTTTCTTCACAAAGCAAAATTCTTCGCCTTTTTAAGATTGGGCGATGTCTCTAATATAAAACACGAAATCGTTTGTATAAAGCATACATAAATATTCTCATATTTTTGCAACAAGTTTCTAGACAACTTGAAGAAGATTTTTTTATTGTACACCTCCGTTTTCCAACCTTCAACATTTGGGAAGCGAGTGATATCGCATGTTCAATTAAAAATCACACTACGGTATTTCATCTCCTGTCTTTGAGTCTGTAATTTGTATCTCACTTTTACATCCTAGAAAATGCCCCGATGAAGGAAAACATAATCAAATTATCGGAAAGATCACCAAGATTAAAAAACCGGCTTTTCGCGTGGATGTCTGAATCAGCTGGGACACTGAACTTTGTCATTCCAACTGTGAATATAATGCCTTGAACTTGGCAAATTATTCGTAATTTTGGAAAAATTGATGCTGACATGGTCAATAATTGAGAATTTTACCGTTGCTGCAATAAATCTTTTGTCGACCGCTTCAATTAGCATACGTGGATTCAACGAGACGATTTTCTCTAATAACGGCATCCTTAAAGCTGTTGAGGTTTATGAAAGAGTAGATGCAAAAGTTTGCTGAAGTTGATACCAATAGCAATTTTGCAGAATCAACACAAAATGAATAGAGAACAAAGGCTCAAAATATGCTCCCACTTTCTTTTTCCTAAAGATGAGACCTCATTCACAAGTGCTTCAGCTACAATAAACCTGTTGATTTCTGAAAATGTGAGCGCAATCGCTATAACGATTGCATCAGCCAGCCCGAGGTGATGTCTAATTAGAGATCACCCCGACGCGCATGCAAAACTTCTAATGGTGATTTCGCCGGCTTATACGGATTGCTGTTTTTCCAAAATGAAGCCTAATAACTGGACTAATTTCGAACTAATTTCGGTACAAATAAAAACTGATCGATGAGGAACTCCTTCAAGCTGTAAGTGAAGAAGTATATCGCAATGATTGTTTCCAGCCTCTGTTTTCTCATCGAGAAATCTCTTTGCTTTGATTACCCGCTAATCTAGCCAAAATTCTCAGACAAGTCTTAGCTAGTCCACAAAATTTCGAAGCATAATTTGAACGAAATACAAAACTGAAAAAGTCTTTAGAGGCAGCGTCTAGACAAAATTTCGCTTTTCATTTTTCACCTATTCGAAGCCTTCTCGCCATGAGGAGCCCATAACTGGGCTTTAAGCGCATGAAAATGACGAAAATGAGCCTTTTGAAGTTTTTCGCACCCCGCCTCCCTCGTTGCGGACCCCCCACTGAACCCCCTTTCGGAGCTCACTTACACGCATTTTCCACTGAATGGGAAACTGGAAAGCTTCGGAAAAAGCTCATTTTCGCCATTTTCATGCGCTGAAAAGCCGTATGGGTTCTTCACGGCGAGAAGGCTCCGAAAAAGTGAAAAAATGGAAAACGAAATTTTGCAAGGACACTGCTTTAACGCAGGTCTTCGTCAATCGCTTTCTTTTTGTTTTTAAATTTTCTAGACAATCTCCGGACTAAAATTTGACGATACCATGACAATTTTATTGTACACGATCCAGCGGTTTCGCCTGCTTGCAAGACTAAAGATGAACGTCCTATTCAATATTTTTGCATAATAAATCATCCTGGCAGACATCAGAAAAATGGTAGCTATAGTATCTGTCTGGACTGGAGCTTGATGCGGCATTTTCGAAAAAGCGTAAAGGAAACGAAAAGTTGGAAAACATTTGGTAGCAAATAGTAGGTGAAGTAACGATATCAGAGCATCTTTTTTTTCTATTTTTCTCACACCCTTTTCCCACTGTTGACGCCAAGCGACACTTGTCAAAGGTAGCTATGACATACCGTATGTGCTACACTTAACAAAAATTGTCGCTTGACAGAGTTAATTTCCACATACGCGCACTTTACACTCCAACTTCACTCCAACTTTGATAATCATCACGGCAGACAGCGACGTCCCTTCCGCATTTCGGACAAAGTCCAAATTGTCGTATCGTGTCGCCGTGCGAAGCCGCGACGACCCGTTATCGCAATTGTATAGCAAATGCAATCAATCCTGTTCAACGGAAAAGTGATGACTTTAACAGATCTCTGCACTCAGCAGTTTTATGCTGACAATTGTACAATTAATAAAGTTTTTTTTTGATGATGATGACTATTTGTCAGCACATTCGCATCAACATCGTCCTTGTGTTTACATCACGATAACACCGCAACTAACCGTGAAAATCGTATTATTCTGGGATCGATGCGCGGCAAGTATAACATGCGGATATGTATCGAGAGATCACATGGTTGACGAGAGAGAATAAATTTGAACCTCTCGAGGTTGCGATAACAACTCGAACGAACAGGCCACAGAATCGCGGTGAGGTGTAATTAAATGAGCGTAGAAATCAAGTAACATCATTAGCCCAGCATGATCTTCTTCATTTTCATGTTGTTCGGCATTTCTTCCTCGCTATCCGATGAGCTATCTGACACATATGCGGGTGTAGCAGCTGAGCATTTTGGCGAACTGCAAATTCGAATTGTGGTGATGATTTCATAGAAGTTTTCTGATTGCTGATTTCGAAAATGTTCATCTCGCCCACAGATAGGGTATCACAAAATAAATGCGTACACTATGTATTTTACAGACTCCTCATTTTATTGGCTCTAACTTAGCGTATTAATAGAGAGCCCCAACAACCTCTATCAAACTGTAAGAATACGGTAAACATGTGCACACAACGTTCGAAAATGTCTGTTAAGGTGACAGAAAGGTTTCAAACTGCACTTAATAGTGATTCCTCCCCTTTCTCAAAGTTACACAGGTTACAATATCAAAATTCTAGGACTTCCGTATCCTCACAAGAACTTTTACAGATCTTTTCTAGCTAGCATTTTATTAGTTACCGTATGTGCATTAGAAAAAGAACAAGATTTGGCTAACGCGTTCAATTAGCAGATATTTCTGTGCTCTATCTATAGTAACTAAAATTTCAGACCTTCTTCAATGTATGATGGCGCACATTTGATTTTTTAGCCCAGCACTTTCTGTAGATATACCAAGGTAAGTAAACTCACCACAAAAACTGCAGTAAAGGCACACGATATTTTCCACAAAAATCCACAAATTTCACATGTTCAACGCATGCTTCGAAGTAGACACCCTTACACTTGGGGTTGACGCACTGATTAGCAGAGTTCAGATAGGATATCAATTCCCTAAAAATATACAAGATCAAGAGTCAAAAAGGCCAAAAAGATTTTTTGAGATACTTGAAATAAAAACACCAAGGACAAACAACGTCATAACAATTAGGTCGGGAAGTTAATTTGAAACAAAGAACGCTCAGAAATCAATTACATCATGTATTTACCTTGGAAGAATTCCTTTGAGTGGCAGTCGGGACATTTTCAATCGTACTACTCGGCCAGCCAATTCCTTCAATTTTGGAGGTTCCAGCTGCATGTTGTGTACGAATTGATGGACTAAAAAGGCTATGTTTGGAGTTGTAGAAAGAGTACTTGGTTGACTGTAGATAAAAACTGGCTAGAAGTGCTATGTATAAAAAAACCAAAGGCTCTGTCCTTTGATTTCTGTTGATGGTGGAGACTGCCAAACTATCTTGCTACAAGATTACCAAAATTTTAATTTAACCAGAAATACAACGAAATTTACTTAGTACGTGTTTACGCAAAAGGGCAATGGTGGATGTTGTTGCGGTTTACATTTAAAAGGGGAATACCTAAAGGATTGTTTCGAAGGCTAAGCTGTTGCAAATTCCTCAGTTTGACGATTTCTGTTGGCAGGGTCTGAAAAATTCAAATATTTTCCTCCTCCAGGTTTCAAACCGAGTTCCTTACCCTGAGCACATTATTATGCAATGATAAGCTTTCCAAATTTCTGAGCTCTCCAAATGTTGAAGGAATTGTTTCCAGCTGATTATCGCAAAGCGACAAAGACGATAATCGCTGAAGCCGGCCTATTGTCGCTGGCACTTCTCTAAGAAAGTTTCCGCCAAGATATAGGATCTCCAAACTGCAAATTTCTTCATAGCAGTGAGAAAACAATAGGAGTACAGAAAAAAAACTTACTGTTTCATTGTACCAATTGCGTATGGCACATTTTCTATCCGATTACCACCTAGGTGCAGAACGCGCAAGCGAAACAAATTGAATACGACAGATGGAACAGTCTCAAAACGATTTCCAGATAGGTATAGGGCTTCCATGTTTTCGAGGCAGCACAAGGATTTTGGTAGGTCGACAAGTAGATTGTTACGGGCTACGAGATTTCGCAGGTTACCCATGGCACCGATATCTTCCGGCAAGGATGTGAGTGCATTGTTGGACAGGTCGAGACTGAAAAGTACTGAATTAACAGATAACAGGAATCGCTGTTTCCTTCTGATGCTCTATAACTGTTTTTTTTTTTGTAGAAATCTTCATTGAGCTCTAATCAGAAACAATATGCTTTTTTCCTAACACCCTGACCACTAAAAACCCATGCCGGACCACTTTTGGTATATTGAATGGACAAAATCTTGACTAGCGAATTGAGAGTTTCGTGATGACATATTCAGAATCAACCAATACTACCCTACAGAATTATCTTCTGATGATATATGAGACAGATTTATGTATAGAACTGTATGCTTACCTGACAACATTTACGAAAGCAGGAAGGCATGTAATCTGCAACAAATTGTTCCTGCTGAGATTGAGACGGCGAACCTGTGCTGGATCATATTCTCTGCCAGTCAGGGGGTGACGTTTCGGTACACGCTCCAATTCCAATCCTTCCAAATTCAAGTCAATCTGTTGCGAACTGTAAACGGTATTATTTGCGAATCTCTGACAAAACAGTACAGTGCGAACCTGCTGGGTTGTTCGCGAAGATAAACCGATTCGTTCGAAAAGTCGCGTGTTTCTGTTGGCGGCAGCATCGCACTCGACCAACACCAGCTCTGAGTAGGTGTTTGGGCTGGCGCTAACGTTGATATCACATGTGGCGCACGTGCCTCAGTCTCCTCCCATTTAGATCGGGGAATCACCCTTCCCGCCCCGAAACCGCGTCTCAACCAGTTTTACGTATTGCACTTGGGAATTATAACATTGTTGCGCGTGACGTGTTGCATCTCTGTAAGAAGCTAGAATACAAAAAATTGTCATAATCAAATCACTCTAGCCTTAGCATATGGTTTTCACTTCAACGGTTTTCACTTTCGCATATGGTTTCCGAGTCTTTACAACTGGAGCTGAGGTTCAACCTGAGGAAAAAAAGAAATCCAGTGTACTATACTTGGGTCCGAATAGAATGAAATTAGATCATTCGAAGGAAACATTCGAATATATTCGCATTCGAAAACCTTTTTGAAGTTCCTCCATTTTTCGAATAATATTCGAAACTCGAATAATTGAGAAAAGGGGGTTTCGAATAAAATTCGAAACTCGAATAATTGAAAAACAGGGTTTCAAATAAAATCCGCATCGAATAATCAAAAAAGGAGGATTCGAATTGATTTTATTTGAATGTTTTTTCAAATTCGTAAATGAATGAACTCCGTATTCAATTATTCGATTCGTTGCAGAGCCAACTGCTGAGTAAGCTCACTTCATCTGCGTTTTTTTCCGCAAAACTCGGTAATGCATCTTTTTGCAACCGTGATGACCTTTGAACTGTATGGAAAGTCGCATTCCTCCGACCGCTTGTGACAGTAAGAAAATAGGTGTGGATTTTAATTTCTGCTTTTTCGATCAATGAGATAGTTTGAACTGCTATTGGGACCAAATCAACAAAAGAAAAAAACACCTATCAAAGCTCATGTTCCGAGTTCATGTAGTGGAAATGCTTTGCATTGCTCATGCTTTTACGCAAAGGTCCACACTAGTGAGCACTTTTGCTTGTAGAACTCATGTTGCACAACTGCCTCTATTTACCTTATAGGCTGCTGCATGACGAAGGCGCATGTTGGCGAAGGCGAAGGCGCAGGGCGCAACCTTCGGGCGCGAACGCGGCTTTATCAGCCGCGGAGCGCAAGAGGCGCAGGATTTACAACGGTTAGGATATGCGCGCGTCGCGTTTGCGCCCGCTCAGCTAAGACCGCTTCTGCGCCTTCGTCATGCAATAGCCTTCAGAGATTCTTCACGATTCGGTATATTTTGAGTAAAAGACATCGCAGCTGTAGTGGAGGATTAGACGGTTGCTGCTGAATCTTGCAGTTATATCATCTTGCAACGAAGTTTTGTTCAGTAGATAGTACGTGATAATTCTGTTATCAAAGTGTATCCAAGATTTTCATGGAAGCTTGCAGGCACTTCAACACCTCTTGTTATCAGCCTATCAACTATGGTAAAGGCTAAAGCCGGACGAAGAAGTCCACATTGAGAAATGAGAGCTTTGATTATGACAGGTCCAGCACATACTTCACGCGATAGTCATACGCAATTTGCCAGTTACAAGATGTCTCCAAATGTAACGCCAGCTTACCGTAGATGTAAAGCGTGTACAACTTTCTAAATAGATAAGTGCCCTGCTTTCTGTACTTTTAGAATCCGCCTACGATATATAAACAATTTGACTATTGCCAAACCACGTCGCTACTGAAATGCCTGCAGTATGCTCGGGGACTAGAGGGACATTTTGCGCAATGAGGCTGAGAGTTGGTACACGGGGCGGGGGGGGGGGTGAGGGTGCTGATTACGAATAGATATTTATCTTATCGATTCTATCGATTCTTAGAAAATTTTGGGCGAGGCTGGGAGTTGGTGCAGGGGCAGATGAGGGTGCAGATTGAAAATAAAATCTATTTTATCGATTTCACCGATATTTGGCAAATCTTGAGCTAGGAATTGGTGTCATGAATGAATCGGCTTTTAGCCGAATATGTCAGCAAGTTTTAGATATGGTTGCTCTAGTTATTCGATAAATCAGTCGAATATTTACTCGAAATTTGACTCCCAATGTTCGAATATAATCGATATTCGATATTCGTTTTTCGAGATCTTTCATTTTTGAATTTATTCGATATTCATTCACTCGATGAAAATTTCGAATTTACCCAAGTATACAATGTACCACAACCGATTGATACATTTAGTGCTTCAATGCTTCCAAGACCAGGCGTGTGAGCTAGCGCGTGATGGGGAACCCCATCACGTCTGGGGCTGGACGGACCGCAGAAGAAGACGCCGCAGTGGTTGAACGTGCGGCAGTGAATGAACCACTTGCGTCGGCCTTGGAAGATAGCCAAGACCAGAGCCGTCAACTTTTCATCGAAAAAGGTTTTCATATCATACGCTTATATCACCAAACTGTGCCAGTGTTTTTTCTAAGCGGTGCACTCACTAATGTTGGAAATCCTCAACTGAGAAATTCTTTTGATGCATTCACACCATCCTTAATTTACTTTTTCCTTTTCCGCTCTCACTACTTCCTCCACCCACTTTTGCTTTACTTTTTTTGCTCTTTCTCGCGAGCTTCTATTTCATCTTTCAGCCCCGAGATCGAGTGTCGATCTCTTGAAGTTCCCTGCTAGTTACGAAAACGTGGTGAAAACAGGGTCTGGCGTATAAAAGTGGGAGAGAGGAAAAATATCTGTAGAAGTGGAGAGCGGTGATGTTCTATGATACTGTATTAACAGTGCCGGAGGCGGGTACGCCCTATTTTAGAAGTATTGCAAAAACAAAATTATGCCGCGGCTTGGCGCGCGCGGCCCCTGGAAGATAGGTGCCACTCCCTGATTGAGTGATTCGGCACTTAAATATAAGCGGTTGGGGATATAGCCTAGGAGAATATCCGTAAGCTATTAGGATTATAGAATTGTATTCTGACAAGGCGATTGCGACAACCTTGAACTAATTCAATCCATTGAATCTCAGCCATTATCTCCGACAATTCATGAAAACTTCCCGAAGAGAAGCGATTTTGGCAAACTTGGGTTTCACTTAGTACAGATGTGAACGGAGCGCAAAAATGGGAATTTCCCGCAACTTTGAAGTCAGGAGCAACGCATTAGGAACTTTCCGAGGACCTCAATCCCCCATGATGTAGAAATGTCTGAGGGCTTTGACACAAGGAAAACTCCCCGAAGGTTTTCTCTTTCGTGATCTGCCACTTCACTTCATGCGTAAGTGCCATATGCGACCATAGAAATCCAACCTTTTTTGCATAATGCTCACTTCGATATTCAATTTACCATAAATGAGGTTTCAACTTGTTTGATCTTCAATCTTCTTCATTTTTATATCGCTTTCTTAGTTTTATGCTGGAACTTTCTCTCGCGGTCCGAGTTGTCTGCAAAACTTGTTTTTTCATGTTTCATTCTATTGCTCCGGCATCTGGAAATGTCAATTTTGTAGTGTGATTTCTTTGTAGGAGAAGAGCTGCTATATAGTGCAAATTCCGCTCAAAACTATGTTGCATGAAAGCTAGTAATGTTTATTGATGTACTCATTGTTGCCATATTTATGTTAAAAAAAACTTTTTCTCTGTCTTCACAAGATATACAGGCCGCAAGTCTCAGATTGATTCTTCGAGCCAAAAAATTACGCGTGTTTTCAAGCTGCTAAACTTGCCACAATTCTCATTACTTTCTACAGCTCTGTATATTCATAGCAGCTCGTTTCCCGCCTTATCTGAATCTCAACTCCTTAGTTTAATTGTGTTTGTATTGAATCTTCCCTCACACTCTTTAACGCCATTCTTTTCGTCAAAATATTACTATTCTCTCTGAAAATCACATTTCAGAATGTTGCTCTTGATTGTTCCTTCTCAAGTTCCCATTCACCTCAAGTATTTGTGTAAGTTCCCCACGAAATTACCGCGAAGTCTTCTTGAGTAAATCACTGTTAATCCTTTCAATAACTCTTCTAGTAAAAGCCGTGGTGTCGTCACGCTCTTAGAAATATCAAGCCACTCGCCTTTCGATGTCAAACTTAAATGACTACCCAAACTAAAAATCGGTTCATAATTATACGAACATCCCCTATTTTGCCGTTTTCTAGACATTTTGAAAGGAATGCAAGAAACCATTGGTACCATGTTAGAGAGCGTAGCCGAAAACAGTATATGCAGCACAAGAATGAAACTCTGTGTCAAATTTGAAGAAGCATTGCGCCCCGAACGCTATTCTGGCCGGTTCATAATTATACGAACACCTCTATCAGAGCTCTTTTGTTGCTTGAGGTATATATACTTCAAATACAGTACAGTATAGTATAGTACATAGTATACTTTATACTTCACTATGAACTAAAATGTCTTTGTTTTTTTACAACTAAAATTACCTAGATTTCCTTCGAGATTGAGGCAGGAGTGGCGTTATGATCTCGACATTCTCGTTAGGCATAGACATGTATGGACATGCTGCGCAGCAACAAACAGCAAATTCGAATATAGTATCAGATAATATGTAACAATCTCTTCAATTTGCATCCTATTTATTGTTTCCTGCGAGTCTGGATAATTACAAATATAAGAAGATGCAACATTTATCAGACTATGTCGAATAATTAGATGAGAATTTATTAGAACATATTACAGAGATGGAATGGTATCAGATGAATGCATGAAAAGGATGAATGCAACAGACAAATGTTCACTAGCGTAATGCTATAAATGCTTGAAGTGCCTAAGCAAAGTAAACAATAACAAAAAATATGTAAAGCATTAGCAAAGAGGCAACTGCAGTCGATATTCGACGCCAAAGATCTTTACGAGTTCTTTCGTGATGACCTAGATTGGCTGGACGCCAAACTTATCAAGACCTAATTCACCTAGAAAATGTCAAATTAAGTGAAATCACAAGCATCACGTCATGTACTCAGACTATAAAAATGTCTCCGTCATATAACAGCAATAGTTACCGCATTAATGAAAGTGAGAACAAGTAAACCAGTAGAAATTAATGGGAATAAGGCGTAAGCAGTGTCGCTTTGTTATTATTCATAAGAATTTCTCTGAAAGTTGCTTATTTTGTCTCATCAACAAACGCTGGCGGTACTCCAACCACGTCCGTATCCGCGACTTCATCTTCAGCCGTATCGTCGCTGAGAGATTTCGAGCGAAGGCGAGCACCGGGCTGGAAAGAATCTTATGATCTAAGAGCAAAATAACTAGCTTTTCTGCCTGCTCTGCTTAAAAAAAGTTCCTAATCATTAAGGTATTCTTGGTCTTAGGATTAGTCTACATCTACGTCCTGCTTACAGCATAGCTAAAAACACCGACGACTTTGAAGACTATATCCTTCAGCGTCTATGTGAGTTTACACCCTGAACTTACGAATAATCGGATGTAGAAAATCTGGAACGGTAACAATGCTTTAGATCTATACTTTTTACACTCATAGTTCAAATTTTTGAGCTCCACTCATGATGAGATTTTCAGTACGCCACGGTTTGCTATAGCATACAGTCCGACTAGAGCTTATTGGCGTTCATAAAGATAATTCTATACTATATCAAAGTGTAAGATAGACTGAGTAAGATATCTTATCCAACGTTCCTGATCGGATCAAAATGTAAATCCTGTTGAACCAAAGCAGTCACTACAAATTTGAGTCCTTTGGTTTCTAAATTGAGTTGGATTTTGAAACTGTATTCTATAGATTCTAAAAAAATCAATGCTTCGAATGGAACGCTACCCAAATCCCTTTCTGGGTTCATTGATTGTTATTTAATTACTTAATGTTGTGAGTTGACGGCAGGTGAATATATGAAAACAGAGCTTACTTCGCCGTCGCTGATTGACTGTTCGTCCTCTTCCTCTTCGTGACAAAACTCGTTTTCATTTGCTGTTTTCTTGGTCCATCCACGGACTGAAAAAGAGAGAAATGTAGATAGATAACATAGAGGATAGGAAAAGGTAGAACAGTAGAGAAAGGGATTTTCATGTGCATTGGTGGTGGCCATAGAGTGCGATCTATTCTATGCTAGATTCCACTACCTTTTCTGGGTTACTTTGCTGCCAATCCCATGTGAACGAGTTTTCAACGGTTCCCCCAGACGAATAAAGTTTATTAGATATATAAGAGTTTCTCGATGTGCTGTGCACGCTTGCACACCTCATCGGAGGAACGAACCCTATAGGTTTCGATATAGCTTCCCCGTTTTCACCTAAAAATACAGAAAAAAAGGGTGCAAGTCGATGTTTAGGCTTTTCGTGGATTCTCCAAAAATGTTTGTGAGAGTGCAGTAACTGACCTTGCTGTCCAACGCTTTCTTGTCGTTTCAGCATGTCCGCCTTGGAGCTCTTCAATACAGAAGCATGATCGACGGTGCTTTCATGAGGCATTAGTTGCATCGCAGCGCGGAAAAAGTAGAATGACGGATAATGGACGAGATTGTAGCAGGATGATGCGTAGAGATCAGCATACCTACAAAATTCAGAAGCTTTGTGCCCCAATAGTGCATAAGTAGATAAAAAATTTCATTGCTTGTTTTCAGCAGAAAAAAAAACATAGCATACCTCTCCACTTGGGAGGCAAAGAATGTTGTCCTAGATCCAGCACGAAATAGTGATCCTAACACTCCGTATTCTTGGTCCATTTCATGAGCAAGATTCTAAATCAGTAAATTCTCAGAACCAATCGACATAATGGAACAGTCTTCGATACAAAAAAACAGGCAATCTTATACAAAAGTGAGCATTTTACCTTGACTTGTTGAAGGACAGTGTGAATTTGTGGTTTGTTCCTTGATGTTGCGTCTAAATGTTTGTAAATATCGGCAAGGGTATTGTCAAGTTGATTCAGCTGCTCAAACAGTGGCCGACGATCTGTCCACACTGTAAGTTCATGATCGAGTTCGGGAACAACAAGGAACGTTCTCCAGCCACGAGATTTCTTTGACCTGGAAATTATTCAATATCTCGAATTTTCTGAGTCAAAAAAATTTCAGCGATTCGTCTTCATGATCACTGATGTTGATTCACTGATGGAAAGCGTTTCGATGCATCCAACACACTTATTCAAAAAACAGCAAAAACAGTAACAAAATGAGAAAAACTGAATTTGAAAAGGTTTACTCTACACAATAATTCAAAATATAATAAAATTTGCGTGTAGAAATCTTATACATTTTTTGTACCAGAAGACGGAACCACTTATCACAGTCAGATTTCAAAACACAAACCTCAAGACGTCACCAAAGATGTGGTCACCAATGTATAATACATCTTTCCCTCGAGCTTTTACGATTTTGTGGAATGCATCACTCGAACCTAAACAAAAATGATTGAAGCAGTGTTGTGTTATACAGGGTGACAAGCAAACATGTACCCACTCATTGATTGGAATAAATTTTTTGAATTATAAAGTTGATGATGAATGAGGCTCAATAGTTCGAAAATGCTCAATTGTCGACACCATAGCACTACTGTGTGCATTATACATAAAAACATTGGAAACTATTGTGACATAGAAACTGTTTTCGATCCAAATATTATTTTGACTTTTTCAAACACCTTTCCTATATTGTACAAAGTGATTGTAAGAAAGACTGCTAAAGAAAAGTGTCCGAATTACGGTAGCAAATCGCCAGATCAAAGGATTTTAGTAATTTATCTCATATCAAAGACTGATCGTTTTGGAAACCGCTCACAAAAATTTATGCGACTAATGTCGAGTAAAAATTCAGATGGAACCTCATCATTTAATCACGATATGCATAACCTATTGATCTTACTCAAAAAACAAGTCTCATGAACAAGTGAGTACATATTGCAAGACACCCTGTATATTATAGATGTTACCACAGAAAGTTTCTATCGCACCTCCTGAGTAGACAACCCCTTCCTTTAGTGGACCCGTATGAACCCCTATTTTAAGCGCTCCAGTTTTGGTATCCACCTAAAATATTTTAGCCAACATAAAGGTCGAAAGCTGAAAGGATTACACATTCCACAATATTTGTAAAATAAACTGACCTCACGGAATACGGTACCCTCAGCAAACCATTTGGGTTTTTTGGCATCTACTACACAAATATTGAAATATGATCGCCAGTCGCGACCAAGGATGAAAGACATCATTTTCTGAAACATCTCCGTTCATGGAAATTCCCAAGAAATTGGTATTTTCAGAATTCTTTGGAAGCGAACTCACATCCGTATATCTATAGTCACTATTGGTTAGTAAAAATGTCTGACGTCCATTCTCGCGTAATTGTTTGAGCAAAACAGTAGCTCGGTCATCTTGGACCACATATTTCTCCATATTTTGCATAATAATGTCCTTCATGTTACTCTGGAACATAAGATTGCGTAGGTGAATACTTCAGTCAAACCAAATACATTTTATGGGCCATTAAACACTGCACTATGAAAAGATTCAAGTTGTTTCTAGCTTCACACTCCTTTCCAGGCCAAGATACAGGAACATAAACTAGATAGGATTTTTGCGCTATAAAATTCAATTATATCTGTAGCGCTTTCTCCAAACACACACTTCTCAAACTAGACTAATTGAAAAGGCTGTCCTCTACAAACATTGCAGTGCAGAAACTACCAATGTACACTAAAAGCACTTGCAAGATGACACTTTGCATCACATCGTCAGTTTACAACCTCAATGTTTTTCAGTGAAATTCCCGAGATAAGTGTCGTGAGCTCACATACCTCTAAGTGAACATAGTCGACAGCAGTGCGACAGTCAAGAAATATGGATTTGTACGACATCAGCACATCCCCACCCCGCACACCAGTCTTATCCTCAAGCCTAGAATTGAACTTTAGAGTGGACTAGTGTTTACATCTGTTCCCGAATGAACATCTGCAGAAGGTCACATGCACTCTGCACTGATTATTGGCTTCAGTCTTGAAAATGAACCCTAACTTTACAGCGCTTAAGTGTGATTAATATCTCTTATCGGCAAATCGTTGGCATCATGCCTGATTTTGCGGTGCAGCAAAATCAGCGCCTTGAACAAGTGCCCTTTCTAACGACCGCTTATAGCCTTATCTAAGGGTCTCAGGAGATAAGCAGAGGCGCATTTATGCTTTTTAGGCGCAATAAAAAAGACGGATTTTCGTTGAATGACGTGGAACTTGAATGCTGATAGCATAGGCGGAAGCGCGACATCTATCACAAAACTCTCAAGAGAACCTAGTCCAAGAGCTCGAAAGGCGGGCGCATTAGAATTTTTGTAGCATTAACAGCTGTACATAGCTTAGATAAAGAACAAGTGTAGACACAACTTACGGTGTGTAGTCTGGATGAGAGTCAAAAAAGTCGATGAGGTAGGCAAGCAAATGTGTTTCAGGAAGATTGAACAACGTATTCAACACAAACACTCGTGATTCGGTTAGCGGAAGATATTTGTTCGGATACATCTCCTCAATTTCGGATCTGAAATTCATTCATTCCAAAGAGCATGTCTTGTCCGTAACAAACACATACGTTTTAAGAAATTTGAAACCATGCATGCCCACAAGGATGTTGCCAAATCCATCTACTTTTAAGATGTTCCCATATGTGTAGTCGAACCACAATCCTAAAGCGTACTCATCAATATTCCTGACAGGCGCATTCATTCAAGATGAGTGAATGACTCTAACTGACCTCGAACTGGGAAAATAGGATCGTATTTGAATTTACGAATTTCTTCTGGATATCCTATATCTATAAGTCGCTGTACAGACATATCAAATGCTAGGATTTCAGTATCCGGCGATTTATACTCTGAAAATTAGTCATAGCAGATTGGAAACTAATGTGTCAACTTCAATTTCAAGCTTCAGTGAACTGTAATGCGCACGATACTGCTGTGTATGCTAACAAAAGAATGGTGAATTTCGGACATTTGCACTTTATGTCTGAATAACCTCGCGCATTTCAGGCCATTCATTGAGGAGGGTGAAAAAAAAAAGAAGAAAGTTGCCGCAACTCTTACGCACATAGCATGACGGTGAGAAGATGGAAAAGAGTGTTTGGATTTCGATATTTAAATATTCGCGCAAGGATACGCATTACATCTATGACTCGATTCAAGAAGATGCAAAAGAAAGGTAAGGAGACTTACGAATAAGTGTGTAGTCCATGTCAAAACCGAAGAAATTTATTTTCTCCATTCGTAGAGATCGATTGACGAACACCCTGAAAGGCATGTTTGAGATACTGCTTTGTCTTACTTCTGTTTAGATTCTCTTCTGAGAAACGGTGTTTTTGTCAAGTTCTCATTAGTTTTTGTTGACTTTTCATTAGAGAAGATAAGACTTCGGTCAAAGAGAAGGCTGCAAACAAGGTCTAGCCCGGAAGAATCGAATCGGCACCTTTGTTCGGGGATCCGTTTGTGGATCATCGTGTCCGAGACCATGACTTGCGCGAATTCACCACTACCAACTAGGGACAGCGAGAGTTCTACCAGCCGAGAGAGCCGGGCCGAGCAGCAGCGACGCGGCGGGGACGACGAAGGTGGCGGCCGGGCGGCCACAGACCGCCCACCCCGAAGCGCAAGCGACAAAAAAGTGCGACATGCTGACATCATCACAACAACATTCTGCCGCTGGCCGAGTCGCAACGCTCGAAAAACGTGCCATCCGTGCACGTTCCTGCACGAATTTACCAGCTCAGCTACGGCAAGTAACAAAAAGTCCCGTCTCGTGCTCATTTTACACATGCTTATGCCGTTCCATGTCCTGTTTTTGCGAGCAAGAGCCTTGTGCGCTTCGCCTGACCGCGCCAGCTATTGCTCACTGCTCCTTCACTTCGGCGCAATGTTTTTCACATGCAGGCCTTTTCAGGATAATCGAATCCTTCCTTTGGCCATGCCACTGAGCAATGATGCTGTACGCACTTTGTCCTCGCTGGAAGTAGCCTTCCTCAAGACCTCAAAACCCATTATGCCTAAGATCGCTTTTAGCTGTTAATGCAAGCCATTGTAGTTTTGACCTGATAAACGTGTGAAAGCACTTTTTCTATGGCGCCTATTGGTCTACAAGATGCAGAACACAAAATCATTCACTCAAAAACTTAACAGTGACTCATTATAACTACCAGTGCAAGCCGATCGGAAAACAAAGTTTGTTCTCTCTGTTCGAGAACATACTGCTTTTTCGTCACAGTTCTCAGGTGATTGCAACAAAGTTCAAAAAGCAAGCTACATAGAAAAGATGCTGTTCAAGGCTCCTACTTCTGTTCGATTAAAGAATACGAATTTCCAGTACATTTCTCATCGTAGTAGTTATCAATTAAGGCTGTGGCCATCTCTCGAAAGTTTACGACTTTGAGATGTACGAGAATATATAAAATTTTGCGGTCAAAATACATAATGCGAAGCTCCTGCTAGTTTACTTCCATTTCTCGTTCTGTGTAACTTAGCTGAATACTCATATCGTCCCAATAACACTGAGCAGATTTCGACAACAAGTAAAAGTATCTCACCTTTGTGCCGGTTCACGTTTATAGACACGTGCGAGATCAGCTGCTCCTGCAGTAGCCATTTTCTGAAACATCACAGTAGAAAAAGCTTGATACAAGCAATTTTGACATTTCTCAGCGAAAATCTTGAAAAATGACACTAAACGGACAAAGATGAAAAGCAATAAATATTGGCAGTTTTTAGCTCGATACCAAAAGCATAAACGTTTAGCTTGCACTTTCCACAATGAGATGCGTTCACATTAGCAAATGAAGCATTACCAAGCCTTTGAACATTAATTCTGTTAGTCATTATCATAGTTCTTTCCTTTACAAATTACTCATAACCAGCAAAAATCATTGTAGCCCTCTATCAAAGCACAATAGCAATAACAAACACTCTCGGGCTTTAAAAAAACAGCGCAACTGGTATGCTGTTGGACTAGTGCACCACAACGGAACCTCAAAAACGCAGAAAAAGAACACGTAACAGAACGATGATGATGTATGAGATACAAATAGAAACGACGTACACAAAAGTCGTCGACATTACGACTAGCTCAATCTGGGAAAGGTTTCCAGTTAGAACTGAAAATTTGGTTGCATAGGTGGCAACAAGGATTGGATATTTTGTTTTATTTTGCCCGAGATCACTATAACTTACGGGCAAGAATGACATAGCCAGTCTTTTCCAAATTTTCGATGTAGAAAGCACCACAGAAAATGTGGCTTCTCATAACAATTTTTGTACTTCACGATTCGAAGAAGTTATTTTTTTCAACCTTTTCTCCTGGGTGCGGTGATAGGAAAATGTCTTCATCATCCTTGCTTACAGAGCAGTCAAACTGATTTTATGCATAACGTTTCATTGCTAGGCATAATTTATACCCTAAAATCTGCCTCATTGCCATCGAGGGGCATCTCAACTCAAAAAGTCAATTGAAATCCAACAAAAATGTCAGCTGCTTCCGTACAAGTGAAGGGCAATTTAAGTGAAATTTCTGAAAATACTTTTGAAAGCAACAGCTGCTTCATCACTATAGGACATCCATTCAGCTGTGGTGTAACATCACTTTTCTGAATTCTAGAATATCTGACATGTTCGCAACGTTAAACTTACACTGCGAAACGTTTGATGTAAAGACATGCCTGTAGAACGAAAAACACAAAAAAAATCTATTGTCGTAAACTCGTAGAGAAGTCATGAAGTCCACTTAATCACCGATGATGATCAAATAATAGGCAGAAAAAAATTCTAAGCCAACAACTGCTGAGACTGAGTTGCCAGACGGCGATAAGCTCAAGAAACAGCAACAAACCGATAACAAACATTATCGCAGTGAGCAATAAGCGCTTGAACTCCGATGTTTTCCGGACAAGACAAAATCTTTCTGCATGAACGGAGGGATAGAAATATGAGGGTGGGCTTCAAATGGTGAACAAGGAACGTATGCAACAGATGACGAGTCGAAACAAGAAAATGTAACAGCACTTGGGTTGCGGAGCATGATGACTCGATTCCTTGTTGTTTTCTGGAAGTACAGCTTCTTACAGGGCAAAAAAAAATCGATTATACAAGCCTTCCACAGAAATCCACAAAAATTTGGAATGTGAATTTGGGATAATTTAGAAAGATATCTGCACCTTTTCCAATCTTTCACACTTAACAGGATTGAGTAAGTACTGCGTTCAGGCTATACTACATTTCTATATCACGTTAATTGTAGACCTAAAACAAGTTGTCGACTATAGACAATATGTAGACCCAGAGAAGAGTATTACGATCCCAAAGAACAAAGCCTACTGCTCCGTCTGACTCACAAAAGATCTGTCATGAATTTCTTTCAACCACCATGAACATGATGAACGAGTGAGATGCATGATCAATAGGAGAGGATAAAGTAATGGATAACAGATGATTAAGGGGATGTACCGCTGTTGTGGCTCTAATCAAGGCAAGAGATGTCGTTCTACAAGGGCGCTCATACATGGCTAGACGATAATAACAGCTCGAGGTTGTTGTGGAGATGTGAGCAAAAAGGTGAAATGGTGATTGTGAAGAAAATTCAGAGCATTGTTAACGGGATATATTTATATGTACATATCACTTTGACAAATAGAGTTGATTGATTTATTGCCAAAAAGCAATTCGCAATATAAGACTAAAATTGTTAGCTAAAAATAAGGCGCATTAGCAAATTATGCAGACTCATGAGTTTCTTAGAGAAATAAACCAAAAAATTGTGAAGACCCAAATTTAGTGACCTGTAGAAAGGTACAAACAGCAATGCACCTTAATACTTCCACTAATTATTTTACTCTGATTTTTTTCGTATCATCGTCTCTCAACTTCCTAACATCTTAGAAATGAAGGTGGCATCACAGCAGATCAAAAATCGTCCCGCAAGCAGAAATTACTTTCCTGTTTCGATCACATTTTTTCGGTTCTCCTACTTCGCAAGCAGAAAAATCGAATTAGAGATTTTCGCTTGAATAGGTGCACGAATTCTGTTTCAAGAAAACACGAGCTATGTGAAAAAGTACGAAATCCAAGCATTCTAAAGCAAGAGAGAAGGAAAAAAAGCGATTGCTTTCATTCCAAAAAAGTACCATTGTAGAGTAATAGCTGAGGATCTGACAAAGCAAGTAGAAGTAAGTGCGTAAACACGATGTCGTTCATCAAGTGTTATTAGCATTTCACACAAAATTTAATTATAATATTCCATTTGACCTAGCAATCCTACATGTCGACATTTTCCAAACCTAAACATGAATAAGGCATTCTGCTTGTTCCCCCCCCCCCCCCTCTCATTCTTTCAGTTTTTTCCTCACTCCCTCCCCCTCACCTCTCCATCTTGTCAAGAGACAATAGTTCCAATTTTCCATAGCGTTGCTCAAAAACAAATGTATAAGAGCAAAACTGAAATTGTTCGATACAAAATCTAAACCATTTCACATAGGCATGTTGGCAAAAATGGTTCATTAGCTAAAAGTCTTTGAAGTATGTAGTAATAATCAAAGAAAAAAGAGATGCCTAAAAAATTTCAAAAAAGTAAGCACATAGCACAGCATCGAGATAATCTGAACCATCTTCATGCAGGTAATGTTACTTGAAAGTTAACATCGCATTCCACCACCCACGCCTGCTTCTATTCAAGACTTCTTCACGCATGAAGGCCAACACCGGAAAATACGCATTTGATTGCTTTGGTGGTATTTTGCAAAAGTGCAGCGAGTCATAAAGAGTCTATAGCAAGGAAATAACTACTTTCTAATCGTTGTTCCTTTTTGTTGGTATGCTTAAATGTCTCTCATTATGTGAACGCAGGCGTCGAGAACAATTACCAGTTATGGATGAAAGCAAAGCAAACCTTTTTACAAAAACAAGGAAGTGCACGAGAAAATTCAGTGTTTGAATATTTGCTGAAGACCGAGCAGTTACTCCAAAAGTGCCAAAACTCTCAGAATAAATGGAAAGCAATACAGGGGTAAACTCATCTCCTTACAGATTATTACAGACGTCTTCGAATGATAGGCTCTTAGTTTTGAACAAAATCTCCAGACCGAAAACTAATGACCCGTTTACAAAACTATATTGCGGATGTTATTAACCAACGCTAGTTGCTAAGTTTTGTGATGTGATTGATGTGATAACAACGAAATATCATTGACAGACTACGGGAACGGTGGAATATCAGCACTACACAGACATCATTTAACTGGAAACCAACATATTTTATAGCTATCGAGAAGGTATATCATATGATCGCAGCTTAAGAGCATGGAGTATTTGCATCACTTACAGTTACTCCTACGCTTCACCACGGTAGAAAATTCTGAGTCAGCTAAAATCAAGAACACTCAATGTCTTAAAATTGTGAAGATAAGCACGAGTCGATTCGAAACTTCATGCTGTGGTATGACACTTTGTTGTACTACTGCTATGATGATGTGATTGATTACTTCAGTCAAAAAGGTGTTAGCATGTTTGAATTCTGAGCAAAGTTCAGCCCTTTCGAAACTATTTTCGAAATGCAATGTGTCCGTGACGCCAGAAACACTAGAAAATTCTATTGTTAATCTACAGCAATTGCAATGAGTAGAAAAAATGCTTAATGAATATAACTAAGAAAATGCTGAGTTAGTTAAATAAATCGAAGTAAAGCGAAAAGTAGAAGATCGCGGTTTCTCGTATTCATAAATGTCCCTCTATACGATACTTAGAAAGCACTCGTGCAAGAAAATTCACCAATTTAAAAAAATGTCAGAGAAAAGAAGTGCGAGGGAGGAGGGGGTCCAATGTAATCGGCATCTAGTCTGATTTACTGGATAGTAGTATTTATTCATATTCATCAATATTATTCCTGCTAGGCTGTCGACGGAGATGCAGTGGCTTATTTTTTCTGATTTCTAAATAAAAATTCCGAAAAAAACTGAAAAGGCCCTTTAGAAAATTTTTTTTTCGCAGCTTTGCCTGTCACAAGAAATTTGCAAAGAAGTTTTTGCAAGGGCCACTAATTTGCGCTACAATGTCTGTTGTGCTCCTTCTACGACTTGTAAACAAGGCCCAAGTGGCCCAGCTGTGTGCCATCAGCACTAAAAAAACCAGTCTAATTGGCTGGAGCAATTGGCAATGAAATTCCTTGGAACTGGGTGTCGCCACAAAATTACGAAGATGGAAAAACTTTCCAAATTTGTGAGTTGGAAGTTAGCGTTATGAGGAGACAAAAGTGAGGTGCACAGCCAACTTAAAAATGTATGGAAGGTAGATAATTAAATGCTCAGTAGTAGAACTAAACTAAATGAGACAAGCAGCAAAATAGCAATCACCTAAAGCACTTTTTAGGCCATATAACGTGAAGCATATAACTGTTAATTCCAGTTCGTTAAACACAAAAAAAAATTCGTACATATCTTATCGAAAATTTCCAGCACGACTTAACAAGACTGTTAAAAATACGGTGAGATGTCTGGGTTCGATGAAAAAAAGAGGGAGCCAGACCTGGAGATGACAACACCGCTCGGAATAAAAATTCCGGATAACTCAGACTTATATAGCTCGAATGTGAATACGCAAGTGCCTATAAGTAGACAGCTAAGCTATAAGTACATGCGAACTTGGCCACAGGAAAATCCTAGAATAGACTTTCGGGAAGTGGACAACCATGAAAGTACGCATTATGTGGGACAGAAATCAACTAAGGACATCTAGCGTACGTCTGCTTAAAGGAAGATATCGATCTGTTATTTGCGAAATGCAAGCAGCTTAAACGGACACTATGGATTTATACGCTGACAGAAAACAAATGAATGCGAAAGAATTCGACGACATCGAGAATGCAAGAAAATGACAGCTGACGGATACCCGACGAAGATCTACACGATACATGAAAAAGTCAAACAAGTATTTACAAGACAGTGCTTCAAAGTGAGCAGAACGCTTGGGCTTCAATGAGCTGTAAATAAACACCTCAGCTGTAACAAAAGTGAGAAGAGCATTGACACGATTGCTCACTAGTCAGCTCGTTCGGCTGTGAAGAAGACGAGCAGTTACATTATATTAGCGATCGTAAAGTAGATAAAATGATATAAATAGCAGAGGTTCTTTAGAAGAATCGGAAATCGCGCGGAAAATCTGAATCCGCGCTAATGCGGATAAATCGTTGTGACAGCGTAAGCCAGATTAAAAACAAGACTAGATTTTATCTCGAAAAACAGGTTGCTTCAAAGATTGGATAATAAAATTTCACACACGATAGAACTAGCGATAGTATAGTTCTGCTTTTTACAAGGGTAATTTGAGCGAGAAGTCTTGTGAAGGTCTCTACAAAAATGAGCTCATAGAACTGCGATAAAGAAAAGTAAGAAACTGACAAAAGTTGAAGAAATTTGAGAGAAATTTCTGAAGCAAATATCAGCTTCCCACAGTTGGTTTGTGTGGACAAGCTGGCCGTATTGATTTTTGCTCAGGGACGATAGAGACGTTCGGCTGTGACGGAGCCGTCGAAATGTGGGTGGCCGTGTTGAGCAGCACGTGCGGGAGTACGAGCTACTTCTTTTTACTCAGCTAGAATCTTCTTCTGCGTCTCGATAGCTAAAATACCTTCATAAACTACTTAGTTTCTGAAGTTCATGAAGTCTAGTAGCCCAGTTTCTGAAGTTCAAGAAGTCTAGTAGCCCCTATCCCAATTATTCGATGCACGTTCGGAAAGTTATTACCCATTCATGGTCTAGGAGACTCGGGAAAGCGCGATTCGATTTGCTCAGCAAGGATCGTACTTCACTCTTACGTCCAATTCCTCATTACTTGTAAAAACATGTATTCGAGCTTATAATACTACGCGTAGCGTTCGCAAGTCTCATCGCTTCTGTGGATGACGATCTCGCCCTAATTCAGAAATTCGCTAGGGTAGACGACGTTTCGTGGCCCCAGTACCACGCGCGCGGAAAGCTGGCACGAGCTATATTAATATGCATGATTGTCGCAGATGTCACGGATATCGGCGATAGAACACTTTCTACATAGTCACGGACAAAAGCAAAAAAAAAACGTCATTTCGCACTTGCTCTTTGACTGAGATGAGCATCTACATGAGCAAAGACAGCAAAGTCTCAATCAAGAAAAGTGTGGAAGCGTGAGAATGTGAAACATGACGTAGAGGCCTTCGCGCAAAAGAACGATATGAAATTCTCACACGGAACTTTGTGGCGGACTTCCATGCAACCAATCCCTCAGCATTTTCTACCAATGTTTCCGCCGCATTTTCAAGATTTGCAAGAGATCTAGTTTCATAAAGCAACCAGTGTTCACCACTTACAAGCAGTGCACAGCTCCGCTTTTCCGGTGAACTCTCAAGCTTTATGCACAGATTTTTGCACAGCTCGGTTTGTTGCGATTGGGCATAATCTGTTTCCAAACTTCCTTTTCCAGCCTTCAAATTCAGAGATCGTTCTTGCGACGCTCTTTGACTTTGTGTGGGTTGTTGCGATATTTCCACGTTCAAGCAATGAGCGTTTGCTATTGACAGAGCATCGCATTGATATCATTGCTGTGTTTGCGCTGTGACAACGTCGTGACGCCAAAATCGTCTTTATAGTCGTGCTCATCTCACGTCATATCGTCGCGCAATTTTGGCTCGACTGTCAGCTCTAAATCGTTTCGTGATGTGAATTTTTTGCGACAATGTCACCGTCACTCATGATTCACATCGTTATTATGTTTCAGTGGTAGTTATTGCGCATTGTTGTTGCGATCAGAAATCGCGTGACTGGTTATATCTTTGTTCTGGTCCTCAAAATGCCATTTTTCATTCCCTTATCGCCATGAAGTAGTAATTATTGGCACTGTACGGGCGCTGCCAGTGCAGCGCTGTTCGTGCTCTAGTCAAAATTTCTGCCCCATTAGACCTCGCTTAATTCGAGGGTAGTTCATTCCATAATCAGTTTGATTATCAGCAGATCGTCCAAATGTGGTCCCAGCAAACCGGCACGTAAAATGTGTGCAAAATATCACGTAAACCTCACGTGAATCTCGTAGCGCCACGCGATTCGCTTCGTTCATCGTTGTTTCTTATCAAATCAGTCCTGCTCAACACACATATGTGGCGTTTTGAGGTCGTTATCACCGGGGCAGGCGATGCCACTCTGCTTCCTCATATTACGACGACATGCCTACAAACGCTGATACGAGTAAGGAACAGGGTCGTCATGGTAAGCGTCGTTCCCTTTTGCGGTTGGGAGGTTGCCGAGGTAGCGATGTCAATTTGCGCGTTCTCATACCATCAAAAATGACGCGTGAGTGTGAACGAATTTCATCTCCGTTCCTTTGTAGTCATCTTAGACTGAGCACTGAGCAACTAAGTCCTATTCTCTTCTGATCCTCACTTTTTGTGCACCTCCTGAGCTTGAAAATGATATTACTGTCGATGGCTGCACTTCTGCATCACTTGTGCTTGATAGACTGTCCAAATTCTCGAAAATAATTAGGTTAGCCTTGAAATATTCCAATAGTCCTTGAAAAGAAGACGAGAATGAGTAAATTAAGAGACCAATAAAAGCTACCGCGCCAGGCCGTAACGATTAACAAGAGTGGTCCGCCGCGCTATTTGACCAGATTCGATGATCAACCGTCTTCGTCATTCGCACAATTTTTCGTCGACCTCTTATGTTACAAACATTGCCTCCTAAACAAGACCACTTTCAGGCTGTCTTTCGAAAATGTTGCCATTATCGCAGTCATGGTATTATTGGGCAATGGTAGCACTTCTTTTAGCACAGGTAAAATTTTGAAAGTTTGTTTTTTGTTTCGTTGATTTCAGGAACTCGATACGCATTCTAGCAAAGTTTTTTCCTTTTGTTGATGTTTGCTGCAGGTCGAATACTCTCATTTTCTTATTTTCTACAGTTATAGAAGACATCTTAGTTTACCGTATGTTTTCAGGTAGTTTTGTCTATCAATTATCATATACTGGTCTGCAATATGCCGATTGCTAATACTTTATTATTACTGGTAATTATGGCGCATCATGGATATGCTCTAGGTGATCAGGCTCGTCCGCTATTCCACCGGTAGGTGTTTACGAGATTGGTGATTAAAAGCTTCTGTCTTGGGCCTTTCATCTTACTTGGGCTGTTACAGAATATGCGGTTGTGTCGCTTTTATTGCTGTATTGTTTGTAAACACTACTCACGCACTCGAACTTCTTACTGATTATCACGACGATCACTCCCATGCACATGGAGAAGACGAACACCACGATGAACACCACTCAGAAGATTATGGTTTTGCGTTTGTGCCAAGTACGTATGCTTAGTGCCGCCTTCAATCACTCGTTTTTACGCCTTCATTTCTGCTGTGCTACTGTTCCTTAGGGATCGTTCAGACCGCGCCAGAATCCGTCCAAACCCGCCCGAATACGTCCAAATCCGCCCAAACCCGCCCAAATACGTCTGAATCCGTCCGAACCCGCCTGAACGCTGGAACTGCCAAAGCGCAGCGGATATGCAGCAAATTGGCATATTGGAGCAGGCGTGGAATAATGCTCGCGTAATGCATTATCTCAGTCACACGTAGCTCGACGTTACATACCGATCTTCTTTTGCAACTACTCCGATATTAGAAGGATCAATCGCACGCGTGCTCCAATATGCCAATTTGCATGCAACCTGCTGCGCTTTGGCAGTTCAGGCGGGTTCGGACGTATTTGGGCGGGTTCCGGCGCGGTCTGAACGATCCCTTACGTCGCAAAACGGAACACTATCGCTATTTTCTTTTGTATGTAGATTAGCTGAAGAAAAACCATGTTTTCTTTACTGTATCGCTTACGCAGATCTCTAAAGAATGTCCCATTTTTTCTTTTGTTCAGCTTCGAGATTTTAGAACAATACGTCATCGTGAGTATTTTCGACGTTGCTTTGAAATGTCTAGTTTTGGCTCTGGGTCATATCCCATCAATGGGCCTTCATCCTATTCCACGTCTAATCTTGCACACGTTGAGCCCCACTATAGTAATCGGTGGGTTTTGAAATAATGCATATAGTTAGTTATTCTCTCTTATCTCAAGTAATGAGTTTCAGGTATGTACGTAGCTGGTCTTGCCATACCTCCTTGGCTTGGAGAATCTTGGATTTGGAAACATGTGGATCCAATGGTCGCAGTTGCAACAACGATCCTATTTTTCCTGCTCATCATTCCTGCATGTATGCCTCTTGAGGTCTCTGAAATTTTCATGACCTTTTGCTTATAGTCAGAGAGATGATGCCTTACATATTCGCAGACACGCCAGCAAAGTTTCATGTCGAATCGTTCCAGGATGAGATCTCGAATAAGGTATGATTTAGGCACAGCGTTGCTGGTTAAAGCGGCTTTCGAGGTTGTCACTGTGTGCTTACGTCAATGACAACTTGGTAATGTCGAAAGCACTACAGCAAGACCGATTTAGCGATTACTTTCTAATGGCATAGTGAAGTTACAGTTTCCCGATGTCACGTGCACTCACATCCACGCATATAGACTGTGGCCTGGAAATCAGTTTGAAGCCCTCATTCACTTGAGTTTTTTGGTTAGTTATTTTCTCTTTTTGTACGACAGTATATAACTTTAAAGTTGACTTACGGTGTGTCAGGGAGTATGGCCGCATTCTAAGCTTCTGTTGTAGACAGCGAAAAAGCTTTTGTTACATCAAGATGCGCGAACTATCATTAAGTCATTTTTATGGTAAACGAAGAAGTTCATTGTCGGAAAAATTTTCTACTCCTTCAGTAATTATCGCTGTGCTGTAGCATCATCTTCAACCGCACACGTCTGTAGACTGATTTCTGCGCAATTCTGAATTTTTCTTCAGGTGCATAAGCCGCACTCTTAGAGACCCGTCATACTTCGCCGAAAAAAAGCCCAAATGCGCGCAGAAGAGCCCGAAAAAGCGCCAAAGAGCCGGAACGCCCCTTCCGTTTTGACTCTAAGACATGTTATTGGTTTCACAACCGAGTCTTTTTGCTTCATTTTCTGTCGTCTGCACATCAAAATCTGCACATCAAAATAACGTCAGAATTCTATCACAATTTCGTTTTTACGTTCCGGCTCTTTCGGGCTTTTTCGAGCGCTTTTGGACTTTTTTCGGCGAAGTGTACGGGTCCCTTATGCTCTCATACGGTGAATAAAAACCAGCTCGCAACACCCTCCTATGCGCTATGTCACTAATTTGTGAGGGATCTGTGTAAGTAACACTCCAATTCCCTTCGGCTAGAAAGTGGAGCATAGCATCGGTTTTGGGGCGCACTAGTGGCTTCTACAGTAGTTAGGATGTGGTCTGGTTGTTGATCCACACTAGTAGTTCGACAACTACGTTTGCTTCTAGGTGGATAAATCGAAATCTGGATGGTCAGACGAAGCAGCCACACGTTATGCAGAGGTTAGTCAGAACGTCACAAGCGTGCTGACGAGAGCGGGAGCGCAAAAGGTGTGTGGGTTCAAAATTGTCATCATTCGGCAAGGGCTCTCGTGTGACTGCATTTCTCTAAGAGTAAAGGCCATGCGGATTTCACTTCTGGCACGTATTCCAGTGGAAGAAAAAATTAGTATGCACCTTGTTCTGAAAAGTAAATTTTGATGTCCATTTCGCTTTTGGAAGTCATGTAAGGCATTCCACGAGAGACCTCGCCGAGTGGACATGTGTACTGGAGGGATGTTTCTAGGCTCTGCAAACAGCTTCGTAATCTTTTAGGTGGTTGTTGAACCGTCATTTCTCGACGCGACTGAAATTGGTCGTCCGTGGGTAGGTTGTATTGGTGCGACATGTTTCCGACAAGACCGGGGATGTTGCAAAATACAGGATAATCGGGCTGCCGTTTAGTGGGGCTATTTGTACATCGCTCATTCTCACATATCAGAACATTGAACTAACTTCAGTTCATATCGTAGTGCACTCAATGCGTGATATGTTCATCGGTTTGCTGCAGTCAATCCAAATACGGGTGATGATCTATATCCTTGTACCTCGTTGCAATATTAACAGGCCCACATATGCTTATATTTGTTCTTGTTAGGACTCGAGAATTGTATATGCCTGTAGAAGATCCGCTTGAGAAACAGTATCGATTGTGAAGCAGATGCAGTCGAGCAGTCTCAATAAAAATGCAGCAATTGTACTCCTCAGGCATCTTTTTTCAGCTGTAAGGCGCTTTCGCTTTTGCTTTTTTGAAGTCATGAATGTCAATCACGTGTCACTTATTGTGATTTGAACGCTTTTATCAATCCCAAAATCAAGCCAGACCGTGGTAGAGACTAACCAATTCTTCCGTTAACAGTGAGGAAGTGAAAGGAGCAACTCTTTTAAAAAGGAGTTAGCTGTCTACAAGAGTAGAGATTGTAGAAGTAGGAACTTTGATTACAAAAGGTGGCTATAATGTAGTTTTTACTTTCCTATTAAGATCATAAATCAAAAATCGAAGCTTCAAATTCAAAAAAACGTCAGAAACCTACCACGTCAACGAAATTTTAGTATGCCGAGTATGTGAATTGGACTTCTCGACTGCGGATGAGTCACATAAGATCTGCTGTAAAGTTACATTATGACCACTGAATTTCTCAGGATAGTGAAGCTTGTAATTCTTAACGGGAAAGTGAAGCAACACTGCGAGTAGTATCTAACGTGCTAAAGAGAGAATGACCTGAAGAAGGTCGCAGTGTCTTACTTAAGATATTAAGTAGCTACTATGATATCTTTGAAGAACTAACTCCGTGAGTGTCATATTATCGTTGTTCTATGTACGAAGTGGACTTTTTATTGTTTTATATCCAAACATTTCATACAATTATCACGCAGACATGTACATTAATGAATAATTATCATTTAACGAGCGCCAATGAAGAATTTCAATACGAGACAGCTTCTAGCATTCATAAAAGAAGTGGCAAGAAAAAAAAAGAAGATAAAAACAGAAAAAAAAGGAACAAAATCCTCACAATAACCTTATTCTGGATGATTATCACATTTTCCATGACTAAGTACAGATCGAAGTCGTCAACTATTAAACAAATATTCCGCACAAGCTCACAGCATCACAGTTTGAAATTAGAACCGCGCATGTGAAACGGTGAGACGGAGTTAGGGACAATGTGAACAAACTGCAAAGTTGCCGAATCGACCGAGCATCACAGTTCTGATACAAAAAAAATCTACAATTTTGAAGCAGTTTCGTTTGCATACAGAGGAACAGCATACGTCTAGCACAAAACCCTGTAAGTGACAACGTGACCTAGGGGTACGCATTGCGTCTAGAACAAAACGAACATTTCATACAATATTATTAAGGGTACAAAAGCGGGTCATATACACAGTGAAGGCGGTTAGTCTGAGAGTGATGACCAGGAGCACAGCATGAAGCTGTATGACTGAAATGGAAGAGCAAATTTGTTATCAGTGCGAGAAGGAAGGAGAAACAACAACATCATAACAATTTCAAAGTGGTTATGGTCCGCTCCAGACGAGATTCGATGCAATCTAGCTGGGCCAGTTACAGCAGGATCTCAGAAATGGTTAAAAGACGTATCTGCAAGAATGATCTGCCATGCTTTTTTCTGCATATACGTCTCCAACAATCACTTCCACACTACTGGACTAGGTCTATCCGACTTGTTGAATGAAGAAAAGATCAAACGTCTTCATTCGGATGATGCAGTGGGGTCTAGCACCCTGAGCCTCGATATGAGCTCATCGCAGAGCAACTCGCTAGTCGGGGAATCGCCAGCGACAATTGCAAATTCGACATGAGATTTCTGCTCCGGTGGAAGAGTAGCACACCCAATTTCGACACCGGTGGAAAGAGATAAACGGCGCATCTCTGAATTAGCTTTCAAAGCATTTAGCACTAATAAGAAGTGTAGAAAACAAACCTTGGTCCATATAAACTACTTCATTTGTCTCTTCAAATCGGATCTGCATCTCGTTCAAACAATTTTTCAACTCCTGCACCACATCGACTAAGGGAAGTGTCGAAACAAAGCTCTAGAATGAAAATGATGAGCAGAAAGGCATTTACTGCACATACACCAGAAGAATCTAGAAAACAACCATTTCCATTGTCAGTGATGGAGATAATCTGATTTTTCCTATTCATTTTGATCAAGATGGATCAAAAAGCCGCTATAGCAGTGGTGACTGCATACGTTCTCGGCAAAATCTAGCTGGTTGTCTTACAAGCAGTCCAGCTTTGGGTATGACACATAATACATTTACTACACATGAACGGTCTCAAGCTGTTAATACTGAATGCAAAGGTTTGGCTTGGAGGTTCTACGATGCTAGGGTTTCAGTCTTGTGATAGTTTTTTTGCCACAGACTATTAGGAACATGTTCTCCAATCTGATCACATGAATTCTTTAAATAGTTGGACTGAAGTTAACGGAATCTATAATAGAAAGTAACTACGGTAACACGCAACGAGTTCGCAACATGTTTCGTGTCAATGACGAAATTACAAAATTCACCTTCACTCGGTCATCCAAGTTGTCCTTATCTTCTGTCTTAACATTCTGCTCAGGAGAAGACGTCCCGGATTTGGATGTAGACGCAAAACCAATCACCGTTGCTGGTCGCTGTCCAAATACCACTTCATTGACCTGTAGAGAAAGATGAACGTGGTATGAAAATAGCAATATGCTTTGCAAACGAATACTTGCTTTTTGTTCAAATAGATTGACCGGGTCAAATGAACTTGAACCGGGTGCGAGGCTACGATTGTGCTCATCAGTGATCGAGATTCGAGGGCAACCAAAAAGAGCAGCTCTTTGGTCGAACATGTGCGTAGGTGATCGGCTCGCACTGTAAATTGTATTTGAAGTTGTGGATGTTGATAGCGGAGTACAAACACGATACTGTTCAAGAAAACTCCCATAGTATGTACTAGATGAATTTACGATACGTAAAACACTTACGTAGGACTGCATCCTTGTGCAGCGATTTGACCAAGCCGTTGGAATTCCTTTTGTAATGCTTGTATTCCCATTAGGTCGTTTCCGCCTGAATATGCTGCCAGCAATTCCAAGTATGATAACACAAAACAACCGCATCACGTGTTACATTGAGATTGAGAAACGATTTGTTTGGTCCGCCTTCGGGAGAGCGATGTTACGAGTAAAATTCTTTGCATCTAATTTGGGTGTCAAAACGTGGTTTGCTTTTGTAATGAAGGCCGGACATAAATGAAAGAACAGAATACTCCTGAAAAGAGTGCATTCCTCATGAAAAAGCAGCATTTATGTCTGTTTTCATCTCTGATAGATTCCGAGAGAGCACTACGACGGGAAGTATACTTTTCTAACCATAAAGTGACTGGGTATCGGATAACACATTTCTTATATTGAAAGAAAAGTACCACCGACATGTGATTCTAATCTGCGACATTCGCTTGGTAACTTTTCCTGTCAAACCTTGCCAACAAATAGCTCAGACTGTTGTCACCGACTACTTTTAAAGGCAGCGTTCGGGCAGATTCTCGACTTCCACTTATTTATGTTATCCAGGCCTTTTCATTGCGCTGATGTCCATGGCAGTCAAAAAGCGTGACTTCCTCGAAAAACCACTTTTTGGGGCTATTTTGTGCCTATGCCCAAGCAAATGTCTCTTCGGCGAGAAAATCGCTTTGAAATAGCAAAAATGCATGAGGACCCCTAATCGGCACCGTCCCTCTCCAGAAATGCTCACCTCCGGAACGGGGATTGTCGGGATATCACGGATTCGTGACTTCACATACGGAATCAGGGACATGAGAAGGACCCGGAATGATCGAAACATGGAAGTCGAAAATATGGGTGGACGGTGTCTTTGAAAATCGACAGGAAGCGAAGCTGGCGTTAAATACGCTTGTGCCACCCTAGAAAAACCCACCCCCTCTTCTGATCAATCTACCAATAGGTAAAAAAAGTTGCACCAAACTTGATTCCTAAACACAAGAAAAAATGCAAAGATAAATGAAGTGCAAAGAGGCTAGCGTCGCCATATATTGCTCGAAGCCAAATGGTTCCGCTTGCGCGGACTCTGCCACGAACAAACCATTCATCTTCAAAAGTTACACTCTCTCCAGTTATCCGCACAGATAAAGCTTATCGCGACATAACCTACTCTATCCGTTCTCTCAGTGGCAAGATTTCTTTCCAAATCGCACTCACTGAACTCTCGTTCGCTCTTTCTCCTACAAACGAGAAGGAAAGCTTCACGAGCTTTGAAGTCGTATTTGGGATTAGCGTGACGATAATCCCAAAAAAGGAGGAAAACTCGGAATCGTTATCTAATCTTAAAGGCAGCGTACACCCAAAATTTGAGTTACCGAATTTCCTAGATCTTTCTACACCGTGTATATACTGGGCCCATAAGAAGACCAACTGCGTTGGTCCGGTCTCCCAATGTTGCTTCTGAGCGGAGAAAACCCCCCTCAATTTTCTTTCACGCCGCCCCTTTTCTTTCGCTCCGCCTCCTCCGGACGAATCCATAACAGCGTAAGCTGCAATTGCAGTTGCAGTTGCTGTTGCAACATCTGTTGCATTTGTTTTGGGTGTACGCTGCCTTTAAGAATCCGTAGGTTTGTCTAATGGACCTCAGTTAATTCTTTCGGACCTGAGTGACAATTGCCACCACCATTCTAGCGACGTGCTGTACTGGAGCACAAGCATATTTCCAAAACTTAGCTACATATCTTCACACAACCTTTGCCTTCCAAATGTAGCTTTTCGCCTCTCCATTCGTTCCCCTGTCACCAGCATAAGCATTTCTACGTACAAGTCGATTGCAACCAATCAAAAATTTGTGAGGGCTTCAGCATGTGTCAGTAATCTCGTTTATAAGCCAAGAAATACTGAGGATCTTATCAGAAACGGTAAGTACATTGCTATGCAAGAGCAATTGCTAACTAATTTTGAGTAGATACACTGGGGGAAATTTGAAAATACAAAGTAAACGCAAAACCGAAAAATCAATAAATTCAAAAGATAGAGTATATGTTCGAAAAGGCTCCAAACTCCGTTATAATGTTGTTCACATGGTAGAATAAAATTTTTTAGAAAGCGACTTCCCTGTCACGGGAAAAAATCAGGTCCGAAATGGTTGAAGGTAATATTTCACTAAAGAAGCATTACAAGCTTGGGTTCCAAAAATCGATGCTACTTAGGTTCCAAAAATCGATGCTACTAAACAAGAGTTCGCTTATGCATACTCAGTGCCACGCGAATTGCTGTAGAGCACACCCTCAAACAGGATCAGAAGAAATAAGATTATACTATATAAAAGAAAGAAGATTAATCCAACTAGCCTTTTGGTTGAAAAATTCTCCTGCCACATAATCAAGTAAGGGGTACCCTCAAAAATGAAAAATTAATTCAAAGATTCTCCCGAGAAAAGAAATTGAAAACAACGAATAGCGTTGTATGCGACACTTGGACTAGACGAAGTGTACTATCGATTGGCTCACAAAGGACTCACTGTCTAACTCTGATGCGAAGCATCGATAATTCGGTCAAATGATGCTGAACAATAAGAATTTTCTAGCTAATGTGAGCTACCCAAAAGAACGCCAACAACTTTTTCTTCTTCCAAGTTCAAAGATCTTAAGTACATTCGAGAATCAAAGTCACTGACATAGATCTTGCAAGCCAACTGCGTTACTCGCGTGATGATTAGGCAAATCGAAATGAACTAAATTTTCAGCCAAGAAGCTTTATGATTATCTCAACATTCATGAGAAAAGTGAGGAGATATTTAAAATGAAAATCGTGATATATAGAGCGGCATAAAAATAAAACTGGGAAAAAGTTGTAAAGATTCTGCACACTGACCAGATATAGCTTGGCGATATAATCGTTCCAATTGCTGATGTTGCTGCGCAGTTATCGCCGGAGATGCCCAACTGCTACGTCTTTAAATCAAAATTTTTTTCAACGGCAAAATTTTTTCCGCTTAGAAGAAAATCGAAAAGCCACCTTTCTGTTGACGAAGCTTTAGTGTACGGACTATGTCGAGGGACTGGTGATGATGGTCCAAACGGTGATGTTGCACCGTGCACGGTGTTTCTCTTGCCAGAGTATTTACTAAGATAACTGTAAATGCTAACATGATCCGAATTTTCTAGATACAAAAGAGTACGACTATAATTTACCCTTCCCCTTCTTCCTCAACACTCGGAACAGCAGCCGACGGCTGGGCTGGTTGAACAAGATGATTCAACGTTTCTATAGCACCAGGATTCAACAGATTCTCGCCCGCGGAAGCACGTCGTTCACCTAGAACATGATGAAGAAGGTGCTTCAAAGTAAAAAAATGCGAATCTATGTAAAACAAAAAACTAGCACTTAATATTAACGATTCAAAACGAACTGCTAGGTACGGGTAGCATTCTTGTGTAGTCCAAAATTGGCAGCAGTGGTAACCCAGGAAATATAGGGAGCTGTGGAGAAGTCATTAGAGGAGTCTCGCCCGAATGCAGCGCCATGTCATTTAAGGCCGTATGGTTCAATGCAGCCTGATAAACAAATATTTTTGGCTATAGCGTGACTACGTAAGCGATAAACTTTACTTGGTGTAGTGGTGAACCTATGGGCAGATTAGCCATGACATCCGGAGACAGGATTTGCTCACTGGCGCACAGCGTGTGTCGCCTGGCAGTGGAGTGTACTCAACTAGATGGCACTTCAAACGTACAAATAACCTGTGTTCGTTGCGATTTCCCTCCTCTGGTTTCATGGCCAAACCAAATTGGCATCGACCGCGGGTCCTACTTCTGCTTGAACTTGAGGGCGAATCGTCACAGATATCGGAAGTGGAGGAGTCGTCGGAGTCCTAAATCTTCTCGGCGGTAAAACAAGTATGATCTTAGATAACACAATGACCGCGAAAACGGGAACATACACATTCAAAACTTGTTGACAAATTGAGCTGAGCCAGGTGATGGGCAGATATAGTCGGCGTAGCTCCCTCTGGCTCAACATTAGCTTTTCCACTGAGGATGGAGCCACGCGATCCTCGCCGAGGATGATCATCAGTGGTTCCTGGAAGATCGCCTTCTTCTAAATCATGTCACTACTTCTTCTACATTCATGTCACTCATTTTATTTGATCAGTGATACTGAACGTAAATTATTTGATCAATAAATCTCCATCATAAGTAATAAATTTGTTTGATTTTGAACACTTTCTGTCTATGGGACAAGTATTTAATGAGCTCGACCAAGTCCGTATATACCACGAAATTTCCGTAGAGAAAAGGCGGGTGGTCCAACCGCTTACAAGAATTAAGTGCAAACTGCTGATCTGAACGCACTGCTTACAAGGAAAGGGTACCTGGTGACCGTGGCCATTTAGAATGCGATGTATATTATAAGATGCATCTCGAAACATTGATGCTAAATCTGTGCTCGATATCCGCGAAACTACTTTTGAAGGAAGTTGTGAACTTTTCACAGAAAATTTGCGTACTTAGGATAGTTCATCATCTATTCTATTTTACCGTTTCAAGCTTTTGAAGAGAGTCTTGAAAGAACTAATGCTGTGTTTACACCTATCTAAGTCATATTCAGCATTTGAAAAGGAAAGATGATTTTTTATTGGTGATTTTGACTCTCCCAGTAGAACAATTCATTCTTGGAAAAAAATCAAATTCCATCCAGGTTGTTGTGTCAGACAAGGAAGACAGTATTCGAACCAGCATTTAAAGGCGCTTTTTTTTTGATATACAAAGTATTATGAATGGCCACGGTCACCAAGTATCCTTCCTTTGTTAGATCGATATCTGACCGCAAATATGACAAGAATACCAACAAAGCACTAAACGTCACTGATTTTCACTTCATAGATCATGTATTCAAACACCTTTACAATAGAAAGAAATCGATCAAACGATGTCGCCCTGAACAACAAAAGCAGCTAGTATGCCCAAACAAATCGTTCACGACTGGATAAAGGATTCAGCGATGAGAATAAGATGCAAACAGTATAACCTTGTTTTTAGAAAAACCCTAAGAAGTCAATAGCATGCAAATAGGAGGTAGCCTACCTTCCAGAGCATTCTTCCCCACTTTGTCGCATAGGAGTTCGTAAGTGGCGAAAATAGGGCTTTCAAAGTTCTGCTTCAAAACTTCCTAAAAAGACATAAATTTGAGACAGCAACGTTTGAGAAGCCAACTGCAGCGCCTGTAAGCCTAGCAATTCTCTTTACAATATTTGGTTGGAATTCAACAACCCTATACTGGAAAATTTTCTGTATGAGAGCAAACGTTTCGTGCGAACCAAGACAACTCAATAATTACCGCTGTTTTTTTTTTCATCCTGGTTATACAACAAGTGCAGTCATCAAAGAGAACTGTATATAAAAACTTTCGCAACAAAATAATGTCGATAGACACCTCAAAGATAACCTTATTTCAAAAAATGGACGATCTTAACGGAGTAGTTAAAAGTAACGAATCAGCAGTGTGGTTACCTCGTTAGAGAAGAAGCTACTCCAATCTGTATAACTATGTCGAAATGAGCGTAGAGGATGACTACAGAGCAACCATGTTCAAGAAAGTCTCACTTCCACTATTTGCTCTTCCGTCCACCGGCCGTGCTGTTGCATGAACAGCAATATTGTAGGATTGAGCTTCAATGATCGTCGCTCCGGCAGGCATGTTGCCGTCGCCAGCATGCTGTTCTTCACCAGCAAATGTGTCTTTGCCGACTGACAGTTCGTCAACCATCTATAACAAAAACATTATTTTTATACAAGCCCAGCGGTCAGCGTTTACTGCGACATGTTTTCTACCGCACAGCTTCGCCGCATTTTGCGCAGTCAAACAGCGAAAATGTCAGAGACAAAAAAGTAGCCGCAGCTAGCATGACTGGCGGTAGCGGGCGAGTTTCCAGTCGGTTGCACTTAGAAGCTAGGGTCCTCGATCCTCACTGACGTAATCCTCACACGCAGCACAAAGTACTAATTTGTGTCGATTAGACAACGCGCGACATGGGCGAGAAACGATGACAAGCACAATTCGGATTATGACGTAAATTAAGCGACACACATTTCCGATATGACGCAGAATGTAGTTGCGATAGAAAAACGTTCAAAGTCAACAAAAAATCCAGTACTTCCAACTAGAGAATATATGATATGATGGAAGAAAACTGATAGTCTCGCGTACTGGCCTGTTCTTGTTTACATTCATTAGAAAGTTCAGAGCACCAAAGTCGTCTTTGTGAAAAGCGAAAATCAATAACTTTTTGGTCCCTCTGTGCGAACATGATTCGTTTAGAGGAATGGAAACAAGAATGTCATGTCTAGCATCTGAGAAAAAGGCAAAATTGTTTTATGGTAATTCATACTTTGGCATGCAATGTTTTGTAAAACGGAAGATAGCAATGACTAATGATGCTTGTTCGAATTCATGAGGCACCTGCATCAACATTATACGTAAAAGAGCAGAGCTTACTTTGCGATTTTGTTACTAAAAACGGCGATCAAGACGATGAATACACTAACGGCAGTTATTATCAAACAAAAAATCCAAAAATCCATTTAGCAGCGGAAATATGGTAATCGATGAAAATGGATAAAAGAAATCTGCAAAGACTGTGTCACCACCGAAAGAATATCTACGATAGAAGCGGATGCCGAACAAGACCGACCATTGACACTCATTACAACAGGATCAGATGACAATAAAAGAGTAGCAGAAAAAACAGCAGAAATTTCATATGAATTCCTCATGAAATGACGTCAGGGGCCTATGCAAATCTGCTGTGGGTGTGACATGCATTTTGAAGCTTTGTTGGACTAATCTTTCACAGTAGAAGCAAATCAATGCGTTGTGCAAGATACGCTACAAAGCTAGTGCGAGAAGGTTTTTATGTAATCTGATGCCTATGTTTAAATGCGATAAACTACGAAAGTTGAACTGACCGATGTTGCATGACGGCATTTATACTGCATCTTTTGAATGGGTTGAACACGAGCATCTTTTTAATCAAATCCGCGCATTCTGAAAAGAGAGGAATCACAGATCGATTGCACCTAAACGATGCGATGGCAAAGGGTTAACAGAAGGCAGTTGAGAAAAACTTGTGAGTAGAGTTTCTACGAACAAGAAACATTCATAAAAAACATATAAAATAAGAAAGCAAGAAATTTGGCACAAAGCTAAACCATGAAAATAAACTTCTTGCAAAAAAGGTATGAATCAATTTGAGGAACAACGCACCAACAGACACCCAATATGGGATTTTCATTTGACATGACAATACTGCCCGTTTCAGATTTTCGACGTTGTCGCCAGGAAACGGAAATCCACCCGTGACGAGAATGTATAAAATCACACCAAGAGACCAAATATCAGCTTTGAAACCATCGTATTCTTTGCCTAAAGCAGAATTAGTGAAAGCAACTACACTTAAACTGAGAGCGAGGCAATAATACCTAATAATAATTCGGGAGCAGCGTAGGGTGGTGAGCCACACCAGGTTCGCAGAAGCTGCGACGGCGCTTGCGTATTGGAAAATCCAAAATCTAAAAGCGACAAATGGAAGCGACCATGTCAATATATGCATATGCAAAGTACGTCTACCTATAATTTTAATGTTGCTACTCTTGTCCAACAGAATGTTTTCTGCCTTCAGATCCCGATGAACGATACCTAGAGGTCAGAATGCACGACATCAAAGATCATTAGTGATGAAGCAAACAATGCTTCATGACGTCAACTGAAAAACTAACCTTTGTGATGCAAGTACGCCACAGCGGATGCGGTTTGACCGAACCATCGCCGTGCTTCGTCTTCAGCCGTCCTACCTCGTTCTATCAAAATCTCTTGAAAATAAAATTTCGAGGACAAAGACAGATATAAGCGACCAGCAAACTTACCAAAGAGTTCGCCTCCACTACAGTACTCTGTAACTATATAGATCGAGGATTCAGTGCGCATTATCTGCAATATTACCGCTGCTTGTGACAAGCCAAACCCACAATCTTGCGAAAACTGACCTCATATAATTTAACAATATGGGGATGATTAATGCGTGTCAATATCCGCATTTCTCGTTCAAGCCGTATCAAATTTTCCTCATCAAGCGCAGTTCTATTCACTATTTTCAAGGCAACCTAAGGAAGAACGAACTTGATATAGACAATGAGACAATGCAAAAAACAATGGTGTTGGCAAACAACCTTAGATTTCGCTATCTCGTGCCTCGCTAACCTCACCGTGGCAAAATTACCGCGACCGATCGCCCTTCCTACTTGGTAGAATCCAACCTACAAAAACAACTGTCGATTTCATTCAACTGCACAGATGATACATCTCAGAAGCAGCTGTCTCACTCACAAAACCCGTTTTTGCAGTGAAAATGAAACCAAAAGTGCAGAATAAGTCCAATGAGAATTAATGAGGACGCTCCAGCATGGCAAGTAAACAAACAACGCTTGCAGAACTATCCAATCCAGCTCACCGACAAAATGCACGCAACGCAAAAAGAATACTTGGCAAACCGTCATAATAATGGAATGTGAGTCTTAAACACCTTCACCACAACCGTACGAATGGACAGCATTCAGAAGCATACCTTCTCTAGCCGCCGACCCTGATTTCCATCCATATCGATGGTACAGAAGACCTATGAGGTCCTCCTCTTTATGAAGAGGGTCCCTCTCGGTGCTGCTCGTGCGTCAATCGCCTGCATAGAGCGCACGATCCCCGACCACGCCCACTCGCACGCCTCCCCCTCGCGCGCAGTCGCATGATGTCATTCGCAGTGGAGCGCGTTACTCCACGCTGCTCGTAGCTACTTGAGGGCGTTCTGTGACTCAATGCGTAGTGTGAACATCTTTATCTGATAATTAACAGATCAAAAGTGTTAAGACAAAGACATAGACACGCTTAGCGCATGAATGCCGCTTAGTAATTACAGTACGACATTTATAACAATCCCTAGCAAAGAACAATGTGCAACAAGCAAAGAATAACACTAAAACAAACTATGTCGGGATACATTTAGACCATAAAGCTATGTGCAGTGATTATAATTCCAAAGTGAGGCTTTGAAGCGACCAAGATCTGCTATTCGCCTTTGAAGAGAACCCATACTCGAGGACTTTCGATGTACCCTAAAAAAATAGCTTTGGCTCGACAAAGAAAACGGACAGAAAATGGACTCTTTTTATGGTAAGATATGGCTTTCCTACTAAAGTTCACTCTGATCATAAGGAATCGCATCAGGAAGCTAAGCTACCTTCCTCATTCGAATAAAATTGGAATCAGTGAAGTTAAGCTGACCATCGGTCTAGGAGTGCATGTCTAAAGCTACAACTTACCGCTACAGGTGTTGCTAGATGGACACCAAATAGAACATCGTTGCTGCTATAGAATACTCTAGATTGTAAGTTTCTGAGGAGGTAAGTTATAACCGGAAAGATTGCTCATCCTGGTCGCCTCCCCGTTAACACAGTGAAAAACCGCATCATTTCAATAACTTAACACTTCTGATACATATACTAACAATAGATGCTGTGCTTTATTGTTATGAGGAAATGAACATTGCACACCCGCTGCTTACCAGCGTTTTGCTCTGTAGCCAGATATCCACCATGCTTCACAAGCGTATGATGTTTCATATCGCTCCACTCAGCCGTCTTCTCCTGACAGATGGAGCAGATGTAGCCGTGTTCGTTTTTACAGTGTTCATCCATTTGAATATATCGATTAGCCTTGTAATCGCATATACGACATTCAAACTTTATCATTCCAGTGTGGATGCGCTCATGTGTCATCACCTACAAGAAACCATGATATAAAAATTGGTGCGTCAAAAGCAGTTTCAAACGACTCACCGCAACTTCACTAATGAAAATTTCCTCGCAAAAATGGCACTGATAGGTTTTTGTGAAAACATGGGACATCTTCTTGTGCTTTCGGAGTTTTCGAGGAGTTAGGAATTTCAAGTTGCATAGGTTGCATTTGAATCCACTATTTGCACCTGGAGAAAAATATCGCATTTACAACAAATTGACATAAGTCAGCGATAATATAACAAACTTGCAAACCTCTGTGAAACTTCTTCCTGTGATTCAATAGGCGTACATCGCTGCAGAGGTTGCGCACAGGAGTACATTCAAAGCAGACGAATGTCTAAAGAAGCATGAAGTAAACAAAAAGATCTGCTGCGGGGGCCAAATATAAGAGCGGCAAAAGAAAGACGGCCTTGAAGTCTTACCAATTCACAAAGATGACTTTCCAATTCCTCATCATCTTTCACACACTTGTAGCATCTTGTGCACTGTTTGAATTCCACAAGTTCGGAGTGTTTCTTTACAAAATGCTTCTTCAGCGAGTATTCGTTACGAAATCGTTTATCACAAAATGGGCACTGGGGGGATATCTGCAAGATACGTATATTCAGCAAGACAATGGGGGTTTAGATGATACCTACCTTCTTCTTATACAGGCGTTTCAACTGTTTTAATCGCCCATATTGATCAAAACGTGGAGCAACTCCGCCATTATTTTCACCAGGGAGCGGAATCCTAGGGAAAAATTCTTTGGAACAAAAAGTAGAACATATATAAATTGCCTAAAGTCCACCTTTCGACGTCGACCTCGAACGAAGATGCTTCAATCTCTGATTCTGGCGGGATAAACCCGCCTGTCTGAAGCTCCTCAATTCGGTTCGCTTCGATCTCTTCTTGCCGTTGTTGTTCCATTTCTGCTTCCTAATATACTGGATTCTTGCTTGTGTGACTATTATGTAGACTAAGCATAACACTGACCTGCTCTTCAATGTAAGCAGTGTAATCAGCAGGATGTCTGTCACGTAAATGCCTCTCGTAGATATTTTTTTCTATGAAACGATTCTTGCAACGCTTACATCGTGTCATTTTTGAGCGCATGAGTTTGCGCACCTGAAATAATGGCTTCTATCTAACCTAAATTACTATCACAAAAAGCTAGAACACGATACCGAAACGACATCTGTGGGATGAGGTGGAGGAGGAGGCAGATCGCATGGTTCTTGATGGTCGCCAAAAGCGATCAGCTGCGCTACTTGGGCTGAAATCATACATTTCATCAGAGGACTTCTTGAGTCTAAACTAACCAACTCTACATTCCGGTAAAGGCTTTCGTGGTCTGTTGATATCTCGCCCATAACTGTCGAGGATGATCCGATGTTTGTCAAAAACTTTCTCTCCTCTGAGCACTGCGACCAAATCACCTGTAAAGAGCATGTTCATCAACAAATTCAATAAGCTTTCCCTCTATTTTCATTCTTAAGAAACAAATCTTCTTAAAATCACGAGAAAGCAGTGCTTAGTTAGTCACAATACCCACACGTTTATTAGAGTAATGTGACTGTTGTGAAATCAAAAGCGTAAATGTTCCTTTCCGGTGCACCTAACATAAGGGAAGGAGACTAACATTAGTCGGCGATTGAAGATGGGATGTACATCACTAAACGAGCCTTTGAACGCTAATTCCAAATCTGCTTTCCTATTTGGCGGAGTAGGTTTTCAAAAGAAGTTACGAGCGTTTGAATGTCCAAATCTGCCAAGTATCGAGTGGCAACGAAAGCTCTGAAACAATATCTATGCGATTCCACCGGCTTTGTTCCTTCCTTGCAAATAATATACTCGATACAAAACTGATTTTCCATTTTCCGGTGTTTCTAAGCAGCTTTCGCCAAATTTAGGCCACTTAAACCTTGACAAATCTGGACATTCAAACGCTCATAACTTCTTTCGAAAATCTGTTCCGCAAAAAAGGAAAGTACATTTGAAATCAGCGTTTGAAGGCACGCCCACTGATGTGCATTTCATCTTCAATCTCCGACTAATACTGGTATCCTTCCCTTGTTAGAGCTTAAAAATGAAGCCATCGATGTAAATTATAAGACAATGCTAAAAAGCACGGCGTGACTTAAACTGATATAATAAATCAGAAGAGGAAAGGGAAAGAAACGGATAAGGAAGCGGAGTAACTCGACCTACCAACACCAGAGAGATTCTTGACAATTTCATCGGGTTGATCATTTGCATCGCAACTACTATGAGGTGAGGATGACGAGGGTTCATCACTGGAAAATAATGGACAAAATAGAAAGATGCACGTAAACAGGTAACTGCTACGATCTCGAACCACACTGATATCACATAACTTCTAGTGTAAACATAAAAAAAGGTAAACAACACAAATACGCAAAACAATCATAACTGTACCCTTACTCAATTATGGTCAATTCTACAGTTCCATTTTTGTACGTGGTTTTCCGCTGAAAACTCGAAGGTGGCGCAGGACTGTGCACACCGGCGTCACCATTACAATGAGGACTCTGAATGAACGAGGAGCTTGAAGTTTGAAAAGCAAGTCAGAAAAAACTACAATTGTGACAGGTAAATATATTTGTAGGGTTTCTCAACTACGCATACTCAACTGAATAGACGATACTCGTACGATAAACTTTATTGATAAGATGTTGTCATTGTTTAACAGGTTGTGATCTTCAGATACTGATCGCTGGCGAACTGACTGTCGATGTAAACTGCCGTTCATGCTTCTCTTTTGAAGTCGATCATCTCCGATATTCTAGCATACTTTCACGCATGACGCAAAACGCGAACACCGAAGTGCACTCGTCACAAAACCTCGGAAACTTAGCGGAATACCTCATAGAGACATCCCATTGGTGGTGGTGGGACGGAATAATCGAAACTGATTGTTATCGGATCAGAAGCCGACATAAGTGATACTGGACCTGCCGCTCTTTCCACAATAATTCACCAGCTGACCTGCTCGTTCCTGCGGCAGTGCAACGCGTCCTGCGGCAGTTCGCGTCGCGACCGCATCACAACAGCGACGGCCTGCATGTGATATGGAGCACGGAAGTGCCCCCCTTCGGTCGATAGGGAATTACCATTTCAGCAATGTAAGCTTTGCAGCTCACGCACGGCACAAGTGGCTCACCTATCCAACTCAGGTAGAGTCGATCGTGGCTCCCTATACCTAATCAGTTTAACTCGTTGACTTGGATCAAAGATGCGCAGTGCGGATCCGTAAGTTCCGGAACAGTTTCAGCACAGTGCTCGAACTAAGCGCTGTGCTGGAACTGTTCCGGAACATACATCTCAGTATAAACCCAGCCTAAACGTTGTTTTTTGTTAGCGCAAGCAATCTATATATTCGAGAAGAAGGGGAATGCTGAGATGGTAATCGTATTAAACGGTAATTCATCTCTCTGTTTCTGATTACTCCTTTGCGCCCCTTGCTTCATAAAATGATATGCTAACTCAGATTCACGGACGGGAACTAATACCGTATTATGTGCGGCGGGATTCTGTAACCTAACACGAAGCTAACTATAGTTGATTCGTTGACCGCAGGACTGGACATCACTGCGGAGCACGCGGCGCGAGGAAGACGCTTGCCCCAATACAAATTTGCCATCAGTCTTTTTCAACCCGGAGTAGGCGAAACATTTCAAGTGGAGCAGCGCGTCCACACGCCACTGGCTCAGCGAGATAGGTTAACACGTTTCGGACCGGTGCTGCACATGGTGCAGCACGCGGCTTTGAAGACTCTTTTTAACGTTCATTGGAGGTTTTCTATTTGTGCAAGGTTATCAAGTCAAAGGCCTAAGTTCCTCTTTTTCAAATGACTCTGTAGAGCTGTGCAGCCGATATCGTTTAGAAGATATGAGAAAAAATCGAACAACAGTTGCAACGAAGTGCGGCGACGCGAACGACGCGTGCGACTCGCAACTTTTCTTTGCTCATATTTCAAAGTGAAAAACCGTGGTTTAAGTAATGATGTGTACTGTGTGCAACATAGATACTTTTGGATAGTATTAGAAACTGAATCCTTGTTCCTATCCTTCAAGAAAGCACAGAAGTCCCTCTCAAAGGACAAAGTTCAAACACTTCGAATTCACTCAAAACTTTGAGTATGGAGCTTATTTGACAAGCTGTTTACAGATGTAGCACACAGTCTATGAAACAAGGTTCCTTTGTTGGCCAACGGCTGAAAGTACACTCTTTTTCGCCGCGCGCGATTTCGCGGTCCGAAACGTGTTAAAATGGAGAGACGCAGACCGCAAGCGCGAATCGTTGCGAAGCGGTCTCCAGCCAGCCCAATTTTCGCCTAAACTGAGTTTAGGGATCGTTCAGACCGCGCCAGAATCCGTCCAAACCCGCCCGAATACGTCCAAATCCGCCCAAACCCGCCCAAATACGTCCGAATCCGTCCGAACCCGCCTGAACGCTGGAACTGCCAAAGCGCAGCGGATATGCGGCAAATTGGCATATTGGAACAGGCGTGGAATAATGCTCGCGTAGTGCATTATCTCAGTCACACGTAGCTCGACGTTACATACCGATCTTCTTTTGCAACTACTCCGATATTAGAAGGATCAATCGCACGCGTGCTCCAATATGCCAATTTGCATGCAACCTGCTGCGCTTTGGCAGTTCAGGCGGGTTCGGACGTATTTGGGCGGGTTTGGGCGTTTGGAAATATTCGGGCGGATTCGGACGTATTCGGGCGAGTTTGGGCGGGTTCCGGCGCGGTCTTAACGATCCCTTAAACTCACTGTACAAGTCCTCTCGCAACATTTCAGCCGGCCGCGTGGTCCGCAGCGTTTGAGCAGTCCGTGGTGCGGTCAACGAATCGACGATATACATTATATACACAAGGGATACGCAAAATTTTTTTTACCACTTTGTAAGTTAAAGTCATGAGCGCTTGCCTTCATCTCGTAGATAGAGAATGCTACGAGCACTTCAGGCAAGCTAATTACTTCCAGATCGACCAAACGGAAAATCTGGGGTTGAGAAAATTGGGCGAGACGAAAGGCTACATTATTGGTTCAAATATCCGGAAGATGGATTTTACATCACCGCAGTAAAGAATGATCACGAGAAAGAGCTGCACTCGATATGCTTATGTTGATACATTATTGATTTTTCATATTGACACCAGTAACAGAACGAGTAATCACATAGATCATGTCTAGCGTATACGTGGCTACTTCTTCGATATTATCCAAGTTCCTCCACCAAATGGTAGTAGCGATGCACGCACCTGAATGACTTTGATTTAAAAGGTTTTTTCTGCTCTTGAGTCTGCTAGATAAGAAAATAATGCTGCTTGCCATGCTACAGCGGCAGGGTGAACACCAACAATGCCTCAGGGCAATGTTTCATAGAATTAATCAAGCGCTACTACCTCTTCCATCTGATATCAGCACAAATCGCTGTCTACGTAAAGTTTGAAGCTATTAGGGTGAACGGTAAAAAATGGGACAGCTTGATTTTCATTACATTTTGGAATTTTTTTGTTTCGTGCAACAGCAAGTAAGCGGCAACTTAAACGTCGCTTACATGGGCGACCTTCGCTTATTATTCTGACAACGCGTTAACGCTCCTCTTCCACTACCCTACACGTGGCGCCGTGAAGAACTCGAACAGGGTTTTTCGAGCAATCCTCAATCTTGCGCTGTTATACCGTAAAGTCGTAAAGCAAATGACATACCATTCGAAAGAGCTCTTCATGCTCTTTCGAACGATATGTTAAATGCGTGAGATTTCTTTTCAATTTCAGGAGAAAAAATCGAACAAACCTGAAAAATAGCTATTTTTGGCGCAACAAAAAACCAAAAAATCATGTTTTGCCCTATATTTTCCGAAGATAGATGAAATCTGAGGTAAGCTGCATATGGGTGGATAGAGCGTAAAAAGCTCTATCAGATGATACCTAGAAATCATGCGTTTACCTGCAAAGAATTGAATAACGCGTATCTTTGTTCTCGAAGCTGTTAATGGGCATATCTCCTAACATGAAGAGTTAAAGCCACCAAGCCGTCATGGGTTTGGTGACTGTCCCACCACCCACTCCAGCAGTGGTACTTTGGGTGGTCTCACATGTTTTACTGCGCCGATACTGCTCAAACTTCATAATTTCTCGAAGTAACTAACTTTGCATTTTAGCAAGTATAAAAATTATCAATTATATAAATGACCTTATATAGGTGCTATCTGAAAGAGAATAATTTATTCTAATATCCATCAAAATTGGAAAGTTCAGTCACTTTTCTTCCTTGAGAAATCTGCAATTATTCTCAAGGTGTCCCATTTTTTACCGTTCACCCTAATAATTGAATCTCAAAAATGGATTATCGGTCGTACACTTTCCAGGTCAACTTATAGTAAACACGCAGTGGACTAAACGCTTTTGTTCGTTTTCTTTTTAAAATACAAGAAACAAAGATGTACCGAAAATATAAAGTCGTCATGCTTTTCGTTTCCTATTGATTCCAACATTTCTCGATTACTTAGGCACATAAATAGTTACACTTTCCTTCGTCTCAATACTTTTGAATTTCTGGTGTACAGTCGTATACTTAGGAAATCAGATGATTGCAAGTGATAATTTCCTCTGATTTTTTCTTGCTTTCCAGTCATGAAGAAAATTAAAGCAGGTGTATATATGGAGTGTTTGTACGCGTCTAGTTTACTGTATTAAGCTGTAACAGAATTAAGGTAGGTTTTTCATACAACTATTTCAGAATGCTGGTTTAGAAAAAAATCATCTTCCTAGGAAGTTTCATATGTCATTTGAAACCTCTTTTCTTGTATTTCCTAAAGCTTCGTTTTGAAGGAAGTGAATCTGATTTTGAAATTTGGTGCCTTTGAAGTTGGGAGGCCAAACCTTGAATTTCTTTTCTCGATATTCTTGGCTTCAAACAACTACAAAAAGTTTATTTTTTTTGCAAATTTACTTAGTGTTCTTGAGTGGGTTATGCTACAAAATGCATACTACATCATAACTACCGAAAGTTTCTGAGCTGAGATATTTTGAAGCAAAATTCAACGGTCGCTGCCGTCCGTCTGCACTATACACAAATTTTCAGCGCGAAGCGATTGCGGAGCTTCCGCTGTTTATAGGAAGAATAGACTCAAAAGATTCATGAGTGAAAATATCGGGTGCTTTCACAGCGTCAAAAAATCCGAAATTTTCAAAAAGGCAATTTTTCACCTCTCCAGAGAAACTGAAAAAAGTACTTCCAATTTTTTCAAATATCTTCTTACGAAAAGTTCTCCGTCAAATCGAGTTTAGCGCTTCTGTACTATAGGCTACACGATAAGTCTGCGCCATCTTGACGCACTTGAAAGTAAGTTATGGTTTCTCAAAGTGAAGATTTCAAGAAACTTCTTGAGAGTGTTCGAGCTATAAAATTTTTCTCAACAGGTTTTCGTTCTGAAATTCACATGAGTCATGATTTTTGCTGGTATCTATAAATCTTTGCAAGGTTTGTTTTTGCTCTATCGAGTAATGTCCCCTCCTACATTTTGGGATTCAAACACGGTATCATAAAAGGCGGCAGCATTTTCTTTCCCGACCAACGGAATCACGTAGAATAAGTTTTGACGTCTTGTAAGGAAAAATGTTACAAAGTCTACTGTGCAGTGACAGGCACAATGAGTGGGAAAATGTTTTCGATATTATCTTGGGATGGAGTATGAAACTAACATGTTTTTGCTGTTAATTTGAAATATTTTTACTATGTAAATACAAAAAAAGCGATTTGTTCTTACTCAAAAAACGAAGTCGGAAGTCAATTGACCCTTTAGAAAAGATTTTTCTGCAGTGCTCTTTCCTCTTCATTACCCTTCACTATATTACATAGGAGATATTTCTTTTACATTTAGGCTGACAAACTTCACTCTTTCTTGTCACAAGCTAAGCAATTTCATGCTTGTCAACAAAGTGGCATTGCCATTGAAAGAGACAGGTTTTTCGAGAACTATGCCATTCCACCTCTGCATGTACATGTCAAGGTTAAAGGTATCAATCAACCTGTACGTTCGAGGAAAAAGTTTTTTTTGTATGATATTTAACATGCTTACTTTACGCAGTCTCGAGAGCGCGGAAATCAGTATGGTGAAAGGAAAAAATCATTTAGTTTGTAGTTAATGCGAAAATAGGTTGCATTGGTTGATTGAGAATGTTGTTTTGCAGGGTTTTCCTTGTACTTGAGCCAACAAGTTCGATAGCATTTACTGCATTTTCTTCAAAAATTCATGACGACTAAGTTTTGACAATGTATATTTATGCATACCCTTCCGTCTTCCTTTATTCGTACATTCATCATTGATATTATACGATCACTTTCGGTCATCATCTCAACACCTGTGAGTACTCCACCATCGTTCAAGGCCTACGAAGCATAGTGAACATGATGAAAGTAGCTTTTGAGGAATTGGTTGATTTACCTGATTTATGACTAGTAAACCACCCGATCTCAGAAGACGGATCGAATGTTCGTAGTCGTCCAGATAATTGTCGCGCTTGAAATCGTCCTGAAAATTGTTGATTTGAAGAATCTGCAGGACGAATTTCTGATTTCTAGAGGAACATTAGGCAAACATATTTGAAGCTCCTCAAATGTGAATCGCATCTCTTCGCTTGTAGTCGGTTACCGAATGACTCATTGAGCGTATAAGTGCACTATCGTTGCAATTCTGCTAGACCCACAATATTTACGAGAAGACCTAGAGCTACTAAAACGCATTTAGCATCGGTAGTGGGGTATTATAGCGATTAACTTATAAATTCAGTTGAGTAAATCAGTTCTATGAAGCTTGTGTCAGATGGAAACAATTAGTGTAGAACGCCTTACCACATCTCACATATGATGTCCATCAGATATAGGGTAAAAACAATTCTCTTATAATCTTTGAAAAGAAACCACAATTTTTACCACAAATCACCGTTATAAAACGGCCTCCTGCTAAATGAGGATGCAAAAATACATTTTTACCCAAGTTGTGGTACGATTATTCTGCCTCTTTTTTGGATCTTCGCTTGGAATTCAAGAGACCTGATGTGTTAATTCAACCAATTTTGTTCGTCTATCAATAGTGCGACAGTGCAAAGACGACGGAGGTACAACGGAGATCTCGGATAGCGGTGTACTTCTAAGGAATAGCTCAATTCCATTAGAGAAGTTGCTCGATATGTTAATTAGATAGTGGTTATGGTGTATATGATAAGCTACCAATTTGCTTGGCTGTGCCTAAAATTTCGTCTAGGTGTGATACACATCAATGCGGAAAATGGAGGCTACTACTGTTAACAGGAGTAGCCTCTTCAAGCGAAATTCCACAATGTTGTGAAGTGAGTATCCACCGTACATCACCGAATTGCGTTAAGCGATAGGTCATGAGGGCTACTTATATTCACGACTTGGATTATGAATGAAAATGCTCAAGTTCTTATTTCTAGTCATTCTATGGGTTCACATCCTGAAAACTGATGAAGCCTTTCGTCTCCAGTTGAAACATCAAAGAGATATTAATGGCCTGATCAGTAGCTCGAAATTACCTAGAGCGCGGTCAATGCGCTCCAGGCGTAGATTTGATCGGTATTTGCTATCAGCTTTAGAGCTCATAAATCGTTTGCTAATTTGAGAAGAATCACGTTCAAAAATTACTCAACGGAAATAGCCTACTCATTTTGCGAGTTTGCGGTAAAATTTGAAGTTTTGAACCTACCAAAAATACAAAATCAAAGTTGTTGGACTCGTTAGCGGCCAATCTCGAGAGCGCTTTTTCGATCGGTTCCGACGAAAGCAGTTGAATTTGTGGAGTGTAGGCGTGGGAGATCTTAAAGCAGATATTATTAACATCTTGAGGTAAATATCTCATATTTTCGCTTTAAACAATTTCGCTGACGTTGAAAACAGTGAGATCTTACTCTGATATGAGCCAGGGAACAAATTTTGTGAACAGCCACACCTACAATTGCCAGTATTAGAGTGCCTGATAAAGTCAGATTATATTCACTGTTAGACAACTTCGACTCATTAGCTCCGTGAAAGAATTTGTCAAAGACGATACTTTTCTTCCTCCTTGTTTGGTACCTAGGCAAGGATGTAAGCTGAAAATGCTGGTTGGCTCTTCCGCATGGACTTTCTGCGCCGCTTTGGTTTTCAGAAAAAAATAGGTGCTGCTTCATCTAGTGTGATAAAGTTTCTCTCAGTTCTCTGTTCACTCTCTCAGTTTCTGAGAGAGTAAACACCAAGACATTCTTGGACTGTTTTGTATAAGTCAGCGTGCAAACCGCTAATTGCTACTAATAAAAAGGACCAACTGTTTTGGCAACTCTCGAACCAACATTCTCCCAGAACTGTTCGTAGGAAGGATGTTCGAGCGCAACGATTAGACCTCCAGACCCAACCTGCTCCGCAATGCCCAGCAAACCGAGGCCAGTGAATACGCCTGAAAGTAAATTAGCCAAAAATTGCTCGTAAATTCTGCGCCTATAGCAACAAATGATCGCGTAGTCCACGTTGCGTAAAAGCATTTCACAGAAAAAGTAACATACCTATAATTAGACACCTAGAAGGCTGATATAGTGACATCAACAGTTTTGTCAGTTGGATAACTTCTGGTGCCACAGAGCCCCTCCAAGAGAGTGGAGCAGGAAAAGACATTGCTTGCGTTTCCTACAAGAGAAAATAAAAACTGGCTTATACTTTCCACCTGACTCCTTTATTGTATGCCAAATTCATGTTGCTCTTTCGAAAAACTACCACATTAACGTGAGAAGTTTAGTTTACTACGACCGTTTTGGACTTAGCCACAAGCCACAACTGTTTTACATCTCCCTCTTGACTACCTTTTGCACTTAGATTTGCACTGGGTCGCCATCACACAAACCGGGCAGCTAATAATCAATATATTGATTTTCTAAGCAACTCATCTTCATGTTCATCTGTCTCTGAATCAGGGTCAAGCCTGTTGATGCGATCCGAGACCCTCATTTACGACCCCCCCCCCTTGAAGGTACCCATCCGTACGACCCCCCCCCCCCTTCCACCCTCCCCTCTTTATCCCCCTTACCTCCCCTGCCCACATTCCTCGCGGTAGCTTGCATAAACGAATGTCAATCTCAGAAAACACCCGCGTGAGAACTTCAGCGAGATTTCGGAAGCAGAATTTCTAGGCCAATGGGTGCGTACAGCATTTGTAGCACACATACACACCTTCAATAATGTTTGAGAATTTGCAAGTTTTTTTTTTGAATTTTCAGGCATACTTCGGACCAGCAAATTCGATTCCCGTAGGCGACACAAATTTTTGCACGGAGAAAAAAATGACATTCTTAAACGACAAAAGATGTTTTCGATTAAGAAGCTTACTTCCTACCTCATCCACACTTTTTCCCGCGAAAAAAACCGCTTGAGCGCCGTCCAGAACGACGTCAAAAACGTGCATGAGCACGGTAGTTTGAAAATTCGTAACTAAGGCCAGGAAAAGATTGAGAGGCTGCAAAGCACAGATTCTGTAGTATTGTGCCCAGACTATCCATAGAAAAAGTTTCAGCTCTTGAGGAGCAGTAAGCTCGAAAAAATGTAGATGCGACTCTCGCAAATTTAGATGCGATCTTAAAAAGCAAAAACTGGGATTTTTGAGCTTAAAAGTTTGTAACTTACCAGAGAAGTTATGAAATAGCTTGCAATTTTAATGAGGGAAAGTAGGAGGATGGCCTCATATTACAGCAGAATTACAGCCAACAAGCTTCAATAGCTCCGAAGAAATTTAGATGCGACCCAGATACGACCCCCCTTTCGTAATTTTTTGCTACCATACATAAAATTATAAGAAAATCCACAGTTGACAAAATAACACCAAATTTTGCAATGATGTAGCGGAGCATCTCCCAAATACAGATAAATCATATGGGCCCGTAAGAAACATTACAAAAAGATTTAGAAATTTATGATGGTCACAGCTGATAAAGATATTCGCTTTTGTCGAGTGTGTGAGACTTCAGGAGGGCTTCAAAAGCAAGATTTTTAGGGCAGTCGGTACATTTAGCATTTTTATCAAATCATACATCCTTCAAAAGTGTTTTGAGCTCTTGTAAATGTTTTTCTTGAGAATTTCTACAGATTTTTATTTTTTTTTTCATTCTGATTTCCACTTTTTTATAGATTTATTGTAAATAACATGACTAATTATCTGCTTTTTGATTCCCTTTTAAGCTTAGGGTATTTTAGCCTAACTACCTTCTCTTACGACCCCCCCCCCCCACCTTAGATACCCTCTTACGACCCCCCGTTGCGACAGTCGCATCACAAGCTTGACCCTGCTCTGAATACTCGCGTTTATTCTAAATACTACCCTAATTAAGCGCGTACATGGAGCGGGGGATTTTTGCCAAAATCGACCAACTCAAACACGCCAAAAGACCGCAAGGAGCACCCTACACCGTGCTGTATATTGCTTAAGAGAATCGTGCAGCGTAAGAATCGTTTCGGACGTACGGTGAAGCGGCTGAGCGGCTCAGTTGAGAAATGAAAAAAAGGTGCGGCTGTACGCGTGAAATTTGGGTATTTTTCCAAGCCCATCTTTGAAGATTTACATCCCTTCATTCTCTCCAGGAAACACACCTCGACCCATGACCGATCGTGCTGAACCATTAAATGGCTGGCTGCGTTGTCTCATCTCTACACGAAACTTACATCAGGATTCTATTTTCATCATTTTTCACTCAAAGTGCATAGGAAATAGATTTTCACTCAAACTCACTCGTAAAACCGTCTGCACGTGATCACTGGACGCTGAAGAATGACTGTAGGCATAATGGAATACCGGATCTGTAGTCTCGAAGCTGCGCAGATCCACATGACATTTCTTGCCGGTTTCTGAATATGAATCTATGAGCCGCGAGCTTGCAACTGTTTCAAGTCAAATCGAATACTATGGGCATAGCTAACACATTTTTCAACTGTCTGACACTGTAGCGTCCGGGCAAATTTGTATCCTTGGACCCACAATTTCGCGCGGATACCACCTCTCAGGCTATAAACCTAAAAAGATACTAAAAGATAAGGAAGAAGACATACGACAGTATTTGCTTGTTAGTTTGAGCTGTGACAGCGCTACCGTTGGCGAATCAATGACGATAGGTGGTCTCGTAAACTTCCTAGCCTGAAAAACTATAAAGTTCTTTTGCAAATGCAGTAAATCTTTACCTTGACGATAAGAGGAATGTTGTCCGTGGTTGTGGAATCAGTAGCAAAAGCTTGCTCAACAAAAGAGGGTGTCACGGATGAAGGTGAAGACCTTAAAGACAAGAAACTAATGGCATGTGTACAGTAAATGCTGGACTTTAGTGAGATTCCCACTACCAAAGAATTCAATGTAAATCCGAACAGAATTAGGAAATAACTTAGTATTACATTTTAGTTTGATTTCATCTTGGTTTTTAAAGATTTTGATTTTGCATCAGATCTAATATGCCTTGCTCCCATTACCAGCTCTCGACGATCGAAAAGGAGTTGCTAATTTATTAGAAATGGCTCATGCTGGTGATGAGAACAACCCTTCTTCATGCAATAATCGTTTTTCGAGGTCCCAGAAATCAATAAGCATCAAAATTATATTTTTTCCTAGCAGTATTTCAGCTACAGTGACCGCCAAAAAGTTGCGGACAAGCCTCCCTCCCATTTTCATCGCTCTTTTTCAGAAGGAAAACAAGGATAAAAAATGTAGTGATTGCATGAGGTGATAGAGCTCTTCAAGATCTACAATCTACACTTTGCGTTTTTCGAAAAACATGTATTCTAAAAATTTTAAAAAACTTTTTCTAAAAAAAGTCCGAAAATGGCCGCGTCACAATGTCGCGGACAATAATTCTTCGAACGCAAAAACTTTCTTTTGAGTCCTATTCTGAAGCTGAAACACAAGTAATCCAAACGGGTAAGCATACTACTATACAGAGCTCGTCAAGAACTACACACTGGTTATGGTTGCTTCCCAAAAAACACAAGCTTGAGTTTTATTTTGCTTTTTTTTTTCAAAAATAACTTCTAATTCTCCTTTTTAAGCCAAGTTTCTTCACATGGAAACCTATTCACGACATTCCACAACGCTGTTTGGATAAAGCAGATGCTCTTTACCATTCTCCATGCATCTGACGTGCACTGATGAGTTTCTTTGCTGAAAATGGCTCTTGGCAGTGCTTGCACATGACCCCACCTGCACCTCACCACTAACTTGTACCGGTTTGCAGGCTTGTAACTCGGCTTATAGTCAATATGTGAGCCTGCAATTAGGCTTATTCGAAAGAATGAGACTTCTTCTACACGATGGTATGTAAAAGAGATGGGTATAAGAAACAGCGGAGATTTGGCGGATGGGGTGGAAAAACGCGGCCTCAGTGGTGGTTGGAGTGAAGGCTCTTATCAACACCAAAACAGTTCTAGAGCTTCAAAATGGATCTATTACAAGAACATTGACAGTTTCAAGCTTCCAGGATTGAACTGGTAGCGAAAGAAGCTCTATTCAACTTTAGCTGGTTATCCCCACCCTACCACTCAGGCCGCGTTTTTCCACCCCATCCGCCAAATCTCCACTCTTTCTTATACCCATCTCTTTTACATACCATCGTGTAGAGGAAGTCTCATTCTTTCGAATAAGCCTAATTGCAGGCTCACATATTGATTATAAGCCGAGTTACAAGCCTGCAAACCGGTACAAGTTAGTGGTGAGGTGCAGGTGGGGTCATGTGCAAGCACTGCCAAGAGCCATTTTCAGCAAAGAAACTCATCAGTACACGTCAGATGCATGGAGAATGGTAAAGAGCATCTGCTTTATCCAAACAGCGTTGTGGAATGTCGTGAATAGGTTTCCATGTGAAGAAACTTGGCTTAAAAAGGAGAATTAGAAGTTATTTTTGAAAAAAAAAAGCAAAATAAAACTCAAGCTTGTGTTTTTTGGGAAGCAACCATAACCAGTGTGTAGTTCTTGACGAGCTCTGTATAGTAGTATGCTTACCCGTTTGGATTACTTGTGTTTCAGCTTCAGAATAGGACTCAAAAGAAAATTTTTGCGTTCGAAGAATTATTGTCCGCGACATTGTGACGCGGCCATTTTCGGACTTTTTTTAGAAAAAGTTTTTTAAAATTTTTAGAATACATGTTTTTCGAAAAACGCAAAGTGTAGATTGTAGATCTTGAAGAGCTCTATCACCTCATGCAATCACTACATTTTTTATCCTTGTTTTCCTTCTGAAAAAGAGCGATGAAAATGGGAGGGAGGCTTGTCCGCAACTTTTTGGCGGTCACTGTATATTACAGACAAAGAACTACTCAGTTATTAGGCTGATGCAAAAATAATGTCCTTAGCATACTCTATCACAGCATGTAATCACAGAAATATGTGGATGAGATACCATTCGATAGAGGCAAGATCTACAAAGTGACTACCAAAAATCTATTTAAACATTTGGTCCACGTAAAGTTTAATGCCAAAGTCTGTAAGATTTGGCCAGCTCAGAAGTTCGATCTCCACCCGGAGAAATCCTACAAGTCCCAGTTGGTCATCGCATAGTAGAGATATTATGTTCATTCACTGTTTGAATCTACGCACTTGCTATAAATTTCTCCCACTTAGAATTTGGGAAATAAAACGAAAATAGAAAATTGGCAAACTGCGCTTTTAACTCCGCCCTCTCCTCTAATTCAGGTACTGTGCACCACAAAGCCTCCGAAGCATGACTGTGGAATTTCAGGCTAGTACCTTCATAGATTTTTGAGAAACTATTTTTAGCCTCAAGAACCCATAGCTACGGCCATTATTTTTACATCAACCTAATAATTCTTATATGCTACCTACTATTTCACTGAAAAATAGGTTTGTGTACGAAATAAATTTTTTATGAGAGACAGCGGCTATTATACTTGTAACTAGAAGCAGTCATGCGTTGGCTGTTTTACTGAATGCTAAATTTGCCAAGATGGCTTTTAGCAGCATTATGGTCTCAAATGCAGGAAACAAGAGACTCCGTTCAAATTTATTCATACCTTTGCAAATGCGGTGTCACCGGTCTCCAAGTGAACGGTCTTCGCGACGTCCTCAGCACGGTAGTTGTTCTAGCAGTTGTGGGCCAAATGATCACGGGACTGTAGGCCGTGTAACGCTGTGACGAAGGTGCTTGAGTTGTTGTTCTCATCGGCCTCGTTCGCATCGGAGCCGTCGTCGCTACCGTATGCTGCTGTATCGCTACGGTAGGCTCGATGTACGGTAGCGGGTAGCTGATCTGCTCTGACGATATATCCACAAAAGAAGCTGGAATAGGTCTAATATGTGCAAAGTAATCATATACGATGGTGAAAAGTTACACTGCCTACCAGTGGCGCGCCCAGGATTTCTTTTTTTGGGGGGGGGGGGGAGACAAAAATTTCTTTCTGATGAAGGTGCGAAAATTTTTTATGAGGCTTAATTGAATTTTTAAGAAGCCACTACTGTCTACTTATGTATTAAGTTAATTCATAAGCCATACATTAAAAAGTGTTGAAAATCCACCAAAAAATGTTCAAATCAATATTGTATGTTATGTTTTTACATTTTTTAGCACCTACAATATGCTCTATTTAACTATCCAAATTAGAAATTTTACTCGAAGCAAATCGAAATGTCGTGTTAAAAAGGACGGAAATCACAAATATAGAACATTCAATCACCATGAATTCCCCACAGTTAAAAAGATCAAGAAGTAAAGCTTAATTGAGAACAAAATTTGATTTACTTACACCTTCTAGCATTTCTGGAGGTCAAAAATCAGGAAAGTTTAATTTGGGTGTTTCTCTCAATCAGCTTGTATCACCATTACATGAAAAAATTCTTTCAGATTCTTGCTTTAGGCGCTATCAAAAAGCGAATGAATTTTTCTAGGATTATAGAAATCTTTAAAAGGACAATTACGATGACAATGGCGCAAGACTATGAATCAACCTAAGCGATAAGCAAGATGCTCAAACTCTAACCATGAACAAGATCGACCAACCTTCCGTAGTTACGTTGAAGAAATCAAGCACTTCTTGAGCAATGACATATTTGTCCTGATCATTGATTCTTGAGAAAAATCGACGTATTCCGGAGAAAAAATCTGAAAAAGTGCGAAAATCAACCATGCCGCTTCAGAGCAATAAAAGCCAGTTGGTAACCTGTAGCTATGTCGGAGAGACTAAAGGAAATGCCGGATTCACTCGTTCCGAGTTTAATCGTTGCATTTTGCAGATCTTCCAGTAATGATTGCAGATTTTCCTCAAAATGAGTAAAACATGCGATAAACCAACGATTGTCTGATTGGATTACACTGCTGTATTGTCAGCAAGGAGATTCAAAAACAAAACTCACAAAAGGTAGCCAGAAAGTATTCCCACAAGACACTAAGGATATGAGGACTAAGAGGCTCAACCACATTTTGTGCTCTTGTGAGGGTCAGCGAATAAGCTGTGGTCATCCTTTGCTCGGGCGCGGGTTGTCACAACATGTCAAAATGTCAAACCCCTCTTGCGACATTTCCGCTACCTTCCCCTAGCTTCTCAATGATATCAGGTGGTTTGGTCAAGCAAAATTAAAAAATTGAGAAAAGCAATCAGCAAACAAGTTCATAGGAGTTAAGCAAATCGAAGTACATTTCCGCCACCGGCGTTTCCACCAAGTATTAAAGTCAAAATGAAGTTTTCTCTGTTTATCTCCGATAAACGACAAGAACTTTCATTGACGTTTATTGCCACATTATTGTGAGGAATTCTCTGCATCGCATCTACATATGTACACAATCAGAAGGACGTTTCTTTGGGGTGTGGCCTCGTTTCGAAAGCGGTCAAGCAGGGAAACTTCTTACGCTCTGCAAAGCTTTACGAATAGAATCAAGTTTATGAGCCTACTCTCGATGATATGGGACGGTCCAGCCACCGGTCTAAATGAGTATTTCCGGAAAAGCCTGGTCTAATTATGTCATCAAACACCAAGAGGAATGTCAAAAGATTTTGAAAATTGCCTGCGGAAATGTAAGTCAAATGAATATCAATGTTTAACGTTGACGCGGTCCCTTCAAGAAAGAAGGATTCCAACATTGTCACAGAATAGAGGACAGGTAGTAAACTGGCACAAGAATGTGATGTTTGAATGGAATTCCATCAAAAAAGCATTTCCAACACTTTCCTGTTCTGTGCTCTTCGCCTTCATCGCTACATACTATGCTGTGTGTTTTATGCGTCTCTCTCTTTCACTAATTAGAAAACGAGAAGAAAATGTTATAACCGACTAAAGAACCTCATCCGAACCAAGCAGGTGTTAGAAGCCTTTCGTTTCTTCCGCTGCAAGTAACACAGTTTTCGCTAGTAAGCTAAGGACACAGTTCCTATGAGCGTAAGACACAGCTTCGTCTCCTCTCCCGATGCGCACCAGTAGGGAGGCACAACAAGTTATCAGCGCGATGGCGATGGCAATCATGGAAATGCGACTTCTTCAGTTTGCAAACGTGACTCGCGGCGAATCGCAGAAGTGCAGAGTGGTGGCGGGGTTGGCGTCGGCCGGTTGGCTTCGGTGCTTGACGCGAGTTTCGCGACGTTTTTCGCGCCTGCTCTGTCATTCGCATCAGCGCTGCTGACAAAACGAGTTCCGGCTCCCGAATGCGTCGCGGTGCGTCGTGAGTTTTTGCTCGACCGTTTTCCGCACCTACCTAGATTCCCGACCTTCCGCAACGCCAGCATCAGCCGCCCAGATTTCCCGACCTTCCGTCGCCGCTGCCGACGCCGCGCAGCCGCCTCGGCCACACCCCAAAAACGGCGTTGTAAATCAGCTTGCCCAAACGGCCAACCCGTTTCATATTAGAACAAATTTCTCTCACTGACGGCTGCCTGCTAGCCTCGCAACGGACCGCCCTCAGATCAACTCCTTTCGATACGTATGGAGTTTCGGCCTGAATATGGCCGTCCTCCACCAGAGTTCTACCGAGGCATCGACTACCCCGACTACAGAGAGTTCCGTGAACCCGACTACCGTGACTGGCCACGACATGACTTCCCGCAGCAGCGTGCACGATCACAGTCACGCCTGGATCCTGAATATATTCCTTCTGAATTCCCTCCTTACGGCCGTCCTCTAGACAAAACTGTTAGGTATGTATTAATCTTAATGCTCAATTTTATATTCGCTTCCTTTTGAAAATATTATACAAAGCATGTATTTTGTTTTGCTACATGGGCGTTACCCTTTGACAAACTAGTTCTGTAAAGGGTGATTCATCGTTTTTACATAGTTTAGCAGAAGACCCTATTTTTCGAAAAATCGATTCGTTGCCACTGTCATAAATCTGGATGCACACACCCCTAAAAAGTCCTTAGAAAGTTTTTGTTGCAGGAGCAAATCACTCGATCATCGCGACGCATTTCGCGATGACCCGTCGTTGTTTGATGATCGTCGTGGAGTTAATATTCCGATTTATCGCGAGCGTAATGATAGAAATTATGACTACGAACGGGAGTTATACACCCCATTCGTGAGGAAAGAAGACAGACGGGATGTTGGCGCAGAAACCGTCGGACGAGGTGCATATTCGCGTGAAGTTGACATACCAATGAAAAGAATGCCTCGAGCACTCACTAGGAGCACGGAATGGCTGGCACGACGAAATTACGATGACAGACCACGGAACCCGCGAGACGTGTCCAGGGCTGAAGGATACTCACCAAAGTCGGCATCGTCGTCAAAACGGCACAACCTGAATATTTCCGTTGATCCAGGACGTGGCCGACGTGAGTACGGCAGGTCCGAAGAGTTCGCTGGTTATGGTCGCGACGATGGCAGAGAGATGTATAGGGACGAGAGGCACATGGAGGGTGACGCTCGCAGTTCGCACAAAAGGCAGGCTCATTCCAGCTACCACCACGAGTCCCACGGTGGTGGAGGAGCCGGGTATGGCTCATCCCGTCGGGCGATCACGCAGCAGCCGCACGGACCGCCGCCGCCGGGGGGCCCCGGCCCAGGAGGTTACCGCCAGATTCGACACCACCGGGTCAAGTGCTGCTGTTTCAACTTTACGTGGCCACCTTGGAGTTACGAACCCACTGCTCCTCCTCAGCCACTCTATAGGAATATCTGAATGTTACTAATTCTTGTTCTGCTGCCCTTCTATTGCTCAATATCGCTACTCAGAGGACTACTTATTCATTGTATATACGTCGCTGTTTTACTGTCGCCTCATTGATGTCGTCGAGGTGAGTCTGAGGGTGATTCCGATCGATGTACGTGTGTTTGGCGTAACGCCTAACAGCCACAATCACTGACGACCTTGTTGGGTAATGATTGCGCGCTCATTCGTCTTTCATCCGTCTTCCTTTCAGCGTTGAGAAAACTGAAATGGCGTTAGCTGTTTGCGGTAAGAAGTGTGAACTATATGGGATGAGAGACAAATAGTGCCCTTTGAAATTCCTCTCTCTCGCGTTCAAAAAGCTTCTCAGTGTTTACGCCAAAAAAACGTACTGAATTTCACATATCCAGTCCGATGAAGATGAAGATCTCCTTTCAGGTCCCCAACACTGCCAAGCTCATCCCCATTTTTTCCACTCGGTGATGGCTCAATGAGGAACACTTAGATCACCTCGCTCTCTTTATTTTTTTGAAGTTTTTAACATATTGTTCATGTACCAGTGCGACACACGTGTATCGTCTCGGAAAAGAACTTATAAAAGAGTATTATTTTTAAGAATTTATTGAGGTAAATATTATGAATTTTTTTTTGCACACAATTACCTAATAAGAAAATGACTACAGCAATCAAAATCAAGGCGAGACATTGATGAAGCACATCGTATCGGTGAGTCAAAATAAAAATCTCTTTCTACATATTATGAATTGTACAAAATCAATTGAGCGACTTTATAAAGAGCATCCACCTTGGAGAAATTCAAGGTTTATGCTCTTATTGAGCATAGTTACTGCACTTTCTACAGACATATGTATATGGGAAGAATAATGATCAATTTTGCAATGACACTTTCTCCAACACCTGTGCGACCGCTCATATTTTGCGGTACGACATGTTCTAAAAAAGTTACAGGAACTGAAATTGTGCTAAATTGGTCGTATTGGTGCGAGAAGTGAATAGCACATAAGTTGAGCTATTGTAAAAGGCATGCAATATCAACAGTGTGATTCTGTGTACAAAGCTTTCATAGTGAGAAAATTCTAGATCAATGTAGTGTCTTCAGAAATGATATGAGGCTTCCCGTTCACGTCCTCGAATGCTTGTGTTGTCATAATCATTGAGGTAGTCGAACTGACTCAATGCGTCTCTCACGTCATCTCCTGCAACAGTAGCCATTGGTGTCAATCAAATTCCTTCGTTTTTTTTGCTGTTTTTCGTCAGTAGAAATTTACCGCGACAGCAACTGTCTGAAACGAATGATTCGCCTAATTAAGTCTCAAAATGGGATGGGTTCTCGGCGACGTAGCGTTGTATTGAAACTTGCGCTAATCGAGTGACCTTATTAGAAAAGAGGCTCGAGTTTGACGAAACACCGGAGCGTAAGGAACTCGTAGAAAGCTGCGATTTCTGCGAAACTGGTCACTAAAATGAAGGTTTTCGAGCTTTCAGAATAGATACGCATTTCCAGAGACGACAGTCTCAGCTAGTCAAAAGTGTAAAATATGTATCAATAGGTCACTCGCAATCTAAGGTTTCTGCCTTGCGGCTTATTTTCTTTCCTTCACTCGTACTCAACAGCCCACCTATGACTCCATTGATGCTGGGACTCCTTACTTTTGCACGGCTACTAGTCCTCGAATCAGTCGTATAGATACCCCCATCGGGTCGGTCATATCGACTAAACTCACTATGACAAATTCATCAAATCGCAAGCAAACTGACAAGCCCTACCTCAGCTTTTCGTGACGGCCATTCTCCATGTTGATTGGTATGTAAACCACTTGCCCGTTTTCGATGTATGACCTTGAATTAATGTAACGATTGGCAATGATCCAAATTCATGTGATAGTGCAAACGGAGCGGTTCTGATTTTCAAGTCTAACCCACTTGGTATCGTAATCCGGGCGTGGACTCGGTGACATCAGTCGCGTGGGGGAATGCGACCGGATTATCGGCTGAAGTTCAGAATTACAGTATGCCTTATAACTTCAGGTTTCAAGAAGAAAATTCACCCTTGCATGAGGGTCGGGTGTATTTGCTCTTCTGGGGACCACGCTGGATACAACGGGTTGGGAGGGGAACAGATAGCTGAATCCAGCGTGTGGTACTTGAGCCTCAACTATCGGAGGCTCGGCAAAACGGGCACGGGGCGAGCTGGGGCTAGCGTAACGTGCTCGAGGTGGCGACTCGTCAACTTGGAACCTAAAAAAACTTTTATACCATTTAAATTCCATGATCATGAAGATGAAGTTTTTACCTGGATTCAAATCTTGTAGGTGAATGCCCTTGTGGTGTGGACACCCTTCTAGTTAACGTTCTACTTTGTGGACGAGTTGCTGAGGAGGGCCGTGCGGAATTTGGACGAGTCAGTGTTGATGAAGCAGCATCATCGCGAGAAGAGAGGTCATGAACGCTGAAAACGTTGGATTGTGGATATAGATTCATCTGTATGAAAAGTGAAAAATAGAAGATATACCTTCTAGACATGACCCGAGAGTGCTGTATAGGATGATATAACTGTTGTTCTTGTGGGTTATACCGCTTCAAACCACGTGGTGCACCTTCGGGGCTGTCACTTCTGTAACATCTCATGGGTTATAGTATGATAATTTGTGTTGCCCATATGTTGACATCGTTTAAGATTTCATTTCGCTCATAATTCTTGGTACCGTCACTATTTGGCGTTTCAGAGAGAATTCCAGTATGAGTATTCTTGATTCTATTCTGCGAAGTGGGCCAGTTTGTACCAGAGGGGTCACAAAGGCGAACGTTATGCTTCTTGACGATATCAAAAGGGCTGCACCTCCGTTAGGCGAATTGAATTGTAACAGATGCCAGTTACAAGCCAAATGATTAGAACAGAGGTGAGCTCGTGCCTGAGAAAAAAAGAATGATTATCTGCGCTTTGCGGACTCGAAAATGCCGGCGCTAACTTAGATCTCTTATCAAATGTGAGACTGGCTTTTTAGAATTTAACATCAGCTTAGCCTAATTTCAGCATAGAATGATAAATTAAGCATTACTCTTCAACCTTCAATGATAATCAAGAGATGGCTGCTTAGCGTATGCAGTACTTTCGTCTAGCTCTAAAAAATTTTTTTTTTACAAATTTGCACCATATTTGGGTTGTAATTTCGAATTTGTAAGAATGTTCAATATGTTCAATACTGTTGCCGCTCTTTAGCGCTATTTATAAAGATAGCGTGAGTTATTCGACGTCACTAAATCAATTTCATACCTTTCTGATCCAAGCATGGCGCTTTCACTCTTCGCCCTGCGCATTCCACTTGATGACGTTCTTCTCTCAGTACCATAGCTGGTTCGAGGCAATGGCGGTGGCGAATACGAAGCATCTGAAAATTTGAAAAGAGTGGTTAAAACCCATTTCGATGACAACAGAAAGATTTTCGCGAGCGGCTTTTTTAGCCATCAAAATGGCTAAAAAAGGGACTCTACGTTTGATTCTTGACCAGCTACTGCACTTCTAAACCGGCTGGTTCCGAAAGTAAATAGATTGCATATTAATAGATATATTTTCCCAGGGCACCATCAGAAGTAAATCTACTATTTTTGGTGTTTTTTTTTTGAATTGCACTTTTACACAGACAGCACTTTAGTCGGATATGAATACGACCTGTTCTTCAACTAGAGCGATAATCCTAGAAATCTCAATCTAGTGTTCCACCAAGAAATTTCAACGAAGCATCTGTCCTCATACGACCTAATGAAAGAAAACAGAGGTGCATATGAGGCCACTGAGAATGTTGCTTCCTTACAAATTTGAACGAACAGCACGTATTCATTAGGAAAGTTAGAAGAGGACAAGAACGAAGCCTGGGTGAGGTTAGCAATCGACTTTTAACAAAAATAGGCGCTCGCACCAGGGAGGAACTTCCACAAAATTGCACCTCTATTAACGAAGATTAAATCGAGTAATTCTAGCGTTGTAATAAGCAAATACTTGCCACAGTGCCGTTTAAAAAGCTAATGTAAAAGAGCGGCTGAACATTGTTCCGGTAGTAGAAAAAATTTGGTGTGAGGAAAGAACAGGTATGTGAAAAGCCAAAATCTCGGTTTCTTGAGACGAGAATGGGACGTTTCAAGCTTTCACTTCTTTGTTGTAGTGGCTTTTGAAATTAAGACGTTTAACCATCGACTGAGCGATTGCAGAAGTGGTGCCTTCGCTGTTCGACTTTGCTTAATTTTTTGGTTAGCCGTGAAATAACGATAGGTTGAAGAAAAGAATATGCGGGAACTCTGGTTTTTGATTTCTTGTGAATTCTCAACGTCTATTCAAGGTTGATGACTTGATCAATGACTGCTCTGTTTGAAAGTTCTTGTAGCCATATTTTCAATTCATGCGCATTCCTGTGTGGAAATGCTCCAGTTACAAACTGTGAATAGGCTAATAGCGCGAGAGAATGCAAATAAACTAAATTGCCGAATTCTATATGGGTCAGTGGCATACCCAGGATTTCCCTTGGGGGGGGGGGGGGGAGGGGAGGGGGGGGCAGCAATTTTTTCCTGATGAAGGTGCGTGGCGTCCGTCACGCACTCCAAAAAATTTTTTGGCTGCTTCCTAAAATTTTCGCGTGCTCATAACCCTGGAAAAAAATTTTTTGTAAGGTCACAAAATTTCAAAATTTCAAAAATATTTTAGTTTCAAATTTTCAAAAATATTTTAGTTAATTAAAAGTAGAAACAAGTCAATTGCACATTCTCACAACTCATGTAAGTGTTCCAAAATTTTCGCGACCCAGTTCCCCCCCCCCCCCCCTGCTGAGTAAAAAAGTTGTTTTGAACGTTTGAACACCAATAAACAAAAATTTAAAATTTAGTTTAATTTGATCTACACCACCGAAAATGAGCTTTTGGATAATCGATACGAACACCAAACTTGTCAAGCTGCATATCGTCAAAAACGAGTGTGATTCGTTTTTATTCTAAAGGTGGTTCAGACTCATTCTAAGAAATTGAAAACATTGAGATTTGCGGAGGGATCACTGCATTATACTATCTCCATACCTGAAGGTTCCTGCCATGCGCGATTCGATAGCGTAACTGCTCTCCTATCAGGGTAAAATGCATTGGATGAGTGGCGGTCATTTTCTGGATAGTATCCTGGAGCCGATGACCGTCCACCGGAGCCGATTTCACTTTGCTTTTTGAAGCGTTGTCGTTCAACGTTTTTCAGTACTGTGCTACCCTAATAGTAGAATATGTAAAAAAGCTCTCAGAACAGATTAGATGGTCAACGGCAGGAAAACATACGGTGGGATATTTGCCGGCGGGCGGTCGGCCGTGACGAGGTCGTTCGCTCTGGAGCGTATCACTCTCTGTTTCGGTCAGCCTGAGAAATTTCAATAAAAAAATATCCAGAGAAATTTCGAAGGAGAAATGATCTACCCGTAGATGTGATTGTGCTCCACACCATATGAAGGCATTGGCGGTGTACCCAATGATCGCCATAATGCAAGCTCTTCAGCTAGAATTTCCATACCTCCAAGTGGAACGGACTGTGTGCTTAGAAGCTGAATTTAGCAAGATTTTTCTGAGCAAACGGTTTGCTGCACACTTACATTCTCAACGTATTCCACACTGAACTTTGTTAACGCCACTTCACATCGGATAAGCGTACGATGGGTGCCCGACGGGGCTGTAGACAAAAGTTTATTGAATAGTCGAACGATGAGTATCTAAAGAGGTAAGTTGTAGATTATAAAAACAAGTCCTCAGCATTTCACAAAATGTTTGGATTTCCCGGAGCAAACTAGAATTGTCTAGACAAACGGCCATAGTATTGAACATAGCAGTTACGGACACAGTGGAATGCCTCGTTTTTAATCTCCCTCTCCCCCCCCCCCCGCCCTTACATTCCCCTACCCCAAAACTAAGAAATCAAAAAAATTTTCTGAAATGCAGCAAAGTGATCTGTAGTACTTATTTTCATTAGTTCCAAACTGCAATACTACTTTCGATCTCATGAAACTCATTGAGTGAATTTTTCTAGGATTATCGAGCATCTCTGTGAAGAAGTGTCCCCAACACAATCAGACTTGGACCGACTTCCGCGACTGCATTTTCAAACGTCCAAAAATTATGAAGAATCCCCTTGAGCCACACTATGATTTCAAGAAAACGCAATGATACAAGTGCCTCATTCCAGTTCGCGAAATCGAAATTTCAGCGCAGAGAACCTTTTACAATCAGTAGCCGACTATGCATCCCAATTTTCACGATATTTTCGAGATAAACTAGCAACAGTAGGATAAGATAGTTTATTGATATGGGATAAAGCGAAAGCCGTCGCAACAAGTTTGAAAGGTGGCATTTTTGTTGAAAAAAAATTTTCTGCAGCCGCAGATTAGTGGCATTCCAATGAATGACGACTGCAAGTAGGATGGAAAAAATTCACACGATCAGTGCGCAAGCGACTTGCCATAACCTAAGAATGTTGCGAAAAAATACCGAAACACTCAGTTTTCAAGTTTTACAGCATACTCTTTGATTGAACAAACTCTGTGCTGATCGAAAATCATAAAGCCCTAATGTTCATTAAAAAAATTGTCCTTTTGAAAATGCTAGGTAGCTGAAGCTAGTGATGCTGCGGAGTAAATTTCAAAACAATCTTTTCAATTTTGATCGCTTGATTTATTCGGAGTTTTTAGCTTGCTTGAATTTTTACATTTCGATTTTTCAATTCATCAGAAAGCCGCTAATCTGCTGTAATACTTCGCTCTTATTAAAAGAAAATTCCTCTTTCTGAAGAATTTTGGTCCAAACAAAACCATCAATTTATGCGACAAAATTTCCGCTCCAACCTCAAAGCTCCAATTCTTTTTTCTTTTATACTACTTCTTCGCAGGAGGGGGGGAGGGGGTAAAGTACTGTAAGGATGGTGTAACGGTAAGTGGCTCGCTTACCTGAATATGTAGTTTGTTGGTGTGAAGTCCATGTTTTAACTGTGCCACAAACATAGTAAACCTAAGATAATCCCTATTCCTAGCAGCCAGTGCGGTGAGCGCTCTCATAAGAATCACGAATCCTTGAGGTTGATCGAGCAGTAATAACAGAATCTAAGAAACAAATTCACGACTATCCATTCTTCATATCCGTTGTTGATGTTCAGTACCTCCAAAGCATAACATTTCGAGTCCAGCTGTGGACTGTTGACCGAATACAGTACAGCATCGAGACCGTTGGTCGAATCCAAAAATCGTCGCCAAGCATTTTCCTGCAATGCATTCGCACTAGCTTGATCGTCATCGATTCTCTTCCTGGTGTACTGCTGTTTCGTTACCGATTTCTCGAGAAGTATCTTTAGACACTCGATGCAGTCGGCTTCGGCAACCTAAAAACTCAAGCCATTATGCAAATATCTGGTTCTTAAGCTTCTTGGTAGAGCTCGAGAGCACTGTGCGTCAAAAGTGTACAAGTTATTTGATATTTTCTGTAAACTGCTAGATGGTGCGAGCATAGGTTGTACATTGAAAAAAAGAAAGTGATTAATTGTATGTGTCTGTGCTATTACTACAATAATAAGCAAATAATAAAAATTTCGGCCCCACCGCTGCTTTTCGTTTTCGATTCGTAGTGGAGCTGTTCCTCGATAGCAAATTAGAAATCTTAGAAGGAGGTGGTTGCGTGGAATTGACAATGCCTTGAAGAACCATGACAACTTTACTGAGAAGTTCGACACCATTGAGCGGTCTCGAGATGAATTCTTGGCAAAAATGTTGCGACCTGAAGCAAATTGTAAGTAAAATAGAATGCATATTTTTGTAAAATTGTGCTCTATTATGGACATGATAAAAAAGCGACCATTGTGCTCTATTCAAGTAGATGAAAAGGAAAGACGGATTAGTATTTTGTAGGACTGGAATTCGATAGCGATTATGATAATAAAAGTTTTTTTTTGCAAAAAAATGATATTATTCGTAAAAAATGAGGTCAAACCCGTTTGCCAATGCCATCTCGCGCTCTCAAAAACTGAAATTTGAACCTTCTCGTACCAAACAAATTATCGAGTGTGCATAAAGGATAAAAAATGCAAACATTCAGTTTTAATATTAAAAACTGTTGAACTTGTACTGAAACTCATAAATTCCATACTTGGAAAACATTGAACGGTGTAATAGCCTACAAGAAAAAGCGGAACAAAGTGATAATGTACATTCTGGTCCAAAGCAATGGATGATTGCAAAAAGAAAATTGAAGACTTGAAAAAAACATTAACATACTTGATAGATGATGCTTAGAGATAATGGACTACTGTTTTTAAGTGGCCTGTTAGCAGAACGACAACTTTCAATGTGATATGAGTCTCAAGATGGTCACTCATATACTACCTTAACACGAAAATTGCATTAACTATTAGGTCTTGTAGAGTTTTTCCCTTCCAATTTTCTCCTTTAGCTTTCTCCAAAACCACAAATATTTGATTGTACAAATGGCTTGCTCAACAACAGAAACCTTCACTCAGATGCGAAAAGAATTTGCGCTAACAGAGACGGTGCAGATGCCACGAAAGGTTCTTCGAGCAAACGCGACCTTGCACACTTTTTAGAAGTTGCGCATCTGCGACATCTCTATTGACAATATGCTAGAATGTAGCTCTGTGTATATGATAAAGTTGCTGACTAGCGTTTTTTAGTGAACGCAAGTTAATGAGACAATCAGTGAGACATTATGTAAACGTAGGACCGGTCCATTATAGCAGAGGGATAAGGACGCACGTTTCCGGTCGCGGCGTCCGGCAGCCGGTTCGTAAACGTGTGCTAAATGCGAATTTCATTCGTTAGCTTACCTTGCGTTGTCGACAAGGATCTGGTCCTTTAGGCTTAGCAGGACAAATCCTGCATCTGATAGAGAAGTACCGTTTGGAGTCGCTGAAAGCAAGGTTTCCGAGAAGTTGCAACTTGAGGGTGAAAGGGATGAGAGAAGAGAGAGGGGGAGAAGAAAGGGGTGAACGTACTCGGTTGGGGTACATCCGCGAGTAGAATAAATCGTTTCAATTGGTCCGCTATATGCCGAGGCGTTGCGCGAGGGTCCTGTATCGAGACGGACATGTCGGGATCGTTCCACCTCGGTACGAGTTCCCTGTCTTACAAGGCTCGCCCTAAATGCATTGTCTCAGTTTTACGTTGAAGGAAGAACATTAGGTGTAGATGAGATGCCGAAAATGCTTACGAGTACGAGAACAATTAGAACAAAATACCTTGAAAATGCTTGCCGAGGTGCAAAAACTGCGCGAAACCTAGGCGGTCAATTAACAGATGCACCTCGACGCCGACACACACGCATGACCATTTTAGTACTACAATACCAATCGTGATGACTCACAGCTGAGTAATCAAGAATTATTTTGTGGAAAAACAGGTGGCTCAGCCGGATAGACCGTCGATCACTTCCAGCTACAGTGCAAGAACCGGTCAAAATTTGGAAGAAAAGAAAAACATCAAGTTGTTTGATTGTAAATAGCTAAAACCATAAATAAATCCAAAAATCCAAATCCAATGGTGCTTAACCAATGGTGCTGAAATCCAGTGGTGCTTAACGGGCGACAAGGAGCACGACAACGACAAGAGACTGGGGTTGAATGCAGGTGTTGTGAAAAGTTGAAAATCTCTACATGCAGATGCACTAGCAAGTAGTTTTAATGGGAATTTGTTACAAAATCAGCATCAACGACAGTGAGGCGAAAATGACACAAAAGGAAATTGCAAAGCTTTAACAAAATTTTCCCGAATATCCATGTAATACGAGATGCGGAGGCTTTTGGAGGTCTTAGCGAGCCTAGCAGCCAAGGATATATGCTAATGTTATTGCGGGTCATCACCCTTACAACTAGGTATTAAACTGTGAGACTTGAGCAGAGGGTTTCCTTTCCCAAAGACGAAGTTTAAGTAGTGGGTTGCCCCCAAAGTGCTACCAAAACACGCAGCAGTCACCCAAGTGAATGCACGGGAACCTGCGCGAGGGCAGCGCACTCGGTGCCGACGAGGCAACAGGCGCCGGTGCTGGCTGGCGCAAAAGAATCTGATTCTTAAAATTCTTGAAAATCAATAAAGATTTTGAAGTGATCAGCTAATAACACAGAAGCACAACATGAACACTGAGGTCCAGAGTGGTCAGGTGGGAGGCGGAATCGATTCAGGTACGGCCTGGGCAGCTACGGTGCGCGGGAGCAAACAGTCTTCTGTTGACTCTAGACCAACGAAATTCTTCTAACTCTTTACTTGATTGTGCGCATGCTTGGATTTCTTTTCTTTAATTTCTGCCAAAGAACGCTTAATCGCATACCGATTTAGCTAGCCATAGAGCCTTGCAAGTTCGACATTTTCAACACCAACTATGTACAGTCAATACTAATAGCTAATGGCATAGGGCTAATTTTCCAAAAAAAGATCCAGTAGAACTCAGAAGACGATTATTGTTGCACGAATATTGAACCATTGAGACAGAGCACTTATCTGCTCAAATCTCTAATCTGAACGATGTCAAGAGAGGAGCGGAAAGAGCGGACATTGTTTGCTTGTCTAATTTACCCAACGTAACAATAAAGAATGGATATATGACATGAGCGTGGGCGTCTTTGAACGGCAGCTAGAGTAAAGAAAGAGTAGTTGAGCTACTTAAGAGGAACGGATTAGTGCATAATGGGATAAACCAGATAAAAATTTTTCTTCGGTTTTATCAGCAGAGAGTATCGGTCCGACTTAGTGAAAATACTAGGTGGGCTGATAGTTCGTGCCGTTTTCTAGATCTATCCTTAAATCGTTCAAAATAAAGATTCGAAGAAAAACATCACTACTGAAAAGAGAAAGAATTTTGCATAGAATAATGCTTAGAATGTTTGTCTATTTTTATTCCAATGATTTGAGGATAGGTCTATAAAACGGTACAAACTTTCGAACCCACTTTATATATGATGCCTCTGACGATTACATGTATCTCTCTAAATATAGACCTCTAAGGGTTCTTCAGTCAGGTTAGAAAATTAAGTTAGAAAACTTACATAAATTCAATTTCTCTTATCCGCAAGTTTGAGCTAAAAGTTGCTATACAGAAGAAGCTGTATGAAGATTGGAGTTTAGAAAACTCAAATGACACTAGTGATCAATAAATCTGAGATTTTGCTACACGCAACAGTAGCAGAACAAACAAAAGAGAAAGAGTTTACATATACGCAAACAAGAAACCTTTTCTTAGCCTGTAAGAAGACCGGTAAGCAAGGATTTAGAGAGAATCAAAGCAAATAAGTCGGAAATATTGTATTTTGGGAGAATAAAATCAATTTTAGAAAGATTTCGAACATACAGGAAGTGGGATAAAATGTAGAAACCGAATACGAACCATGTACAAGCGATAATGCATTAACAAAAGAGAACTTTTGCATTGAAAAGCGTGTAGTTCCAAAGTGGAAGCGGATCAGCGCGACTGGCTCCTCTCCGAGTGAACGCTTACGAAAAGAAACGTTGAGTTTTTCTGCTGGCTCTAATCTGTTTGTCCAAGGTCTCAATCACCAAATATGCATGCAGTGTACTTGGACACTTGCATCCGGAATGCTGATTTGCCAGATAATCCCATTAAGAGACCGTATCAGAGGCAAAGTAGCTGGTACGAGAGAAGTATAACTAGAATCCAGCTACGAAAGAGGTTTGAAAAACCTGCGAAGCAGCAGCGAGAAGTTAGGACAAGCGACACTAATGCTATGCTAGATCAACATCGACGCTGATTATACGATACAAATCTCTTCAAAAAGTCTTTGTTTAGAAAATGGATACCTAGAATAGCTCATCAAAAGTTCGTGGAAATTGCCCATACAAGAAAGCTGATGTACGTTTTAGTTTTCTGAAGAAAAGATAGAAGCGATATTCACTTTGAAGCGCAAATGCTGTCATTTTCCAAAAATATAAAAATCCCTAAAAAATCCCAATAATATAGAAAACCTTAAAATCCCTAAAATCCTTAGAATCTCACACAAGGGCCTCCCGGAGAAGTCCGTCTGCAAAACCCTGACTTATCTGACAAGATTTTGGGGTGTTATTCAAATATTAAGGGAAAAAGGACTTGTCTGTAGGGTGGGCTTATCTGAAGGATCTATAGGGCGGCATTAACTGGATCAAAAAAGCTGACTTATTTGCAAGATTCTAATAAATTGATTCTGAAAAGCTTCATCATATCCTTTGAAAAAAGTTCGATAACTGCTCATCATTCCCTATCATAAGGGTTGCCACCCATTGCTGATGACAATTAACGATAATTTAATCAGGATGATTACTGTAAAACAGCTTCCTTTGTACCTTTCTAGAAGATTGCGTGACTATGAGAGCTTCTGACGCCAAGAGAGTGTACAAATTACCAGATGGGTTTAGTGACGATCCAGGATGATACAAAAAAGACATAGATAACAGTGGCGGACGGAGGGGGGGGGGGGGGAGGATGCGCGAAATGGGTCGCGAAATTTAAAAAAATTTTTTTTTCGAAATTTCCTTACATGGTTATAAACATGTGCAAGTAACTTGTTTATTCTTGGAAACAATTAGATTAATTTTTTAAAATTTCTAAAAATCATATTAGCTTTGTAAAGAAATTTTTCCGGGGCATGGCTGCCGCCACCCCCCTCCCCTTTTCTAGATTTTCGGAGTTACGGACCGCAAAAATTCTGAGAAGCATCCCAAAAATGTTCTTCGGAGTGCGTGGCTAACGCCACGCACCTTCATCTTATATATAAAGCTGAATGTCTGTATGTCTGTATGTCTGTCTGTACGTATGTGCGGAATAGAAATTTTTATTTCTGAACCGATTTGGACCAAACTTGGCACACATATACTTCGGGGCAGGGAGCGTGTCATAGGCTACTTTTCGTTATCGATCGATATCGATTTTATCGATTTTTTGCAAAATTTGAGCTACGGGGCTGGGAGTTGGCACAGGGGGGTAATCGAGCATGCTGATTACGAATATAATAATGACAGGGCCGGGCGGAGCCGGGTTTGCCAGCTAGTTTGATATATTTTTGCCGCCCTCCCCCCCTCCCCCCCTCCCCCCCCCCCCCCCCCCCGGACGGATCCTGCGACCGCCACTGATTAATAAGTAAAGATTATGCCGAGGCTTTGCTCAAAACTATGCTCTACTAAGTCAGTGATGGAATTTCTTGAAACACTGATGTAAAGGTGCAAGGAGGGTATTTTACAAATTTCTTCATGAATCATGGGCTCGAGAAAGAGAGACTTTCACTAGCTGAGCTAATTTATGTGAGAGAAACAAACTTATCAGTTCTGATACGCGACATCACCGTATGCTCCTCTTCATTTACATTCAATAGTGACTTGTTATTCGTTGGCTGCAGTCAAGACTATTTTTTCGCATATCAAGATCTTGAAGAAATGAAAGGTAATCGCAACACTCGAAAATCGAGGCGAATCTTAGTTAATTGGCCAAATCAGTAACAGTAGTGAAAAAACATGATCGTTAGATTAAGGTCACGATTTTTCATTCTTCCATTTCCTCGTAGTTGGCACGATGAATGTTCTTTTTCGAGTTCGTAGAAGTCGCTTTAGTATTTTAAAGAGATGTCTGGGTTGTGACAGAAAGTATACAAATAAAACAATATATTTTTCACGATAATGGCCATTTTTGCTACCGACTATAACCTACTAATGATAATAAAGTTTCCATTTCCAAAGGCATTTCTCCGTACGAAAACGATAATCAAGGATTATTCTGCCAGATACTGTCAAGAATGTTCATGGTAGTAAATGGAAGACATGGTAATGTGCTTTAGTACTGTCAGAGTGATACCAATGTTCTCGTTCAAGAGATTAAAAATCATCCGTTCTTCGAGATTGGTGATTCATTTATTTAGGCTAACGTTTGCAATAATTCGCTTTCTTCAGAGCCTGAAATGGACGAAAACAATTTATGGACCCGATCAAACATCTCCTCAACCCTATAGGCAAAATTCTAAGCTTTCTTTCGACCACGAGCAGGCTGCCATACGCAGTACTCACAGGCTAAACAGTCGAATAGTAACAGTATTCATCATGCCGAGATTTATAGAAAGTCAAACTTTCCGATTACATCCGTTCTTCGTTGTTAAAATAAAAAAAGTGCAACGCAAATTTTATCAAAGTAATTTCAACTCATTGACGCACTGAGCTTCCTTAAGGCAGGCAAACTAATTCGCGATATACCGTCCTGTCTATTCCACACAATTGTAAATTTCCAGAATATTACTGCCAGACTATGTTGCAGGTGTTAGATTTTTTATACCTGCATTATTTGCAAATTCAACAAAATGCACATGCGGAGATTTGCCCACATTTGACGTGAAAGTATAGATAACAGTGTTTGGGTCAAACATTATCACGTCATAAAAGTGATACAGTTACTGGAATAAGCAGCAAAAAGTAGCATTAATTTTATCACTGAGAGGGATATACGGTGTCCGCTTGAGGTGAGACTCATAGACTTGGAGCACCGAGTACAATCTATCTCCATGAGGTGCAAAACCGTACCATGAAAAAGTTAGCCTCATTGGCTTCTGCAGTTTACATGCTCATCGACCTTACTGTTGTTACAGTACCAACATTTTAGTGCTAACGAACTCTTGTGGTCTTATTGATAGTTGAATCGGTTTGATCATAACAGAACCTCGCGACCTTTCAGAAAGTTTCGCAGCTAAGACAAAGTTGAAAAGAGCGTTTCAAGCTGATTTTGGCGATGCAACATTAATCTTGCGTGGCTGCCTCATAGCATATTTCTCTTGTAAGTATTAAACTGTCCCAAAAGTTCCTTCGTTTCAATATTGAAAAACCTGTAACTTTTAGCTATCTCAACGGATTTGTTTTCCTAAAATTTTCTTAGAAAGAAAAAGTCATCCTGTTTCTTGATGAGCTTTCACTATGCACTCATTGCAGAGATGAATAGAAAAAGAAATTTAGCCTTTGATCATTTTGAGTTGTGTCGCCAAAAATCTGGGACATTGCAGAAAAATCTGAAACCTTTGGTACATGGATTTTATGATCTGCATACAAGTGAGAGAAACTTTGTGCTGTTTGAATTTCTGCGAGAGCTTATATATTTTGAGTTTACCGTAGAAAACGCCAAAAATGATAAATTCACTTTTCTTGATAGTCGTAAAGTTTAAAAGAGACGTTCAAACAGCACAATTTTTCTTCTATAAAGATTAGGTCATGAAAATTATGTACTGGCAATTTCGGAGTTTTGGCGACCTAAATCAGATGAAATGTTCTAAATGTTCTTCTTCTTCCATTTTCAACCCCGCAATGAGTGCTTACTAGAAACTCTCCAAGGTATGTTCGCAAAAAGGAAGACTTCTTTTATCCATTGAAATCTCGAGGAAGCAAATCCGTCAAATAGCGAAAAGTTGCAAATTTTCAAAAATGAAATGACAGAGCTTTCGGGGCGACGTAATAAGTACATGAGGGTATGAACTAAGCCAAGTGGTTTGAGAGAATGTGAGAATTTCTTGTTTTGATTGTACCGATGTTGGTAAATTTCTGGAGTGAAGGGCATCTTAAAAAAAGAAGTGGCTCTATTCGTCGATATAAAATTTTCACTCAATTTCTAAAGCAGACGGTGGCGCTCGCGGAAGCATCTGCAACTGTTAATCTGCATGACAGGGACAGCTTAGAAAACTTCACCATCGAACGGTAAAGTCAAAAATGAGTAGAGAAATAGTGAATGAGTAAAATTTATGCCTTTTTTTTGCAAAATTCTAGTTCAAACAGCATTGAATCAGATAGAGTGAGACATGTAATCGAGTAAGCTGTTAAAATCTGTAATCGAGTAAGGCTGATGGGCACATAAGTGGCTGAAAAGAAGTTCTAAATTTATTCAGTTAAGACCCCACTTAAACTGGGTAGAATAGAAGAAAAGTATTTTCGTAAAATTTTCTTGGTTAAAACAAGCTCACAAAGTGTCTTCTAGGAGGCTGTTGCGACATTAGTTAGCATCTCCGCCAAAACACGAACTATTGCGCCACCGCGAGATGATTACTGTTTCTGGAACAGTCATAGTGACACCATGTTTTCCTACGTTTTCTTATTAGTTTTAGTTGAGAAGTCTAGTCTGAATGGTTGGAAGAGGAGCTCCACTTTGCTGGAAATTATTGACACTGATAGTTCTTTAGAGGCATCTATCATGTTCATGTGTATGTAAGGCATAAGTGTTGGAGCAAACTACAATTTCGATGAATAGCAATTATCGACAAGTACTTCCATGCTCCAATTCGAAAAACATACCAATTCTTATATAGAACTTGTAGAAAGAGCATTTTCTGACGATTCTTCGTCGATTTACGCCATACAGTTCGCAGTTGGGATCTTCTTGGAAAATTTGGCAAGTCCTCCGATGACGGGTAGAAAAGATGGCTAATTTGTCTTTCATATTGGCTTTATAGCAAAAATTTGCTGGTTAACGGCCCTCAAAATTCGAGTTTTACTCATAAACTGTCTACTCGTCCTTTCTATAGAGTGGAGAACATCGGGACGAAAACTGGAGGGCTAGGGGGAGGGGGGGGGGGGGGAGTAGGAAGGGTAGGAAAGAAGGAGAATAAAGTGGGAATGGTTTGCAATAAAATAGTCCACGTATGTATTATAACATGTCCTCCAAAAATTCGAGTTTTGCTTAATACATAGTACAATACTTCGTGCTAAGATACTATTTCATATTTTATGACAAGCACCTAAATCGTAGCGAAAAAATAACAGTGAATTTTTAATGCCGCAAAAAAATAACATCTCCCTCAACCATGAACATATTTTACGTCGAAGAATCCACAAACACCCTTACAGAGATGTTCGTCGATCTTAACGCTGTACTTTGACGTAAGTGATCTATCTTGGATCAGGCGCAGGAGAAAATTAGTTACATCAATAGCAATTTATCAGTGAGAACTCACCTTCTACTGCGTTTTTGCAGATTCGCATAGGTTGCAACTAATGTTACTATATGATGACCATCTTTAGCGATAAGAGTTGTTGTCCATTTTACCTGTAAAGATCAGACATGACTCTATATGAGCTTTTGATTTCGAGCTACGCAATTTTTCGAGTGTTTTTTAAATATCACCTTCCCAAATCGACAACTATACAAAATGTCCCAAATGTGCTGAACGTTTGATCGCTAGTAACTCTTTTGTACGAAAAGCTTTCACGGATCTTTAGCTAGCATATTACAAGGCTTCAACTTAGATTTACAACAGAGAATAAATTACTCAACGCTCTTCATTAGTGTAGGATCACGATAGAAATTTCGAACACAGTGTCGACAGTGCCAGGCGATTTTAGAAACATTCATACGTCTAAAAACCGTTCTGCTGGGTTTTTAGACTCGTTATATAGCACATAAATTTTTATATGTTTGTAGAGCGCTTTAGCTGACGACTCAGAGTTCTGGTATTTATTGGGATACGCGCTAACACTGCATACCTGTGCTAGTTATTGAACCAGAGAATACGATAGAATGAAGTACTCATAAAATTAGCAATGGTAATTACTGATAGTGAAGTGAAAGCCCCTTCGAATAACTTCAATTTAGTACAACGTTCTTACCATATTCCTACAACGATGAAAAGAGAGCAGTAATTTTCTTTACAAATTTAGATTGAAGCCAGTTTTACACTTCAAAAGCTCTAGCAAGAGAAGGTTATTCTCCATAGATCTTGGGAGGACTCTCTCCTTGCCACTTGTCAGAATAAAAATTGATGTTTGGGGACCAGTTTGACATGTTTTTCGGAATCATTTCTGGTGTGGTACGAGAGCATTTGAAATGATTCAAAAGCTGCTCAGGGCGTTTTATAGAAGCAAAACGGTTATAAACGTTCATCAAAACATCGTGGTAGCCTTCAGCAATGATTTCGAAGGATCCTGCTTTACCGGGAAAGATTATAAATGATGGCTTGAAGCACCTGGCTGCCGATTGTTTTGTCGTTTAGGTGATAGAACAACAGCTCTTTTTTTGAGGAAAACTAATGTGTTTTTTAAATGCAAACTGTCATTCTTATACTGTTGAAGCGCATTCGTGGAACTGTTGACCAAGAATGGATCATTATTGAAAAAAAAACAGACTGAACTTACACTGATAGGTAGGCTTAAACATGTAGACGGCACATGTCAAATTTTTTGACACGTGCCAGGAGGCTGATTCTCCCGATGAAGTTTCTACCAAATTCAGTACAAGGAAAGAAACAATAAAAGAAACAATATCCTTTTGAACAAAATGGGTCCGGATAACGGAAAAGTACCCTAATTTTTGCTTTCATTAGACAGCAGAAATTTTTGGGTCAATTTGTTTCGAGCTTTCTTCTGAGGTGGATGTACTGGACCACTTTTGCTGATACCTTGTTCTAGGTCGTGAAATCACATATGCTCAAGCACATCTTCGTAAATGTACACTTATTTCGAAATCCCCACTCAAGATAAAGATCACATAATCAAAATCAAGTTTAAGTTTTATGTATAACTTACGCCTGCCAACAAAGTTAGTGAAAAAAGGGCGGGGTGAATATTTACCCACATATAACTGAAAAAACACGACACTGCAAGTTGGCAGTAGACTTTCGAGCTCATAGATCCATTCATTTAGTTCAAATTTTATTCTCTTCCTCATCGGATTGGTCTTACGCTAACTAGCGAGAATATGCGAGCGATAGAGATGATCGTAAAGGTCAATGAGAAAATGCGTAACAATAAGAGTACATCTTTGAGGATAACTTGATATACCCAAAAAAGAATTGTGAGAAAGAAATAAAATGTCATATAAATCGCTTTAACAGAACTGAGAAGTGACATCATCATAAAAATATTCTGTGAATATGAATGTGGCCAATGAATACATTGAGCGAAAATTGTCGAACAACTGTACACATATAAAATTCATACTGTTTCGTTACTTGCTAGCTACCCACGGATGTGAGTAAGATGGGGGAAAGGCAGTGAAGGTCGGGGCCAGATACGCCTAGACATGGATAGCAAAATAATAGAAGGCATGACGAGGAGTAGGCAAGAACATCACCAGAGTGAACACGCTGCTCTCAGACGCAAAAATGGCGATTTCTCAGGCATTTTTCAAATGTTAAGACGAATCTGGGAAACAAATATTAGCCAATTTTTGCGTTTGAAGCTTCGCGCAAGCAACGATTTGTTTTCAACAAATCTCTATAAAAACATGACACAGTGATGATAAAGGGCAACACGTTCAGACTCTGCCACTCGGTCTGGATCGGAACCATCCGGAGTTTGGCAGAAGGATGCGAGGTGCAGCTGACAAACAATTTGCTTCGAGCTACCGAAATTGTTAGCTGCCCGGGGTGCAACGATTTGGGTGCACTGGGTCCCTGCACGATCAACGACCGTATGTCATGTATCCGTAATATCCGTTGTTGTATTGTCCACCGTAGCCATACGGATAATTACCGTATCCTAAACATGCATCTCTTTAAACTTCCTCCAAACAAATCGATATCAAAACTCACCAGCATAAGTGTTGTAACCGTATGGTACCATAGCTCCTTTGTCATAGTAGTTATTCATCATGTATGCACCATGTTTTGCCGACAATGCCTTCTCTTCCTCTTTCTGCAAAAAAAAAGAAACCCTTAAAAATACCAAATGTAATCACAGAATCGTATGTTCACCAACAAGTCCGTCAGCTTCTGCTGCTTGCATTCAGTTTTTACAACCGCGCGTATGATGAGAAACTGGTGTGTTCTACACTTGACAAGGTTCCATGTTTTCAATGCTTTCGAGCTTTAGCTAAATGCCTACCGGTTTATAGAACGCTTTATGTACAAATGCACTTCTATTCTTTGAAAGCGATTTTTTTATTCGAAAAGTTGTGTTTTGTTTCGGTCACAGTTCCAATCCATTTTCTTTTTTGGCTTGCTTCTTTACTAGTTTTTCCGTTTGCAATCCATCATAGCTTAGAGACACGATTAGAGAAAAAAGGTTAGGGAATGTGGGGAAACCAAATTAGTAGTAGAACATGTAACAAACTCTAAAAAAGTTTTTCATTCTAAATAAATGGCTCTGGGACTTGGAAAAATGATGGGATTCCTCAAACGATGACTATCCATAGTTTCGTCACCCCATCAAGCGCGCATATCCGCAGCTGCCACCTCCTTCAGGCACCCTGTCCCCCCCCCCCCGCCCCCCGTGATCCTATTTAAAACAAATACAGCATTTACATGGTGCATCCCCTCCTGATCACCTGCTCTAGGTACGTTACGCGTAGATAAATATACACACACGTCAAAACGGTCATCATGTTTGCTGTCTCGTAACCGCTCTGACTCGACTCGACTCGCATCCGATCAGAGCAGCACTCCCCCCCCCCCGGCTTTGCACACCGCTTGTTCGACGTCGCTACCATCCCCCGTCGTACGTTCTACTCCAGCGTCCCTCGGATCCCTTGCCCCCCCCCCCCTTTCCCAACGCGACATCAAACATAAGATCGGCACTCAACGAGCGTAATGCGCCGTTCGGCGAGCCCATACCAAACTCGGACTGTTGAATCGTGCGGGCATTTCGTTGCTGCTCTATTATAGGCGTGATTTTACGCCCGTTTTGGAAGTGAAGTGAGAGAGCAGTGCAAGTTTCGGGCGTTTGCATCATAAATCTCGTAGGAGAAATCTTCCTGTCAATGGGTGAAGGAGTAGGATTCTGAAACGCATCCCCGTTATATCCTCGCAGTTATAGCGTCTTATAGTGCAATATCGCGTGCCATCCTTCCACGACATCAACAGGAAGAAGAAGAAGCGCAAGTACAAGTCAGGAACAGGTTACGGTCTTAACAGCCTGTTGCCTGTAATGCGTTATCGTCATCAGGAGCACGAACGTCGCGACGAACGCGCAACCAGAGATAGCGCCGTCCCTGACTAAGAGACCGGGGTCAAGGAAGCCGCGATGTGATAGCATCGCATCGCGATCACACACACATACACAATTTGCAGGCCAACCCCATCGCGCCGCGACTAGCGCTCGCATTCCGCAACCGTCGACGTTACGACATCACATCCGAAGCGATTGCTGAGGCCATATCGTTAAGCTATCCGTGCGTAACTGACCTGCATTCGTATAGCGCACATTCCGACAAAACTTCCACCTGCCATGGGGAAATTGAACGATACGACGAAAAATTTAGGACATGACGGCCTTATTTGGGGTGACCCATAACCCATGCGTCTGGCGCAAAAATAGAAATAAGCGGGGTGATGGGATCTTGAGATATGGGGAGACTCTAGCAACGCTAGTAAAAAAAGATTGCTTGATTTTTTGTTGCCCAGGAAGGCATAGTGGAATTGAAAAATAAAGCTGCATTATCAAAACTGTTAAACTAATTTTGTTGGCCACACCCTACGAAGTTTTGCAGATTTAAAAGTGCAAGCTCCATTTTTTTGTATAAAATTACACAGAATATGGATTTCGACGTGTCAAAGGCTTACTGACCTTACTGGTTTTTTTTGTATAAGCAACCTTCTATCAATAAAGTAATTCCTCACCTTTAACCGACTAGCTGAGCAAATGAAGAATACGGATGCGAAGAGAATGAAGAGAATTCCGACCCAAGCAACAACAAGAGACCATCCAAAGTTGAAACGGGTTGTGGTTTTGAGTATCTGAACAGTAAGCAATAAAAAGAAAAAACATCAAACTGCCTGTAAGAAAAATCAAAACCAGCTCAAAAGAACACAATCCCCTGGCAATCTCTTGAATAAAACTTTGAACTAAAAGGCAAGCACTTCTTGTCCCAAAGAAACAATGCCCTCAAATCGACGACCTTGGAGCATCGACGACGACCTCAATTATTAGTTGCGGTATCGTCTGGAGTTCCGCCAATTGTTCTTCTTATTCTATTCTGCCTTTCATACATCTAGTCCTTAGAATGAATCGGGTTGCTATGGCATAGAACTTTAAGTGGCACTGATTAGTTAATTGCATGGCAGGCGCAAAAAACTAGCGCCAATTCTGTGATTCATTGTCTTTAGGTGTCTCTTCCGCACAATCTTGCCAGACAAATTCAAGATTAGCAATGTTCTTCTGCGTACGGTGCTTCATCGAGTGGTCCAGTGTTCGGTCGTTGTCCCGTTGAGAACCAGACCGGTTTGTTTTCCTCAGAGCTGCTCGCGTATCACGCGTGTGGCGCCGTTCGTTGCTCGTTTCTCGTCTCCTTCAATTTTCCTCAGATCGAAGTGATTGCACGAAGGAACCGTTATATCTAGATGACGGTCGCGCTTGGAAAGAATGCCAAAACTGTAGATATCCACATGAAGATAGCGGTCTCTCGCGCTAATCCTTGAAGCGGCTACTTTCGAGCGAATAACTGGTTGGATGCGAGACAATAAGACGTTGGACGCACCGGTTCCCAGGATTTGTAGAATGGCGCCATTTCGAGTACAGCGCGTTCGAGGTAGTTCACGTAATGCCAGCAAGCCATTGATACCGCGAAGAGGAGAACTGAAGTGATTAAATTAATTTAACTCTAAAATTCTGGACCCCTCAAAATCACGAAATATCCTACCTGTGAGGAGAAGACCGACGCCGGTGAACATGAATGCTTTACGAGATTGTCGCGCACATCCGATTCCGGCAATTGCTAGGCACACCACCACGACGCCGAGACCTATACGAGCGCATGTTGAACCCGTCAGGTACATCATAAACACCTTTCACCCATGTAACCCCATTGCGATCGTGATAATTTGCTCGAATTGGCCGCAGGACTGGATTAGCTGCACGATTGGCAAAATATTTTTTCTATTACGTTATGATGCATACCTAACAGGTAAACTATTGCACTGCACAGTTCTCACATGAGGAGGGAAACCTATACTTGAAAACACAAACACGATCTCGCCACTACAGAATACAATTGAGGTAGAAACCAGTGTCAACACAGTTGATCGCGCAACGCATAGAATACAAAACATACTAGTTAGTATCACGAACTAATAAGCGAATTGAAGCTCTCTTCTGAGTCGGTGGATCCACTTACCAAGCACATAGGTCGCCACGTTCGCTCTCATGAAGTAGAGTCGTTGAGTCTGCTGCGACGAGTAGTTCTCCTGTACAGCCTCGGCCGGGAAGTAGTCGGTGTTGTCGATGCACGGGGAGCCGTATTTCGAGAAGCTACCGATATCTGAAAGCGTACTGTACTTTGTCCTATCGGGACGAAGGTGCTGGTCATCCGATCTGACTAGCCTCCCCACACGTGCGTTTTTCTTTTCCCCAAGTCCGACGCGAGAACGCAAATAAGATCATACACACAAATGAAACGATGCGTAAACCATGGAAGAACGCACGTGTGCGGAAAAGAGGCTGTGTGTGTGTATGATTGAAAACATATGATAAAAACTTGGCGAAGGTGAAACTGACCAGATGGAACGGAATCAGGAAAACAGATTTGGAATAGACCATAGTTCCGCGAAAAATAGTTGACATTACGAACGAACGCATCTTTTAGGCGAACATTCAACTCTGGTTCTCGGTTGAACGCATTGATCACCTCCCGTCGATTCACCTGTAAAAGATCAGAGTTCAAAGGTTATTGAGAACTATTACGTGCTCATTTTTTGGTACCAATGACCCATACATGTGGGCGGAAGTTCAAATCCATCAAATGGAAAAGAATGAATCATAGAAGTTGTTATGAAAAGTGAGGTATGTGTTCACCGCATGTCAAAGGCGAAGAGTCTGGCTGTTCCAATACATGGTGTAGAAAATTTCTTTGACAAGAAATGCCTTCACTGCACGAATTTTTCTCAGAATGTATTCTATCTTATTTTCTTCTCAGATGATCCGACTGGTTGATCAACAAATTATGCTACAACTTTTTTGAAACATTATTTCTGTTCTCCTATCTCACCATCAACCGCAGCATCTACCTTCACTGAGGACCAAAAACGAGAGCAATTGTAGAGTTTTTCAAGCAATTCCAGGAACTAGTTGTGACTGCACTGAATTGGAAATTAAGGGGGTGTATTCTGTAAAATTCAAAGAGTGTTTTCAGAGTCTTCCTGCACACTATCAAGAAGGGGGGGGGGGACGTGAAAGTGTGGTGAACTATAAAAAATGAAAGCTGGTGCAACCAGGGTCAGAAGTGGGAGTGAGAGCGGGATGCCATGTTTTCCCATCAACCACCGCCGATGCGGCTTTGATCTGGCCGAGTGCATGCCGTGCCAAGCTGGTTGCCCCGTTTTGCACTGTCTGCCCCCCCCCCCGGTCTGCCCGGCCATACCTTAGGAGAAAACGCGTCCCCGATCTCGTCGCGCCTTATTTGATCGATCGAGGTCGTCGAATCGATCCACAAATGAGAGTAATGTCAAGGTGTGCGACGAGCAGCGGCCAACGCGTGACTCTTCAAGCACGGGGAAAGAAGGTGCCCGACTGACCTGTCGAGTACGGGGGGACCACTAAGCCAAGCCAACCGCTTTGGCACGAGTGCTTTGGTGGCCGGCCATCAGCCGGCGGAAGATGGCTGAAAAGAGGTTGCGTGCGCGGGTGGTGACCGGAATGTAGTGCCCTTATGCACGAAGGACTTCTGCCATCTACCTCTCTATAAAAGATCTAACGTCTCCGCTGGTAGCACTACACCATATATAATAAGAACCCACTAAAAGAGTAGCCTCTAGCTTTCCGACGGTTCGTATCTTGCTGTAAGAAAATCGCTTCCTTACAGGTTCTCAGCAGCATCACACAAACCACATGCAGCGGCACGCGGATAATTATACGGGGTGCGTGGGATCAGACGGCATATACGGCAGCATCAAATGCATATAAGACGGTGACATGAAGAGAAAACAAGACGAAAAATTGCGATGCTACGATGTAAACGATGTAAGCTGACAGGGGGTAATGATCACACTCAGTTTTGATTGCTTTCGCACTGTATTAGCACAACAAAAAAGGGGCGCGTAAGCTCATTGTTGAACAGGCAGAGCATGGTAAAAACCTGCCTGAGAGGAAACAATTACGTGGGAATAGCGTAGCACTGTGCTTGCATAGGAATGAGATTCCACGTTGAGAAGACAGGTGAAAAAAAATTATCGGATAAAGAAGAGTCTATTTTTGAGATAGGAAGATAGTGGTGGAATAAAAAAAAATGCGTGAGAGGTATTACAGTGGGAAGTGTTTACGGTAGCTTACCTGATACTCTGTCCAATTATCGGTAAGGGCAGCAGCAAGTACTAAAGCTAGACCGATGATGCCAAAAACGCTGGACAAGGAGAGGAGGATCGTCGAAGACCACATGCTTGAGGGCGCGCGCAGCACTGGCCGAGCAGGCTGGCCACGCCTACCATCAGGGTGCGCGGTGGGAACAGATACACCGGGAGGCCGCATACAGACACATACTGGACGAAGATATATGACTCGGAGCGAGCGGATCGAGATCCATGCGTTCGGCACTGCGGGTACGATTGCGGCGTCCGGCCTGGCCGGCCAAGTCGGCCGGCATTACCGGCGAAGTGGTGCGGAAGCCGCTTCGGCAGAATACGCTACTCCCATCCACTGCGTGCACCCCAATTTTGCTGCAAATTCATAACGTTGATACGAAATTGCCACTTAGACATTCTTATCATTCCTAAGAAAAGGAACACTGTACTCTGCAAAACTGCAATCCGATTTTCCGTTTGACCTAGTATGAGACGAGTCCAATGGCCGGATCTCCTTTGAAGCTACTCCGACTTGCACTCTAAAACACAGTTCGAGTTCAACCCATCGACTTCGGAGAACTTTGTCTGTTGCAAAAAAACTGTCATCTCGTTTTCCATCACGTCATTTACCCCGTTAGTAGAACATCTGCGCCCGAATGAGCGACAGTAATGTGTGTGGTCGGTGTTGTGTATGTGTGCATAGAACGATGGAGAGGTCATCGACGAACTTTGAAAATATGTGAACTCTCGAGCACGGTGCAGACAACATTTTCCATGAATTTCTATGGAAAAAGAATCGAATCAATATGACTACTGGATGTTTTTCTGGGTTCTTGGAGCTGCCAACTTCACGCTTGACAGAATGCTGTAGGGTGTCTTCTGGTATTATTGAGCAACTCCAGACTAGTCATACAGCATTCCGTGATTTTTTTTTGTGCCAAGGCCTGATTCAAATGCCCAGATTAATTGTTTAGCTCACTATTTTCTTCAACTAAATTTTACCAGAATCTTTCTGGCTCGGAGGTAAAGCTGACTTTGAAAAGCTGAATGATGGGCAGAATCTGGATTTCAACATTGACAAAGTTCTACAGCGGAGTTACTTGCTCGAAAGCTTATTTTCTTTTGATCAGTAATTTCAATAATGTAATAAATTGTTGTGAAGACGTCGCGATGTTGTTAATAGTAATCATTTATTAGTTGTTCGGCGAGCAAAATATTTCTTTTCGTCTTCTTCTAAAAGGCTACAGTAACCAAATTGTCTTAAACTAAGTAAACCTTTTGAGGCGAACTAGTCCAAAGCCCAGTGCCAAGGATCTTATATCAACAAAACCATCTTTTAAAGCAAAACACCAACAATGTTATGTGTTACAAATATTGTGCACTTTCGCTTTTAATTTTCAAAATTGCTTCCTCGATTTGCACTAATTTTTTTTTTCAATGGAACGTGAAATGAATACAGGAAAACGTGTCAACAACGCTGTTGAGAGCGAAACGTTGACCTTTGAAAATGCTAGGCTTCGATGCTTCGACACCTTTTCGTAAAATGTGAATTTTTAAGATATTTCACTAGACTTTTGAACTTTGGAAGTGGATTGGCATAAAGAACCGAGACTTCAGCAAGTTTTGATTCCATGTATTTGTTCAAACTAGATATGAAATAAAACACTGGCTCTTTACAAAATCGAGGCTGGTTATTTTGAGTTCACTAAATGGATAAAAAACACAATTGAGTGCTTTAAATGAATGTTGTTTTAAGATGTTGTAAGAAAGAATGTGTAGCATTTCTGTTCTTTGTTTATCTCAATCACGTTATGACTAAACGAACAGAAATTTTTTCCATGGAGAAAACTTGTTGAGTCAAGTTTCTGTTTTTAGCACGACGGTGAAATTTTCTCGAAGTGCCCTTTTTCTAGGGCAAGAATTCATTAGAGAGCGTTCTCATTCAATTCATAACTTTATACTACAGATTCAAAAATGGGGATGCTATTTAGACAATTTTTCATCACATTCTCACAGTTTCCAGATAATTACATTGTGAAAAAACTGAAGGATATTTTAGCCACCTTGGTCAAAATTCTCGGCTACAGATTTTTCGCAGAACATCGCTAACCAACAAATCGTAAATGTTGTGTTACGGCACAAAGCACATGCAAATTCAACTGTTCACCCTCTTCGGGGTGATTCAAGCATTGCCCATACCTGTTTTGCAAACATTACAATGCTTTGAGGAACATCTTCAGCTGAGTGAACGAGTCACAATGATTAATTAGTGTTAAAAAGCGATTTCCATGCAACAAAGAAGCCTACGTTTGCCCTCTTCCATTATCTCTAGGCTGGGGTGGGTCACGCTGCTGTGAATTCATCGCTGCAAACTTCTATGATGTGCAAATCCTATATAAACTACAGCACCCGCTAAAATTATCCAATCTTCATTTGAACTGAACTCAAATGCCAGTAGATGGGCACGGTCATCATCCCGACGGAAAATTGACTTCAGAAACACTCACTGTACGAGGTTTGCGCCGTGACTAATGCATCGAACAACTTTTTTTCTCAATTAGGCCCTTCCAAATGCAAATCGATGTATGCTCGCTACATTGTAAGAAGGCTCTGAACAATAATGAACATCACTATGAAATGCCCTTCTACTAGTTGGATAAGGGTGGAGTGAGAACTTCGTGCTTGCTTGTGTTTTTCAATGGCAACCTAATTGTGCAAGACTTCAAAGAAAATAAAAATCTCAGAATAAGTTGTTCAAATTACGTCAATGTCGACTCTAAAACTTGCCGCAAGTATAAAACTTGTTTAGCGAGGACTTATCAATACAGAAAACCAGACTCTGATAAATTACGATTTCAAAGAATTCTGTTGACTGGGCAAATAAAACTCGCTGAAAAGATATCTCGGCACCGTCCTGGCCCAATTCGCTTCTGTAACGTCCAAATTGCCACTTTTCATCGACGTATATTCTAACAGAAAAAAAAACAGAATTTGCCTCTGAAGTTGTAATACAAACTTGGAAACGATAGTGCAGCTGAAGTAAGTGAAAGCATAAAAGATGGAGCCCGGTCAGAATTTTACTTTTCTAACTTGAGACCTGATAGGTGTTTAACGTTGCGCTTACACTACACTTTTTTAACCTCAACTATTGAGGAACTAAGGTCGCTGAACTTCAATGCCGAAGAACAAGGCGCCTTTACTTTCACTCTAGAAAAAAACAAGGCGCCTTTAGTTTCTAGACAAACCTCAACCGCAAATCGGCCTCTACACAGGTCATCTTCCACTTCAACTGCCTTCAAATCCATTTTATAAGTGAACGATAAATAAACATAATTGCAGACGGCAGTATAATCGCGTCGCCGTCGAAGAATTTCAATGCCATTTTACCAAAGCGAAAGCGTTGGCCACAATGTGAAAGAAATCGACCGAAGAACTGTGGCTACGTACACGATGGCTGTTGTGTTGCAATCGGCTCACCATTCATATCTTCACTTTTCAAAGGACACCACATCGGCATCCTCATCATAAAAGTCAAGGACAGTTATCTCATGAGATTAATCGGCGGATACACGATTGCGAGACAGGTGGTGGCACTTCTTCTGACATCACACGTTACTGCAGGGTGAAGGGGGAGAAGGAAGGGGAGAGTGGGGGGAGAAGAGGGAAAGAACCGTAGGCAGAATAGCAACAATCATAATGTTCATCAGTTTTGATCAAGCCGAACCACAATGAAAATACGAAAGAAGAACAGACCGGTAAAGGAAAGCTACGGATCGACGAATTCAGCTATATGTCCTCGAAAATGAGGACACCTAAGCAGCAAAACAACTATTTCTCGTTCTAACACACACATCATCACAATTCTTCGTCTCGCAAAAAAATATATGTAAAGAAATAGAGGACCACAAACAAGCTGATAGGCACGTTATGCGCGTTTTAACGCAAGAGCTTCATGATATCGAAAAACAAATGGTATAAAGGTAAATGCGACATTTGATTATGAAGAAATGACCGGTGTCGTAAGAGAAACAGTGATCACTGTTAAGAATAAGCCTACATCCTATGAACCTGCGAGATCATGCAAACAACTGAAGATCTCATTATTCAAATATCCTCCTATGATGATTGCTTTCGAAGCAACACACATACATTCCTCAGCCCGTCTCATCCTGACGATCGCCGCAGAAGAAATCGTGCAGATTGCGGCACATACCTTTGCTGAAAACATATACATTTATTAGCTATGAAGCATTCAAGTAACAATAGGGCATCCTAAAAAGATGTGCCTACTGTTTGACTGTTAATAACTCTTTTTCATTAGAATCATTGGAGAATCTTTAGGTACTTCTTTGTAGAGCTGGCTTCAACTTACAATTAGATTTATAGTATGGAGCTGATTAAGGATCTATATTACTGTAGGAGCACGGTAGGGGAAAAAGGAAAAAAATTCCAAAAAAAAATCTGAAAAATTGTGTAACATGGTTTTCAAGCATGCTGATTTCAGTACATTAATTTTTGCGCTTTCAGAAAGCTTTTTAAATGGTCCAATCAAATTTTTGACAAAAAGCAGAAATCGGTTATTTTGGTAAGTCTGAAATCTGGAATAATCTATGAAAAATGCCTTACAGTGAAATTTCATGTTTGGAATCAGTAACTCTGATCAACATAGTGTAGTAGCTTTCAGCTTCTTTGGTTCTATTTTAGGGGTAAAATATGGCCCTTATTTACTAAAAGCCTCCTCAAAGTTCCCACCGTAATCCTACAATAATGAAGAGGAATTTCTGATTCGCACGGTACTGTAAACCTAACGTGAAGCCAGCTCTATAAAAAATTACCTAAAGCTGTTCGAAAAACCTACTTACAAGAGAGTTATTAACAATCAAACAGTAGGCACATTTTTTGGGACACCCTGTTCAAACATAAAGGATGTTGTCAAGCACCTTTCAACATCCAAAGAAATTTTCAGATAAAAAACGATGCTGTGCCACTTGCATTTCTGTATACATGAAAGCAATATTTTATACCCATATAAGAGTTAAACAGCGAGCGATGACTCATAATCATCAATCAAGGAAAAAAAACGACTTTTGTAGTAATTTTGGAACAAACTTTGAAACATGGTGCCAGCGACTATTCTTTGAGATGTTATAGATAGAGATGCAAGTAATAATACAGGGACTAAGTCAGTTTAGCTTGTAGAATAGGCGAATGTTTCAGAAACATCTTTTTCTTTTGTCGGTCTTTTAATAAAAAGCACGAACGAATCATCTCCTAGAAAAGCTTTAACTAAGTGGCTAAGATAGAGTTTTCCAAAGGTTGGCCTATGTGCTGATTAGCCCGGGTAATGAAAGAAATTAGAAAAATACGCAATAACAAATAAAAATTACTCTTTACTCTTTGCTACCCTAAAATTTAGAATCGACTTCTCCAAAGCCTGAACTCGTTACAGAGATAATGAGTAATAGCAAGGATATTATAATTCAGACAGAGATAATGAGTAATAGCAAGGATATTATAATTCAGAAAACTTTGAGATGATGTTAAGAAGGCAAGAGGAAGGATCGGCAGAGCTAGGTATCTCCTTCTAAGCATCGATGCGACTATTAAACACTCCGATAGTAAAGTTAGAGTTAGGGTTAGATGAAGGGGAAAAAAAAGCAATTTTATGCGTGGATTAAAAATTTTGGATCTCCCGCTTAATTCAACATTTCTCAAAAACTTTCGCCTGTAGAAGGCCAAAAGTTCATGGTTGAACTTCCAAAGTTTCATACAAAATTACATATGTAGGAGCAGCCAAGCGCAGTCTTGGCAAAAACAGGAAAATTATTTTTTCTCCATTTCTGGTCAAGGAAAAGACCAGCTCACAGGTACATGTAGAAGGTATGTGACTGAGCAAATAAGAAACTCGTAGGGCTTTCTTTGATTGAGAAACAATTTTTTTTGAACTTTCATTTATTCAAAACCACTTAAATTTTGGTTTCTAGTTTCAAGTGGAACCTACTTGGAGCAAATATTTGGGTGCCTTTTGTAGAGCTTGCTTTGCTCTATCGAATAGTACCCCTAGCATTTTTGGTGTTCGACTGACTAGTCACGGTGCAACAGCAAGCAAATAAAAAAGACCATTGACATCCTGATAGTTTTAATATGGGGGGCCCTTACAAAGCGCAGCATGAAAAAGATGATCCAAATTTGTGAGGATGAAAACGATTACGGGTTTTGTGGCATCGGGACTGGCTTCATAACATAAAATACTTCTGCAATTTCTGACTGATCTGCGAAACTCCCCGCCCCCACCCCTTCCTGCTCCTTAGGGAACAATTTTCAAGATGATAGTTCTCTCTGTTCGTCATAACTGTCCCGCAGACTTTTGTCGATCATCTCATTGATTTTCTTACTTTCAAATCGTCAGGTATTGGGTTATTCATCATTTGAGTTTTCCATTATTTTTACTTCAACACTAAAAAACGCGCGACAGTGGCAATATATCGTAACTTGTCAAGCATCGAAGGCACTTGTACGGCAAACAGATAGCCTCCTTATAAGTTTCAAAATCAAGAAGCGAAACAAACTGCGATGCTTCGCTCAAATCACAACAGGCGTATTAACGCATGACTGAGAATCAAAGAATGTCTGCCTGGACGAATAAGTAGACTTGTTTCAACGCTTACTTGTAAGGGCTTCGAATATCCAGTTGATGTGCGCCGACTTGAAACTGCGAATATCGATGGATATTTAGTCGTTCATTCGTCGTAACCTCCATCAGAATTTGATAAAATTGTATAGCAGTCATTGCTGATGACCATCTAAAGAAATGAGATCAGTCAGAAGTTTGTTACGCTTATATTAGGTGGGTCAGAAAGTCGCATCAGAATTTTTAAAAATATCGTAGTTTCCTCTAGTCGCGAATTGATTTGATTTTTTGAGAAAAATAAAAGAAATCTTGCTCCAATAATTCCTGAAGCAAATACCAGTACTGGCATATGACAAGATAAAGGCTCGTGAGAAGAAAAGTTAGATATTCACATTTTTGTAGCTTATGCTAGAAAGTCCAAAAGAGACGCTTTTAGAAGAAAATCGTGCTCCTCGAATGAATTTACGATTATAAGATTCTCGACCCTTTTCCTATTCGACATTTCGATTTTGCTCCTGCTAAAATCTGTAATATGCGCGATAGGATACTTAGATTTACGAGATATTTATAAATTTAGTAAATCTTTCAAACATTTTCAAAACTGATTTTTCGTACTCTTCTTGGGCACAGCTGATCTTGATAAACTTCAAACTGCTTACCCACAAACCACAGCACTAGTGATGAAAGCAAAAAGCAACCAATGATCACACATCACCATAGCTTCTACCGTATGCGCCCCACAGACATCTCGCCAGTCTGGAATAATAGAGCTTAATTTCAATAAATCAACTAAAATAGATCAAAACGCACAGAGCAGAACAGCTGAACAAAAAAGTGCAGTTGAAATAGCAATCACAACCAGATAGCAGATAAAACTTCGATGGTTATTGGCGGCGATGCAGTTATTCACCTGAAATGTAATTATTCGAGATCATGTACAAAAAAAGTTTTATAGATCAAAAAAGGTCTACATAACAGCAAATACAAATTTGTGCACAAGAAAATCAAAGTTAATTTGCAGTATGGCCTACTATCAATGCTCCTGAGATTTGAATTTCTCCGCATTGTAAAGATATAATAGCAGCGTTTTGAAGGGCGATATGAACCGATTTTGATCGTCAGCTAGTTTTTGAACGGCAATGGTGCTCAAACATTGGATTGCACACTCAAAAGCTCTAGAACTGAAGGTTTTACATGAGCTCTTGTATGTCTGGTATGGCGGTCCCAGCATCCGTTCGGGAAGGTGGGGAGGAGGGGGGCAACGAAGATTTCTTTGGATAAAAGTGCGTGGTTAACCAGGCACTTCGGAAACAATTTGGGATGCTTTCGAAAACTTTTGTCGGCCCATAGCCTAGAAATTTCAGAAAAAGGAGGAGTAAGTATTTTTCACAAGGCTAAATAAATTTTTATTTAAAAATTTATTTGAAAAACAAGCATAAACAAATCACCTGCACATTTTTATGACCCATGTAAATAACTTTTGAAAATCTCGCGACCCATTCTCTAAAGAGAGGGAATGTTCGGAACCTTTTTTCTTCGAGAAGCTAGATTGCTAAAGAACCCTTTTTCAATGTAGTGAATTTGAAAGTGCTTCTCGACAGCGGCAAGCGCAGATTTCTGCTGATTTGAGACTTTTCAAGTCAATTCACATATTTACAGAATTATGCAAGCAACCATTTCTAACATGTAAGCAGAAGTTTTTTTTCGACTTCTCAAACAGCATAATCAGCTTTATAAAAGTGATGGGGGCCCCATAATGAATTCAGCCATTTTTTTAATAGAAAATTGACCAAAGAACAAGAAGTTGTCCTCAAAAGAATTGCATAACATACTAATGAATGCCTAGATAAGAGAACAAAAATACATTTGAAGAAGCACCATCTGCAAAACATCAGCACAAACCTATTGAAAGAACAAATTGAAGAAACGTGGAGCGTCGGCAGTAGTTTTACAATTCGGAGTGACCAAAAGTAAGTACACGTTTTTTAAGCGTTTGTAATTCTCTTCCCACAATGTTGCTTAGCTTCAAGTACCGTTCGGTGAGGCAGGCTATATCTTAGTTATATGCGGATCACCCATTGCTCTTCATTACTGTAGGATTACGGTAGCAGCTTCCACAAAATGCCACTGTGAAATAAACCGTTCGAGAAGAAAAGTTCCAAAAAATCTGAGTTGTGTAACAGTGTTTTTGCGCATACTGATGTCACTGAATGACTTTTTATGCGTTTTTAAGGTTCAAATGGTTTGATTACATTGTTAAAACACTGAAAAGACGTTGTAGTTTGACATAATTTATGAAGAAAACGGTAAAATGCGATTTCCTATTTATGAACAACTCAGCTTAGCCTAACGATATAGTTATCGGCTCGTCGAGTATCTATTCTAGGGCAATATGTAGCCATTGACAGCTCAAAACCCTCTTCAGAGCTCCTAGTGCTTCTACATTGAAAGAGCGGTGAATGATTTGACGTATACTGCAGATCCAAGTTATAGCCTGCTCTTCCGGATAGTACTTGAAGGTAAGCAAAAGGCTTTGTGGGAAGAGGCTATTAACGATTAGAAAGTGTGTATTTACTGGAAACTCTGTAAGACCGGTGTTATTGTGAAAGAGGTGCAACCATTAGCAGACGATGCCAATTTGCAGCTGGATCACCGTACCAAAGCTGCCGATAAATGTTGAAAATCTTCTTACTATAAATGGTACAACTATGCAGCTTGATTAGATTAACATTAGAGCACATTTAGCAGGCAGTGGCCACATAATTAGGAGTACGGCTTTATGTGGATGCTGTTAAAGAGACCTGAAGCATGTCATCTCCCCGAGCGGCAGTTGCTAGATTCATTAAAGGCCGTAACTCAACTTCGAACTCTTACAAATCATATCGAACTAACGAGCATTTTACAATAAAAAATTCGCTTCACTCAAACTACGAAGCTAAGTTGCTACACCTCCAATGGAGTATTCGATATACGGCTTGAGCAGCGGCTAAAGATGTCCTTAAAAGTCTTATCAAAAGAAAAACAACTCATAATCAGATCTGGGGCATTGCCTTTCCAGGCCTAGCAAGAATGTGTAGAATATGTAGGCAAGAAACGATAAGATGACTGTGCACTTCTTGCGTATTCTTCCCCAAAAGGCCAAATGCGTCCAAAGATTGCCCCCCTGCTTCTCACAGATTCTTTGCGCATACCCCTCTTCCTTCGCCAGAGGAATTTCTTGCGAATCCAGTGACCTAATTCCGCACACGAAGTTCTATTTCTTAGTTAGAAGAGACGTTGAAGAAACTAAAAGACGAAGAAGGATAGGCTAGCCGAATCAAAAAATAGTCGAACTGTGGAGGAAAGCGGATGAACATTATGACTTGAGATGAAAGCAACTGGCTTGAAGGCAGTCCATCTCAAGTTAAGGGTCTTGAGCCTTTGGCAACGTATGATAGTAGGGCCCCGTATCAAGCCAATGCCCAAGGCGCGGCGCAAAATGTCGCTTCGGAAGCGAGAAAATCGCTCCAGATTAAAGAAGATGCACGAGGACCCCAGACGGCACCGCCCTCCCCAACCATGCCCGCCCATCCGTTCGCGCCCATCCAATCACCGTTCCGGAAAGTCGGTCTGTTAGTTCTCCAAAACGGGGATTGTGGGGGGTTTTCGAGCATTCTCGACTTCGTATTCGGAATCAGGGACATGAGAAGGCCCCTGAACGATCAAAACATGGAAGTCGAGAGTCTGGGTGGACGGTGCCTTTGAAGCAAATCTCTCTCTCTCCGCTTTCGAGTCACTAAACGGCATCATCCACCAAATGACTATCCCATAACGCCAGGCTGCCAATTTGATAATTTACACTATGTAGCCGATAATTTGACAAAGCTTCCCAAGTACACAAAAAATGCTTTTGTGATTTTGTACTTCATCACCATCTCAAATTTGCTTTCCCTAAATTGTTATCCGGTTCGAGGAATGAAACAATACAGATCGATATTTACACTGGAAGCATTTCTCTCTAAAAAGGAGAGCATAACTAGGTTAATGTATTCAACGGAAACCGGATGCTCGTTAGCGGCACCGCCATCGGGCAAAATTAGCAACGACTTGAGTTTGCGCTATGATAGTAAGTTTTTGCCTACTGAAAAATTCTTCCTAATTATTGGTATAGGTAACAGAAGATTAAAAAACAGGATGTTTACTGGCTTGGATAAAGGCCTCTCCATGTTAGGAGCAAGGTAACACATAGATTGCAGGAACCAATGGTTTGCTCTTGATAAAAAAATAAACTTGCGCAAAATGTCTGTCCTCTTTGATAATGAAGTAGCTGCATAAACAAAGTTTTCCAGTCCTTATGAGAAAAAAAAACCAGCGCTCTAAGAAAATGTTTGACATAAACATTCAAGTAAACTTTCTCAGCCCTTGTTTGACGAAATCTGTGGTTTTCAAGCCGTAGTACTAGTCGAGAGCTTGAGCTCTCGAGGAAGATTAGTAGTCATAGAGACTGCTCTACACTTCAAAAGTGAAAATTCGATGACAAATAATTACTAAAACACCTCGATATATTAGGTGAACTTGAATCAAACGATAAATGCACAATTTTGCAGAATTTCAAACAAACGCCAAAGAGAAAAGCTTCGACATTACAGAAATAATTTTACAATATCGAATAGAGTAAAGCTCACCCATGGACAATGATGATCGAATCTTGCGACGCAGCGATCGCAATATCGGCAGTGTTTCGACCTAAAATCAATTATTTTCTCTCACAAAGTAAAAAGGATGATGATAATGGTTACCTGGGAGGTTTCAGTAATAAACACGTTGGACAAAACGACGCAGATGGACATTTACCCTCACTAATGTTGATGATAGTCTTGCACCTGGATAGAGTACGTCAGCTTTATAATTATAGAAAAATCAACTAAAAACTGACCTCTCTTGATAATTCGTGCTAATATAACCCGGATCAGAATAGGACACCGTAAAAAAAGTAAACGGTAAGACGAAAATCAGAAGTGAAAATGCGATCTGCATGTACCTAAAAGGAAAATCGTTTCTTATTATACTCAAAAAAATAGTTACTTACCAAGTAGATATGGGCTGTAGGTAGAAAAACCAGGTGAGAATCAAAGTAACTTTAGTTGATGTTGCCACAGATGGAGGAATGGAGTCTAATAGGTCAGTGTTCGAGAACTTACTGAAGGTAAAGACAATTTTAGAAAAGAAGTATATGTAAAAAGAGAACTTACATCGGGAAGTATTTACATATTATGGCAGTTAATAGGAGGTAAGCGAGTTTTATTGAGAGTGAGGTATTGAGATGAAGAATTAACCAAATGCAAAAGTAGATAAAGAACGGCACACACCATAGCACACGTCTTGCAATAACCTGTAGAGGAATTTAATAAATTTACGAAACTAAATGTTGTAAAGAAAATTACCTACCTTATCTTCGGTAAGTTTTTGTCGCCATGTAGAATTCATTAATCCTTTTCGTCTTGCTGCCAGTTCCATCCGAGATATAAGTACCGTATCACCACGTCGTACAGCGATGTCAAGTGCGGTTTCATTATCGCGATTTGTTGCAGAAAGATCGCAATCGGCTGAAATTGAAAAACGTTCAAAAGTTGGATCAGATAAATCTTGAAAACCTGTCACATTTCCAAGGGGAAATCCGGGAAAAAAACCCGCCGGAAAATGAAGGTCTACCAAAATTCTGAATCAACCTTACCTTTTAGCAGTGTGTTGACAGCTGTGACGTTTCCGTTCGTAGCCGCCCAATGTAAGGGAGTGTTGTGATAAGCTGCATCAGCCTTATTCAGATCAGCACCAAGGGTTATCAACAGTTGCAGAGGATCAACGTGTGGACACTAAAAGTAAGGGTTAGATATATTCTAAAAAATATGAGATTTTCGAATTTTTCTTACTTTAGCCGCTGCCCACATGGCCGGCGTAATCCTGGACTCGTCGGGGGCATCCACGGGTTGTCCACGAGCCACAAGGTAACCGACAACTGGAGTCGCACCAAACTGGGCGGCCACATGTAGAGGAGTGAATCCTGGAAATTTTGGAATAAAGTACATTGAAAACTTGGGATGAAGAAATTAACAAACCTTCTACATCCCGTTTTTCCACTTGAGCACCGTTTGTCACGAGAAATGCTACCATAAGCACATGCCCTTGCCGGGCGGCCCAGTGCAAAGGAGTTGACGCCAACACTCCACCGACGGCATTAACGTTGGCTCTCCTTCGTAGAAGAAGCTCAGCTACCTGAAACAGGAATGACTGAGATCGTGACGCCTGGGGGGAGGGGGGGGGGGAGGAGAGGGCAGAATGTTCTCAAAAGTCACAGGTTGTGTTGCCCAAGGGCACTCTAGCGCCTACTTGGCGCGCCAAAAACTTCTAGAAATTGCATGAAAATTTATACAGAATTTTCCCTGCTAATTTACCGAGGTCAAAAGAGCTCCATTAAACTAGCCAGTATGGAAAAAAAATCTAATAGAGACCTTCTTTACTGAAAGACTTACAAAACTACTCTATAGAATAACTCAACAGCAAAGCAAACGACCCCAAAACACTAAACACTCACATGTAACCGGTTGTTGATGGCAGCCCAATGAAGAAGTGAACATTCATCAGAGTCAGTCCAGTCAGGAGTTATAGCACCTGTAAAATATGATGGATGAGACAGGCCACTGTCTGAGCTTCCATAGACGAAAAAAAAGAGAAAATTCGAGTGTAACAGTCTGGTTGTTACCCAGGTAACGTACGGTTTTCGCCTATTTAAATTTTCCTTTCAAAGGACAGCTTGGTTAAGAAAAAACGCTAGAAACTTCAAGAAACTGGTGATATTATTTTGGCAAATTCAAGCTGACTGGGAATAATTTCTTGTTGAGATGGCATTACGCCAAAAACGTAGCATTCAATTCGAAATGCGAGCGAACTGAAAGGGAATAGACTATGAGTCATAAGGTATTTTCAAAGTCGCTGCTACTAGTTCGGAAAAAGTTTTAGTGAAAGACAACTGGGCGACAAAGGCTGTTGTGTACAATATTCTAAATTGTGGCTTTTAACTTGTTTCAACAAGACCTTTCAATGCTCAGATGCTTTTTACCACCCTAAATCTGAATAAGTGGTCATGACCATTCCTTTCATACGGGATAAACAATCATTACACGTTCATTGATGTTTCCCTACAAGCCAAAACAGGAAGGCGAAATGAGCGAATGGGCAGCTAGACAAACCGCCAAAGGTGAGCGAAAACAATCCACCAATGCAAACTGGATAGTGAAATTCTGGATCAGCAGCGATTGTTCATCAGAAAAGTACGTTTCCTTGCAAGGATTTGATAGAGAGTTCATAAAAAAAGCATATAATCGAAATTTAGGCTATAGGTCTTTCGACAGGGTCTCGTACAGTTGTTCCTTCAATCAACACTTTAAGTTCCAAAATGTTATCAATCACATCAATAATCAGGGTATTCTCAAAAACTGACCACTATCAAGAAGTTGTTGTAACCTTTCAACGTTCCCGTATTGTGCAGCTTCACGGGGATCCATGACACAGCTTATCGAACCCCGATTCAGCTGAAGGTCATAGGTTTCTGAAAAATGACATTTTAATGCGATTAGTTAGCTGTCGAAAGAAAAGAAAGATTGCATTCAAGTGAAATGTGGATTAATCCGGAAAATGGTTGACAGTTTGGTTGTCAAGAACCAAAGGGAAGAGACTTTGAGATTTGTGTCTGAATTCCGCTAAAAGATCACCAGAAGCGTAATCATAACTATGATTGACGTATTGCGTCATCTTACATGGCGAAAAAATGTCGGCTCTAGGTTTTTGTCGGGACCGAAAATTACATGGCGAATGTACGATAGCAGTACCTGCAAAGTAGAAAAAAATCTACGCGCTAAAGAGTGCATATCTACGATCTAACCGGTCCAGGCAACATTATAAATCGTCGTACAATGACTTGCCACCAACATGAATGCAATATAATTCGCTCCACTTCTGTTGTGCCTGTGCTTAGCTAGGAAAAAGCATCTGCCTAGGTCGGAGAAAAAAGTTTTGTGCGAAGATATGCATAGAAAACAAACGGGTTGCTTGTTGTGCAGTAGCAATTTGGAAGAGCCCGGGATGTGCAAAAGCAAGACCGATGCTGTACGAAATAATACAGATATTATGGGAATTCGTGCTGCATCTCACATCGCACTGTAGGCGATCAGCAATTCTAAATAGGGCCATCAGCACACGATTTGAACATTATGATTGAGTTAGCGCTGGCGGCTGCGATCACCGTCGTTGCGGCAGCAGCACTTCGCCAAGCACTGGAAAAGCTGTACCCCGATCTTACGGGCCACGATACACACTCGCTGAGGGCGATCCTTATCGGACGACCTCTAGCATCGCGGATTTCCAGTTCGAGCCTCAGTGTAATTCTATTCAGACAAGACTGGCGCCAACAAAAAACGTAACGAGCGATGGGTCCGCAAGCGGCGCGCTCCTCGCCCCGCTGATAGCGATGTTTTGGTCTTGAGTGATGGCTCGATGATGCAGAGGTCGGGTGAGATGAGTACGTGAGCTGAAGCTAATTCTTGAAATCAGTTGCCATGGTTACATTTTCATGCCTTTTGCTGTCATATTGTCCTTTGAGCAATTTCGCCACTTATTCGCTCGTAAAATATGGACCAAATAGATAAAAAACAAGCGAGACAGAAAAAAAAACGTAAAAGCGCCGAATTTGAAAATTTACTTCTAAAAAAAACTAATCCAAAGTAATTTGTAAGACAAGACCTAGCTACCTTTAAAGAAAACTCAGAGAAGCCTTAGGTCGGAAGTCCAAAAAAAGAATAAGTTATTATATAGAGAAAATAATTCAATATAGAATGATGGGAACAATATTTTCTATTCGCTATTAGAAAAGTGGACAAAATAGATCACCTAGACTAAACCAAGAAAGCAGACGGAAAATAAGAGCATAATGCCACATGACATGACAATACAACTCGATAAATGTGACAAAAAGCATAAGTAAGTCAAAAATAGTAGGTGGTACCACTGCTGCATAGTTGAAAACAAGGCTTTGTGGCTATGAAGATCCGTAGTCCCCTAATTTATAGTGAAAGCGACTCTACAGTGCTAAGTTTTTGAACGGGTGTGATTAGAGAGTCTACAGGATCTTCTGACAGGGTCAAAAAAGTAACAAATTTATTTGGTAGCTGCGGGATATGCGAAATGATCGAGGATGAAAAGTAGCTATTGATGCTCAAACTATTTCATTTGCTGCTTTTTATACAAAATTTTTAGAAAAACAGACCCAGACATTTCGGATAAGAAAAGTAAGCCAAAACATTCACTGTGTTCTTTGTGTGTACGATGATACATATTAAATAAGCTATCATACATTATGGGAAAGCATGTAAGCGTCAGCTAGTGCCAGTTGTTGTTGCTGGTACAGGGACATGTTGGGCGGATTTACTAAAGCGATCAGATCAGGCCAAATAAACATCGGCTATGTCAAAATCGCATGCAGACTTTATAGTCTACTACCGTATGATCTATGATCCAAAGCTATTTGAGGGCTTTATAGAGAAAAATCACTAAGGTGAGAAACCATTGCGTGGATCGAAAGGAAGTTTTCAAAACAAAGAAAGTATATCAACAGTTACTGCAAACCTGAACAATCCTAAACAAGCGGCAGCTTCAAAGAAAAACCAGATCCAGTAACTACATGGGAAAATAATTTTCACCCTTTCATTTTTCAATTTGTATAAAATTATTGGTGCAGCAGACCGCGCAATTCGTAGAAGAAAATATAGTCGAAATGAAGGATTGAAAATTATTTCGACACAACAAGCCAAACAAAAAAATATTATTTGCAAAAAAACTGCTAGTTGAGCCAGTCACTGGACAAGGTCAAGAACCACTGCTATAGAATGACTTTGGAGGACATAAGGCTTCAGGAGACTGGTGTAATGATTCAATGCTGCAAGAGATCTATTCGGCAAAACATGAGAGTTCATATAAACAAAGTTTCGTGAAGAAATTTTTGAAGTATTGAATGTATGAGCAGTAAAAGAAAAATAGTAAGAAGAGAAAAATGTGCAGTAGAGTGTTAAGGAGTAAGGTATAACCTGTTGTACGAAACAGGGCTGATTGCACTAGTTACTGTTGTGATGTGTGTAGAAGTAATCGCTTATTTCATCCAAACAGAATACATTTGGTGATGATTTCTGACAGAGCAATGTCAGCCAATCAATCTTCTATGATGGAAAAACTTCAAAAGTCTAAACATAGACGAAAGATTGTTCTTTGCGTTTTACAATGGCATTGCAAGCGCAAATCTCCTGCCCCAGTAAAGAGCGGAACAAACTTCGAACAACAAAAAAAAAGCGAGCGGGAACATGTGAGAACGAATGCACGCATCAGATAAAGTGTACCGCTGATGTAATGTTTTGGTGTTCCGGGAGAAATTTGCCGAAGAATATGCCTCCGATAAGAAGATAAAGCCCGACCAAAGATTCGAATTTTACCATCTTGCATAAGGCAGCAAAATCAAAGATTCTCGGCTGGTGAAGGTACGACACCGGTTCTAACTTCCACAGATACCAAGCGAAAATACTCTAAAGTCTCTGGTTTCTGCTTTCTGCTTTCGAAAAACTCCGAACCGCCATTAACGCTGAAGACGAGAATGTCGAAAAAGTCACCAACTCTCCTGCAACGCCCATGTGACACTATGTCGCAAAACAACAAAAGTACATCGTTCAACGTGCATGAGAATCCTACTCTGTTAGACTCTAGACATAAAATGGCTATCGATTGTTCATTTCCATGATCTGTGGGATTTGGGAGAAGTAGAAGTGGTATGGAACTTTTTGTAGTAAATAATTTCCCTCCATACTAGTCCGCCTATCAAACAAAATGTGGAAACGTTGTGCTGTAACACCACCGTGGAAAGCTTTTAGATGAAGAGAGAGAGAAAAAACTCGTTCAAAGATTCAGATGAAATGGTAGATTCCGAGATATAAAGCTAATACTATATACTAAAAATGAGGAAAATATAAAATTTCCTAGTAAGCGATATAAAATTATCAAACTAACTTGGTTAATTTTGGCAACGTAGATTTCTTCTTTCATACTATTCTATCTAACGAAAGGACTGCGAATTTTTGTTATTAATTTATTATTATATATTTATTTTTGATTTATTAATTTTTATTGTAATACTATATACCTGCGAAATGCACTAAGTCGAAATGTTTTCGAACCATCAAGAGATTATAGAACATTGCCGTAATGTTAAAAGCAGAAAAACATTCTTTACTGGCCAGCATTGAGGAGAATTTTCAGCCTGCACTTCCAGAATCAATGAGCTTTCGCAATTTTATTAGGGGCATTAGAAGTGCATAAAAACGGAAAAGTCTTGACTGTTCGATATGTCAGTTATAATCACTTAATTCAAGCTTATTTTTGTGCCCTCGCGCAAGTATGAGCGAGAATTTCCAAGGAAAAAATTGTTATGTAAATAGTGTACAAGCAGGTGTAAGCCACCTCTTAACCAAACAAGTCCTATCAGTCAATAATACATGAGGCCTATTTGACAAGCTGTTTACTCCCACCGTTATTATAGTACTATTTATGGAACATGTAATTTTCAATATTCTGTGTTAATAAAAAATGCGATGAATGGAGATTAGATCGAAATACTGCGGGACAGGCATTGAAATGACGAAAGCAAAAAGCGAGTAAACATGGAGATCGGACCAGAATGAAACCAGCAGCAAGAGCTCGAATGAATGGGCATGAGAAAATTCGTTTGAAAATTTGAAAAAGAAGATGGATTTAGAATTGTATGAAGGAATATGCTGTATAAACTTGCCGCCACCAACTGCATATGTGAAGACAAGACGAAAAAGCGCTCAGAAATTTGTCAGTCTTCGACAAAACTTGTTACAAAATAATCCGATTATGTCAGACACAAATTCGGACGAGAAAAGACATGCTGTGCAGTATCGATCCAGAAAGCTCGTCTCCACATCCGTACGCATTTGACCCTCGTCCTTTCAAAGGACGGCCGTGGTGGTTCCGTTTGTGAATTGAACCAGTTCAGGGCATCATCGAGGTCGACAGCGTGTGTTTCTATTGCAAACTTTTGGAGAAAGACTGTGGTAATCGTTTGGGTCTTTGGAAATGTTCTTCTAAAAGAAACCTGAACAACTACATACTCAACTTCAAAATAATCGCTGCAAGATAAAAAGCCTTCAAAAAATGTTCTCCAACGCCCTGTGATCACGCTATACAGTTCGGTGAAAATATGAATTTACGTTTTCGTGTAATTCATCAAATTTCTTTTTTTACAACATTGAATTTATTATCTCATCCAATTTCAACATAATCCTCGACACATTTTGAAGAAAAGAAATCTTGCGCTTTCTTAGACGGTTGACAACCATTCTTGTTGACATATCGCATACATGCTGGTCAAAAGAGCTACTTAAAAGTGGTCCCTTAAACTCATGTAGTTAGAATTGATGAAACTTTCATCAGAATCCAAAAAAATTGTACACAATGAAATCTAGAAAGGAAGTCGAAACGAATTTCGTCTATTTT